TGTTCAGAATCATGGCCGCTACAGTCAGTATTCTTGAAGAAGAATAAACATATTTAAATACTGATTATAATCATTATTTGGGATGCCCCATTTTGCAACTGCTTGATTGTGGTCCGTTTAGGCTCCTTCTCAACCCCCTCGTTTACTTCTTACTAAACAAATGGCTCACGTTTAGTTTAGATTTAAAACGCATTACTGCATTCAATTCATTAATTCGGTTCATACCAGCCATGAAATTGTTAAATTTATCTCCGAAATAAGCCAACGTGGTTTTTGAAAAAGTATCCAGTCGGAAAGGTTCCAGTTATCGAACAAGATGACAAACTGCTTGGAGGATCGCTTGTAATTGCAGAATGTGTTAATGGTTGATGAAGTTCATTTAAAAACCAGGTCAGCGATTGCTTCCACAAGATTCTTATGAGAAGGCGAGGGTTAAAATGATCATTGACGATAAATTCGCAAAGGTAACAAGAGAGCTATGCTCAAATATATGGACACGTAGCGACACCCAATGGCAATATTTTGATGACGTCATAGCGAAAAAAAAAGTAATAGCCTTCTGGAGAAAAATTTTATCTTCAACCACTGAAAATTTCAAAGCAATTTGGTCCAGTTTTCGAAGAGAAAAGCGATTTTTTAAAAATGGAGACGGAGACAAATAACCAATAACAATAACAACAAAATTTTGAAACGATCGTTATGTCCATTTTCGTGTCCAATAATATATATGTGTACTATAGTAAGTTGTGTAGAAAGTAGGCTACTATACGACAATTATTTACAGTATATATGTTAGCGTTACCTCGACGCACAATATTGTCGTATTGTGTTGAATTAAAGCTGTATATTCCTGGCAAAATTATAGACAGTAAAAACAGTTTTAACGAAAATTTTATTTTATTTGGGAAGTTGCAACGAGTCAACGGAAGCACAGAGTAAATGTGGTTATCACAAAAAGCAGTAGAATATTACAAAATATGTTTTTCTCCATTATTTCAGGCAATCACATCGATTTACCAAGTTTTTGAATACTCTGATAACGAAAACTCTGAAAAAAACTTTCAGCAGCATATTAGAAAACTAGAAAAAGTTCTTGAAGCCAAAGCGTTATTTTATTGTAAAATAAATTGGATAATATGCTGATTATATGATCTATCCATGGCTCAGGATTTTGGTGAGTTATCTATATCAACAGGCTTGTTCATGGGAGTTCTGTCCCACCCCGTGGATATTTCCCTGGACCTTCGACCCCAAAAAACTTCACATTAAAAACTAGGATTGCAAAATTTTAGGTGCTTTTAATAACGTGTTTTTTCGAGTCGGCGACTATAAGTTGGTTTATATATTTCATATCATTGTTTTGATTTGAAACATTCAACAACCTGTCATTTAAAAGTACTGGTGGGAAAGTGTAGCCTGGTTAATTTTTTTGATTAATGCAATTAAACTAAATCTTTTAAGAGCTGAAGGGGTCATTGAGTTAATTGATTCATACTTGAATTTTCAAAACACAACTATAAACTAGCAAATAACATGCAAAATCGCAAAAATGAGTAATATTTACAACAATGCCTGAAAATCTATCTGAGTGACAAAAGTATCTGAGCAGCTGCTGAAACGTCTATTGTCACGTCACTTTTTGCATCTTGCTGATTAGTTGATGTTACGGAAGTATACAATGAAGTCGCTTCTCGGGGAAACATCGATTGGAATACAATTCAATAACAAAATTATCAAATTATGAATATTTAGGTCTAGTGTCTACAAATAGAACTATATCGAAAAAGAGACGTGCAAAACCACAAAATTTGTGGGTAATTCCTGAACCATTTCTGATTGAGTTTTAGAATGTAATTTTTTTAGAATGTAATTTTTAATAACGATCACTTACGCTATACGCAATATACGCAATATCGTGATACCACGTTACCTCACTATCATGTGCAAACCCCACCGCTGAGGACATAATGTTAATTGAAACACAAAACGTAATCCTATATAAAATTGTCACTTTTGTCTCACGTGTCCCAAGCGTCCTCTTGTTCAATGGGAAAAAACGAATGTGTGCTGTTTTACAGAGAAGTAAAACATTTACAGGGAAGTTTCTAGAACATTTTGAAGTCCTACCTACGCCTAAATGCTTAAAAACAAACTTTATTTTAAAACGTCAGAACGTTCCAAAATTAGTATAATTTTTCATCGCCTGGGTTGACTTAATGAGAATGGGTGGCTTTATAACCAACAGAAATTCATGAACGTAAATAGAGTTTACTTGGGTACCACGCCACCATTTGTATAACTGATGTGCCAGGCTTCATATTAATCCCAATCCCATGCTTCATATTAATCACAATCCACCAACATAATATTTAAAAGTGCAATGCTATAATAAAAAGGGATATATATAGTTGTTAATTAGCTAGAATTAAACATTTTGAAAGATTTGAGAAGCCTATACTTGTCTTACGATGAACCTTGAAATGAACAGACTGGATACAAAAATAACAACATTCGTTTTATTTATTTGAAGGTCTTCCCGGGTTCGACGACTTTTTACCCACTGAAAAATTTCCCGAAGTTAATACAGTGGGTAGAGGAAGCAGCTCAGGATGAAACAATTAAGAAATGTTGATACCAAGCCGGAAATTCTAAGAAAATATTTAGATGGTTTCGCCAGCGGGGAATTATGTTTATGATCTAGAGATCTATTCACAATCTCACAATTATTTTCCTGAATTATTTTATCTCCTTTTGCCTAGGAAGTGTTTTCACTCAAACGGATAGAGAGACCTTTATAAACTACATTAAAATATTTAAACAGTAAAAATATGTTGAATATACATGCATATTTTATATGACATGTGAAAAATAAACTATACAGCTTATTAGATGTTTTAGTAAAACTTGATTTATTGCATTGTACTAACGCTCAAGGGAAAAGAGAGATTGTTCAACTGGGGACTAAGACAGTTTTAAGTATATTATTTTCAACACCAAGTTCATGTTTCCAAATGTGGTGATGTGCAATGTGAGCATCAACCAAGTGAACGTGTGAAACACCGCAGACCATGGTGAGTCAGTTTCCTATTCCTTCTCTGGTTTTTGGGGTTTCCGTCGACAAATGGGTCCCAATACATGTGTAACTGTTGTTGAATCTATGAGGTCATAGCCCAAATGCCGTAACACATGAAGCTTTGTTTGCAAGCTCTTGTGTGACTGCTTGCATGCATATGCCAAGTAAAATGTGCCGTGAAATTCCAATGTCATGCGTGGCTGACATCAGACAGTTACATAGTAATGCCATTTACGCTAGTGCTGGAACATCTTACATCTTTAACTAGGGTTACCATATTTTTTGACTTTCAAAGCGGAGCGCCTTCAAAGACCAACCCTTAGCTGTAATACTTTTACCTTTTCATTTTCCGATTTTACCACATAGCATAGGCCTACATCTAAGCCATCCCGGCTGTCTTCATTGACCATTATTAAGAGTTCATGCCACATATTCTTTTTACATAGGAAAATACAGAGGAATTGATGTTAACGTTACAAAATAATTCGAATTTAGATATTTTTAGGAAAAGTGTTGATGTTCCGGGTAAATAAAATATGACCTCCACCTGCTTTGGACAGTTTAAAACACGTGTGCCTTTTTTTGTCAAATTATTTGAACATCTCGACCCACTTCTGTTCCAAAGACAAATTTTTGCCAGCTCTCTTGCTTACAACGTTCAGACATGGACCTTTTCTCTAGTACTTTAATATGCTGATTGGTAATACTCGTGTATATGCTGGCTGATCTCCAAAGCGGAACTTTTGGCTGACCGGTCGGGATGCAATTATGATCACGTAAAAGCTCAGTTCCATTGCAATATTATATTTCCCACGCATTTATTGACATTACCTCAAAATGAACTGAAGAAAAATTCAGTAAGCTATAGAAATGATCAGATTGAAATGAAGAATGAAAATATTTGATCTTTATATACTGTAGAAGTGACGGGACTAGTCTAATTATCCGTCAAAATATTATTAATTAACACCGGAAAAACCTGTGATGAGAGAAAATTTTTTGAAGCTATCAATTCAACATTCGTGTATAAAGTAGAGATGTATCGATGTATCGGCAATATCGGCCATTTTTCCGGTATCGGCCATGTATCGGTATCGGATAAATTAAGGCCGATATTTCCGATATATCCACCCTTTTGATATGGTCCAGAATGTTTTAAAAGATTAGTTGGAATACTACTTTTTAATTTATTTTTTGTCTGGAGAGATCGTGATCGAGATCGGGTATAAATTCTGACTGTTTGTCGTCGAGTACGAGTGTCATTTAGTCCGTCGACATCGATAAACTAAATTCCGACACAATTATCCCTCTACGCAGGTTTTAATTTTGTTTAACTACACAATTACTCTATAGATATATTGACATGACCGCCTAGCCCTAGACTGTCTCAAAATATATGATAGCAATTGTAAAATATTATAAAATAGTGAAGTAAAAAAACATCTTCGACGGTTATAGGTAGCCCTTCTTTTTGTCTGTGCTGATTAATATTCTTTTTCTTGTTGGCTTTGACTTATTGCGTCGACGATTACGATTAGCCACGAACAAAAATATTTGTGAAATGCTTTTAGTTTGAACGTAAGACGGCGGCGCTAGAATGTGTGGGTGATATTCGATATTCTTTTAAACACAAATAACGATATTCCAAGGTCGCGATATTAACATTAAATTTAAATTTGACATCCCGGCTTATGAGTTTTCTAATTGGAATACCGAGATTACTAGCGTTACTGTACAATGTATCTCAATCAGTTGAAGCAAACACCAAACATTAATTTCATATTATGTGATATATCTTTTTTTTCGATTTGAAATAATGTGTACTATGAACAACGCTCAAAGACCATTGTTTTAACCCGTCTGCCCTACACAGCACCCCTAATTAAGTAATATTTACATAGTATCGGTATCGGAATATCGGTAATATCGGCCTTTTAGTAGTATTGGTGTATCGGTATCGGCGATTTTAGCTGGTATCGGATCGGTATCAGTATCGGCGACAAAAATGGTATCGGTACATCTCTAGTATAAAGCTGGCTAATTACTCCATCAACCATGCCTATCAATACTGGTGTTGGCTTGAGATATGCTCCAGTTCAATATGGTTATTCGTCATTTTGTTACATAGCCTATATGTGAAATACATTCGTATTCTAACTTGATTATTTAGAATTAAAAACTGTACATAAAAAATATTGTTTTATCCAGTATTTGGCCACTTGTCATAGAAATATTTTCTTTCATCCCAGGTTCGGGAGAAAATTATCTATTTCTGAAGTATTGTTTGTTTCTGTTTCCTTCAGTTCTGGAACACCGAATCGAAAAAATTTTCTCACTTTGTATGGCAACAAATTTGAGTCGACTATTGGTATAAACAACTTTGGATCAAGCTGAGATGGATGAGTTCTTCCTGAAATTGAAAAATACATTCTATGAAAATCACTGATGAACATGATGTATTGTCAATCGTCTGACAATCTTGCTGACGTTTTCTTCATTGCAGATAAGATAGTTGAGGTTCTAGACATCACTAGCATGGTCTCACTAGCAAAACATGATTTACCGAATTGTCTAGTACTCTAGTGATGGTTTAGATTGATTACTTACCTGTAGCAAAAGATACAATTAGCCCAACAATGATCGTCATCGAAGTCGCCAAAGCAATATAATTATTAAACGAGATACTGTACATCATTTGATCAAATGTATACCTAAATTGAGAAAAAAAATGTAATTTAAATATATAGAGTAGTTTTGGAAAATTCAAAAAATGTTGAGCACTGTTCATAAACTTTGTTATGCCATTATGGCATATTATGACCTCGTGCTTGTTTCCTCGTGTTTTGTCATCGGCCCATGCATTTATTAAACTTGATAGTTTGAACATTGTATTTGGCTATAAATAAAATTGTGCTAAATTACCTGATGAAAGTTATTATTAGTCAGGAAATCATTGAATCATTGAAAAAAAATTATAAAGCTGGGATTTCTTTCGTATTATCTATTTCGCTCGAAAAAGCTGAATAAAAGTTTAAGTTCATTACGCATTTAATAACGTATTATATATATCTATTGTCAAAAGCAAATGTGGCATTGTGTACTTCAAAAAACATTCTTCTTATTATTGAATGCAAACTATATATAAGCACCACACGTCGAGGTGCGGTTTGGTCATATGCCAGTTTCGTCAAGAAGTCTTTTTTTTTGTGGTTTTGCAGCCAAAATGCCACTCATTTTGTCATCAAATAATTTGTTTGTCAGATTTTTACTCAATCTATTAGAATTCCTTCATTCACTTCAACTGATGGCTACTCCAACGTGTGCTTCAACAAGAAGATCACGTTTTTAGTTGGAGGTTCGGTGTCAAAGTTTCAGTTCCTCCGAAACAATATGGAACCCATTGTTCACTTAGATAATAAGAGCGCAACGGACATGTTTTGTAAACAAAAGTAAACGATTACGACATGCCTGATTTTCTACTTTTGTTTTGATTAAGAAATCCAAAATATTTCAGTTTGGTCGGTTCCTAATTATAAATACCTTCCCTGTCGGCAAAACTTTATTATCCAATATTTCAAAAGTAATTTTCATAACTATGAGAAAGAAATCTTACTCGACAGTAACCGGCTCTGGGGTTGTAAAAATCGTGAGATTATCGTTCGTTGCAATAGTATAGACTTCGGTATCATTGAAACTGTCGATCATTGTAGAATTATCAATGACACACGCATTAATTGACCTCGGCGGCAATACAACCCGAGAGGGAACATTTAATAAAAATAGGTTACCGAATGTCATCCATACCACAACCACCAAGCTGAACAAGCCTCCGGTCAAAGCGCCCTATAAATTATAAAATAAAACACGTTAATACCGGAATATCCCTATATTTCACTTCTAAGTCGAATTGTAGTTGAAGATTTCGTATTGATAATTTTGGGCTTTAGTAAAAGTTGATGCTGTGATGAAGTGTTTGATGGCGGTTTGAGGTTCATTTGTTTTGAAATTTAGACAAATATTGACAAACTTAATTTAGTTGAAATCTTCAAGTTTCTGACGAATGTTAGGATTGTTGGTAACGATGGAATTCACCCAATATAATTTCATTCAATTAAAGTGATATAAAAATTGAAAATTTCACGGAAAGTGGTCGTACCAACACCACGGCAGTTGCAGAATGAGTAATATCTTTACTGCTTAACAGCATATAATCTATCTGTCTGTACTGTCCTAGATAACATGGAACACTCATTGTAACTGTATATTAAATGTTCATTTATATTTGTAATCTGTCAGTATAGATCTGTGGGACCTCCTGAAGTATGTGCACCAAGATGGCGCACAACCAGAACTCAGATTGTGTATCAGGTTAGGGTTCAGGTTTTGCGACATCTTGGTGCGAATACTTCAGGAGTACCGATCTCTACCGAATACTCACAGCAGCATTTGTCCATGGAATAAAAAATCCAAGAAGAAATATTCCAAGCATTGGCCCATTCATTGCTCCCATTAGACTCAGGAAGAGTCTGACAACAGTAACTTTAAGTAGAGAATATGCGTATGCTACAATCAACAGTATCAAACCGATTGCAGCCACTAAAAAATGATGGTTTGTTTAGTGAGCGATATATCCGCATGCGCCGTGCAATGTACCTACAGACACTGCAATAATGCATACAGACACTGCAAAAACCAAATTTCATACTTTAAAAGTTCTATTAGTATAAAAAAAAAAATTGGATTGAACCATGATATACAAATTTAATTGAATATTGTTAAAGTCCAGAGCAGCGACAGAAAATAGAATCACCAATTTCAATTATCCTCTTGTGTATGTCTCCTGTCGTTTTATTCATAATTGGTGTAATAAAAGTAAATGCCAGATTAACTTAAAATGTTCCTCTCAATTTAGTTTCGCGATATTGGGTGAAGACAGGCTCAATATGGGGCTTGATTATTTACTACCTAATGTAAAACACGTATGTTTTAAGACGAATAGAAGTATATATATTTCACGCTAATTAGAAATTAATTTTTATTATAAACATACCAATAAATTTTCCTACTAGGAGCTTTGTACGGTCGGTTATTTGTGGCCATTTGAAGGCAACAAAATCCTCGACGACGACAATGGAAAGAGAATTAATATTTGAAGACACCGTACTGTAAAGTATCAAACATATTTTAAGCATGATTGTAAACATTCACCCTACATGTGCGAATTCACGTTAACACTGTCAAAGCAACAGAGCAATTCGTGAATAACAGTTTGAGAAACAATGGCATATGGCAGAGTCATTTTCTATATCATCTCTCTTACCTCAAGCTCGCACTAAATATCGCAGCTACAAATAGCCCTGCCAATCCCGGAAGATCATGTAACACTTCCAGAATAATATACGGAATTCCTTGATCAATGGATTTGAGAAGTCCAGATTTGACGGGATCGCATCCTTCGAAGAAAGCATACATCATTGCACCATTTCCAATAGCTAGACTTACCATAAGCAATGTCGGAGGAAGGTATACAAACATAGAGCTGAAACAAATTATTCGGTTAGTTATTTATACTAATGTTGCAAGTTATATTTTGCATGTAAGACCATAAAAGAATCCGGAGAGAATAGCGAAGAGGCAGATGGATTCGGATCATCGGTTCGTTTCCAATGAAATGACCACGCAGTGTAAAATCTTGCAAGGTTATATTATCATCCTTAAATGTGAAGAGAACTTTAATTTTAAACTTTAATCACTTGGTTGTGTATATTTGAAGAGCGTAAACAGCTAAATTAAAATTCGCGTTATTCGTCAATAGTCTATATATACGCTTTATTGATATAACGGACTTAAGTCTAATTACCGTTGTCAACATCTTCTAGTCAATTAAATCATATCAAATACATAGCTATTCATGATCATGATACTCGTGAATTGTTAATTAAGTTTAGCGAAACATACCATCGAGCTTGGGCGACGGAGCTGCAAGATTGAAATCTTTGAACCATAGGTTGGGTGAATCCGATGAAATAAGTAAATCTTAACCAACCACCGATATATTTAGTGAGAGGAGATGCCCGAGAAGTAATGTCGAAGTCAGGTCTGTGAATAAACAACGTGAAATCGACGTTAAAACAAAATAAAATAATAGTGTAGTGTATAACGTATTATTAATATCTTCTGTGAAAAATCATTTATGGAAATGTTTGAAATATTGATTGATGATTCAGAAACGTGCTTGTTTTAACAAAAAGCACTAAAATAAAAATGTTGTAAAAACAATTAGGCCTACCTAGTTACAGTGTGACGCTCTCCTCTCGAGAGTGCTGAATTAAGAGCTGCGAAGCCACCGACTGCCATTAGTCCACGAAAGAACAGTGAGATTGCTCCGATTAACATTACGACTGACTGAATAACATCAGTCCATATTACAGCTTTCATTCCTCCCTAAAAATATCATGGAAGCGATGACAAAATATATGTATATGAAGGTGTACATATGACTTCCCACGTGCTGAAGCTGTGTTAAAACCAGCAAAATTTTGTGTAATATAACGAGGCCGCGGGAGCTTAAAGAAATAAATTATAATATATATATAGTATTATAGCAAACTTAAAAAATTAGCTACTAAAAATTTGAAACAGAGTGAGCTAGTATCAAAAAAGTCTTTGTTCAACAACAACAACATGGTAATACCTAAAATTAACGAAGTTTACCGAATTGGTATATATGAGCCAACTGCGCGTCTAATAATACTTCTGTCGCTCCAGTAAACTGTCACATTAGGAAGCAAATAAGTAATTGGATAAATTTCTGAAACATCGTGCAAATCTAATACTTGTTCAAGTTATACTCACCAGTGCAGTGTAAAATGTACATATTACTGCAGTTAAAACAATACTCCAAACCAGTGAAATTGGAGCCACGGCACTGACTGTTAAAGCTGGAAGGTATACATTCAAGCCCATATAAAATACCTGAAATATGTAAAGTAAGCGAATAAATGTAAGAGCTGAGTCTGAGAGTCTTTGAGAAATGATTAGTAAAAAAAGATTTGCATACGTAAAGTCAAATTTAAACAACAGAGCACTCACCATTGTGATACAAGCAATAATAGAACAAACTCTTCTTGTGGCCACGTTGAAACGAAGCTCCAAGTACTAAAGATCGATAAGAGGAATATAGGAGTTATAATATAGTACAGTATGCAGTTTAACACAATCCTCCGGTAAATATATGATAGGATGTCAAAATCACCGGTTTGTTTAGGAAAACAATTTTTTCTGTCACGTTCTTTGAGGAAAATATGCGTAAATGGTGATCAAACCAATAAAGAATTTTTCTAAAGTTGCGAACAATAAAAACTTCTAAACGTCATAAATAAGTGACACGAAATATAACACATAACAACAAAAGCACAGTGCACGTGGAATGACAGGTCGTCTCGGCGGCTCCTAAATCAGATTTCCGCTACCTCTACTCATAAGACACAAACAACATTATCAAGGTAGAATGTTCAGAAACCATAACACTGGTATTACAGTTTATTAAAATTTATGAATACTCGAAGTCACAATGAAAATGATATCAATTGTGACAATGTAATATTATGATTTCATACATTTAAGAAATCACCAACGAAAGGTAATTAAATCCAAATAATATTGATGTCAAAACTAATTGAATGTAAATATGCCGGCGATTGCCATTTCTAGCTTTGTTGTTCAAAATCGATAGTTGAAGTGAATCATCAAATTTGCGAACGGATATTGCTCACAAAGTGCAAACATACCTCAAATATTGAATGTAGCTGCAACCGGTGGTATGTAGGAATAAGATACACTATGGCAGTCAATGCGGCAAAGGTAATTCCAACGGCAATGAGTATATGGGACGTTCCGACAAGGTAAACCTCCGCCGGTATTCCAACCAATGAAAAAGACGACATGTAGGTGACACACATCGACAGTCCCACGATGATCTAACATGGAGCATAAAAATATAATTATTCGGCATTGGATTTCTATACGTTGAATGCTCCGGTTTGACTTTCACAATATTTGGACTGCACATTTTCCATTTTACCTGTACTTGTATTATATATAATACTACCAATACAGTTGGCTAACAATAAATTTAAAGTTATTAAAAGCATATCGGAATCGAGTTTCTATCATCTTGAGAGATGCACGGTGTCACCTATTGGCTGGAATAAATGAGTGATTCGCTAGATGGAAAGACACGATTTAAAAAAGGTAAGACTGCGTGGCAGTTGGAGTTCAAACTTCATTATCAATATCATTCATTTGGTAGAGAAATATAAATGCATTGAGTATTACTGAAAAATAAAAGAGAATAATAATCATACAGGATTCGACTTTCTTCCAGCAAAGTAGTAGTTTGCAGTTGTGTTGTTTTTTCTATCTCTGAACGCGAAGAAAACGCCAATGAAAGTGGACAGAGAAAGAAAAACTGGAAAACATTAATAATATATATTTGTGTATACGATTCGTTGCTGCCAAATGAAAATTTCTAGTCTTTTTGTCTCGCATAATATTTTAAAAATACATTATTAATATCTGTTTGGCGTCGTCGAAAGTTTGAAACTTGAACTTGATATAATTAGGAACATGTTTTACCCATTAAGGAGTTATTTCAATCAAAAGTACAATATTTGTGTTTGGAAATGCGACAATTGTTAACAATTCAAATATGATTTGTAAAAGTAATTACTGTACTTGGAAAATACATATATACAAGTATTTCATGAATCCCTCCACATGGACCTATATGGTTGTGTCCAGTGGTGGGATTCAAATTTGTTATCAGCCGGTTCCATCACAAAAGTCATATTTTTTTCAGCCGGTTCTGTCACAAAAAGTCATTGACAATAACCAGTAATGCTAACCGGTTCGCTGATCTCAAAAAATTCGTGAGACGGTTCTATAGAACTGGTGCGAACCGGCAGAATCCCACCACTGGTTGTGTATAATAATAAAGTTACTCACTTGCAAAAACTGTAAAATCCACCGCACCAAACCATTTCTTCGCATTATCAGTTGAATCCATAATGTTACGTGTTATTCGTCCAAGCTTTGATTCAAAAAATTATATATCTCTCGCCCTATACAATTATTAATATGAAAGCACGTATCATAAAACGTATTAAGATGCTGGCGGAAGAACCTCTTGATTGGCACGATGAACGTCTGCTGCACAGTTTTGCTTGGGTTATCCTCATCAATCACCTAAAGTTAGACACATCGAAGGTGACGAGTGCACTACAATAAACATGCGCAGGCAATAGCAGAGAGTTGCAATAAAATGTTGGTCCTTTCAGATTATAAATGCGCGAGGTACATCAGTACCGCACTGTCGAATTGAGATACTCAACATTATTTTTAATGACAATATCTCAATATGCTTTATCACAAAATCCACATTAGATAAATATGTAAAATGTACCACCATTATATGTACATATATAATTATGATTTTTGCGTAATATTTTGCTCTGGAATAGATTCTTCTACACACTTTTCTTCTACGAGTCATCTCAAATAATCACAATTGCAAAAATGTAATCCGTCGTATTGACGACATAATCAGATATTTAATACTTCAATTACCAAAGTTTAATTTGGCTGCAACTTCTCTATCTTCGTATGTGATTAAATTTCTAATACATTATCCAGAGATCTATAACAATCTAAACTAAGGATAATGGCCCACTCTTTCCATCATCAAGCATTCGTTTATTGAGGTTGTGTACCAGGTTAGGGTTCAGGTTATGCGACATCTTGGTGCTCATACTTCAGGAGTACCCAGAACCTTCTGAAGTATGTCCTCGAATGAAGATAAACAGTACTTCCATTTGCGGCATTGATTTCATTCTAATATTGGGGACAAGTGGTAATTAAATGACATCATTAATCAAACGTACTAGTTAACTACACTATGAAGGAATCGGGATTTCTCTCTTTTGAATTTCCTGTTGAGCAAGACAGCGGGTGTGCGGACTAAAGGCAATAGTTAATGCTAATTGCTATTAAATCCCATATTTTTCACTTTAAAGCCCATGGGTAGGCGGTAATTGTATTTCGACGATTTGCAACTGGTTTTGTGCAAAAACTTATTACAACTCAGATGTTGTGAGCCGTGAAGTCATTTGTCACGTATGCATGTAAGCATCAATTCACAGATGCGCAAGTTACGGTAACGCGTTAAAACTGCGTTTTCATTGATTATAATTTGTGTTTGTCGTCGAAGCACGTTCATGTAATATTTTTGACATGTATTTCAATTAATTTTTTGTCTAAGCTTAGTTACCGTCAGAGAGCGACAAACGATTCGGCTTGCAAATTTTAGGGTATAAAAACATTTACAACCTATACACAGTCAACTCTATCATGCGATAAATCTACGACTAATATTCTGCGAAGAAGAGCTTATAACTGGATTGAGCCTGGTACTCATTGATTTTATTATTCGTTCACAATGCATGAAGTAGGTTGGTGAGCTAGCCTTACGTGCTAATTGACTCAGAACTTTGAATATAAACTTGGTTGGTCAATAATTCGCCGCGCGCTTCGTACAATTTTCCTTGGATCTCAATACTTACTAAGTCGTACGGAAGCACAGAGTAAATGTCGTTATCAAGACAAGCAGTAAAATATTCCAAAATGTGTTTTTCTCCATCATTTTAGGCAATCATATCGATTTACCAAGTTTTTAAAAATTACAAAAACTTTGAAAAAAAATTTCACCAGCGTATTAGAGAGCTAGAAAAAGTTCTTGAAGCCAAAGCGTTTTTTAGTGTAAAAGAAATTGCATATGCTGATTATATGATCTATTCATGGCTCAGGTTTTCTGGTGAGTTATTTATAATCTATATCAACAGGCTTGTCCCACTTCTGTCCCATCCCGTGGATATTTCCCTGACATTCGACCCCGAAAAATCGTCTACTTCACCATTGCAAAATTTTAGGTGCTTTTTTTAACGTGTTTTTGCGAGTCGGCGCCTATAAACTGGTTTATATGTTTCATATCATTGTTTTGATTCAAACATTCAACAACCTGTCATTTAAAAGTACTGGTGGGAAAGTGTAGCCTGGTTAATTTTTGATTAATGCAATTAAACTAAATCTTCTAAGAGCTAAGGGGGTCATTGAGTTAATTGATACATACTTAAATTTTCGAAACACAACTATAAACTAACAAATAACATGCAAAAACGCAAAAATGAGGTAATATTTACAACAATGCCTGAAAATCTATCTGAGTGACAAAAGTATCTGAGCAGCTGCTGAAACGTCTATTGTCATGTCATTTTTTGCATCTTGCTGATTAGTTAATGTTACGGAAGTATACAATGAAGTCGCTTCTCGGGGAAACATCGATTGGAATACAATTCAATAACAAATTATCAAATTTATGAATATTTAGGTCTAGTGTCTACAAATAGAACTATATCGACAAAGAGACAAAGAGTGCAAAACCACAAAATTTTTGTGGGTAATTCCTGAACCATTTCTGATTGAGTTTTAGAATGTAATTTTTTAATAACGATCACTTACGTTATACGCGATATACGCAATATCGTGATACCACGTTACCTCACTATCATGTGTAAACCGCACCGCTGAGGACATAATGTTAATTGAAACAAAAAACGTAATCCTATATAAAATTGTCACTTTTGTCTCACGTGTCCCAAGCGTCCTCTTGTTCAATGGGAAAAACGAATGTGTGCAGTTTTACAGGGAAGTAAAACATTTACAGGGAAGTTCTAGATTAGAACATTTGAAGTCCTACTTACGCCTAAATGCTTAAAAACAAACTTTATTTTAAAAACGTCAGAACGTTCCAAAATTAGTATAATTTTTCATCGCCTGGGTTGACTTAATGAGAATGGGTGGCTTTACACACCAACAGAAATTTCATGAACGTAAATAGAGTTTACTTGGGTACCACGCCACCATTTGTATAACTGATGTGCTATGCTTCATATATTAATCACAATCCCATGCTTCATATTAATCACAATTCGCCAACATAATATTCAAAAGTGCAATGCTATAATCAAAAAAGATATATAGTAGGGCGGGGGATGATGGCCCCCCTTATTGAAAATTATCTCTATTTCGAAAACCTTTCTTCAAATATTCCTAAAACTTTGCAAGTACAAACATAAGAGTCTGAACTCTTTAGCCACTCGGCGGCGTCCGCCGGCCTCCAACCATCGCAACAGCAGAAACGTTTTTAAACGAAAAAAAAATTCGGGGAAGTTGGACATATGGTCGGATATGACGGACATGTGATAAAATCGCATCAAAATACTAGTATTGCGTTCTGTTTCTTATCAGAATATCAAAATAAGCAATGTATTTGGAAAATTTTTTGGGGCATTCGAAAATTCCCCCTATGTCCATCTTACCCCTTAAATTTTTGAAGTTGTGAACCCATATAATTGTTCACGAAAGTATGTTAAAACACCACCTAGTAAAGCAGCCAAATTTTATTTGATCATACTTTCATCACACACTTAATCATCACACCAAAAGAACATCTGGGATAGCATGAAAGCTATCGTCATGGAATTTTACATTCGAATGAAAATATTTATACAAAAAAGCTTCAAGCAGAGCAGTCATCACATTGGAAGGACACAATGTGTTTTCCATAAATCCCGGCACAAATATCGTGAAGCCACTTTTGGCATTTCTGGCACTGAATCCATCCCTCGTCCTCTTCGTCGTCAAAAAAATTGCCGTTGCAGACAGCACAGAGGTTACTGTAACAATATCTTTCATGTGGCTCATTCTTAGTTTATTTTCTTTTTTCTTCCTGGGAGCTGCAACTTTCTTAGACGAGCTAGATGACATCGTTTCTGCGAGTGCTGTAGTTTTCCTGAACGAGCTAGGTGGCGTTGTTTCTGCGAGTGCTGACAGTTCGGCTACATATTTCTCACTTGTTAACACTCTAATTCCCGCCTGAATGGCTTTCTTTCCCTCTTGGCTCTCTGAGTGGCTACTGGAAGAGGCAAATATATTCAAATGATAAACTGGTGCTATCAGGTCTCTGCTATTTTCTTGCCTCAAAGAATCACTGACTTTATCAGAAACTAACTGGACTACTGGTGAAGTTCTACTTGAAAAAATCGTTAGAGAGCACAGAGCAGCGTGGTTCACTTGTGACACTTCTACCTCTGTCGTGGTGTTAACCTCATGAGATGGTACGTCGTAGTCTCTATTTGTTATTAGCCTCTGTTTGATGTTCTTTGGTATTTTCTCAACATTCTTTAGGATTCTCTGTTTCCCGTGCATCCAAAACTTGCATCTGGAAAAACATGATAGTACATAAGGGTAAGATGGCCACCCCCCATAATTTCATAAGATTATTGAGATTATCCAAGAAGTGTTTTGACAGGTAAAAGCAATAACAAAATTAAAAAGAAGACTTTCTGGTATCTTATTCACAAAGAACGGGTTTGAACGGTCAAAGTAAATATAAGCCCGAAAAACGCAAAAAATTTATTACCCCCTCATAACCCCCCCATTTTTACATGATCACATGCTGAAAGATATAGTTAGCTGCTAGATGGCACAAGTCGCTCAGTTAGTCCTAAATCATTGTCAGTAAGTATAAACTTACCAACAAACGCGCGATTCAGAGTTCCTTCGCTGAAAATGAGCATATAGTGCCTCCAAGAAAAACGTGTCCTTACTAAATGCCCTTTTTTCACCCTTCAAAAATCACAAGCCACGTGGAAAGCTACACAACTGACGAACTACGCCAACCGCTGAACCGAAATGGCTAGAACGAATTCCCTCCTTAGCAACGAACTCGGCAATGGCATTTGCAGAACCAAGCCCCATAAGATGTCGCCAATAAGTCAGTTTGAAAAAAAGTGTCCATCTAACCCCGTGTGTCTATCTTCCCCCGCCCTACTATAGTTGTTAATTAGCTAGAATTCAACATTTTGAAAGATTTGAGAAGCCTAAACATGTCTTACTAATGAACCTTGGACTGTACAGAGTGGATGCAAAGATAACAACATTCGTTTTATTTATTTGAAGGTCTTCCCGGGTTCGACGACTTTTTACCCCCTGAAAAATTTCCAAAGTTAAGACAATGGGTAGAAGAAGCTGCTCAGGATGAAACAATTAAGAAATGTGATACCAAGCTGGAAATTCTAAGAAAATGTTTAGATGGTTTCGCCATCGGGAATTATGTTTATGATCTAGAGATCTAATCACAATTTCACAATTATTTCCTGAATTATTTTATCTCCTTTTTGCCCAGGAAGTGTTTTTACTCAAATGGATAGAGACCTTTATAAATTACATTAAAATATTTAAACAGTAACAATATGTTGATATACATGCATATTTTTGTATGACATATGGAAAGTAAACTATACAGCATATTAGATGTTTTTGTAAAACTTGATTTGTTGCATTATACTAACGCTCACCTCAAGGAAAAGGAGAGATTGTTCAACTTGGGACTAAGACGGTTTTTAGTGAATATTTATGTAGACTGTGCAGTGTGTGATTTAATGTTAACTCTTGTTCTTTATTTCATTTCAGTTATTATTTAGTTCCGTCCTTGTTTACTAATAAAAGTGTAACAAATGGACTGTCAATCCTATCTAGTTTTGAGTATATTATTTTCAACACCAAGTCAAGTTCTGTTTCTAAATGTTGTGATGTGCAATGTGAGGATCAACCAATTGAACGTGTGAACACCGCAGACCATGGTGAGTCAGTTTCCTATTCCTTCTCTGGTTTTGGGATTTTCCGTCGACAAATGATCCCAAGTACATGTGTGACTGTTGTTGAATCTGTGAGTGTCATAGCCCAAATGACGGTAACCTATCGTCACGCTAATAACCGAATTGCGTAAGTCATTTTTAGCAGTTTTGAGAAAAACGTAAAATACTTTCTAATGATATTGTTATGCCATTGAGAGTCTGTAATTTGCCATGGTTCAATTTTTTGATTGTAGCCGGATTTAAGTTAATTTGTATGACGCAGTTAAGTGACGTCATAATGGCGCAATGTGACTTAGGCAGAAATGTGTCTATGACTTGGGGACATACGCAATTTTGCAACTTTACTATATGCACCAGTCCTGAAAACTAAACATTCCAAAAACAAATGTTATTCTCAGTATCTACAATGTCTAATCCCCAAAATAGCTGATCAGTTCCAATTATATTATTTTTTATGCTTAAAAATATATATTTCATCAATATAACACGTTCTGCACACCCACCGAAATAAGACTAAGAATAAATATAAAGAATAAAACAGCAATGCACCTAATATTAAAGCCAACCAAGGTGAATTGGACTCAGACAGGGAATATCACATGTGCACGTCTTCCTATACTGTAGTATAAATTCGAATTAATACGCGCTAAGCTAGAATCCGAGATGCAAAACTCGAAAATACTTCGCCGAGGTTATTTTGCCTTTGTGACGTCACAATATTCCTGCGTTAACAATGATAATTCCTTATGACGAAACAATTGCACAAATGTGCATGTCATACTAAATCTTCATTTTTATGGGTTTCGGAATTCTTAAAATAAAATCTGAGTTAACAGACAGGGGCGCAGCATTACATAAATACCTATTTTACAAAAAAAAAATTCAAAATCGCCAAATAGGACTTTCGGTTATTAGCGTGACGATATGAAACTTTGTTTGCAAGCTCTTGTGTGACTGCCTTCATGTATATGCCAAGTATAACGTGCCGTGAAATTCCAATTTCATGCGTGGCTGACATCTGACAGTTACATAGTAATGCCATTTACGCTAGTACTGGAACGTCTTACATCTTTAAGTAGGGTTACCATATTTTTGTGACTTCAAATAAGGGCGCCTCCAACGACCAAACCTCAACTGTGATACTTTTAACTTTTCATTTTCCGATTTTACTACATAGGCCTACATTTAAAGCCATCCCGGCTGTCTTCATTGACCGTTATCAAGAGGTCATGCACATATTCTTTTTCTAAATATCGCTTTCAATTAGAAAAATACATAGGAATTGATGTTAACGTTACAAAATAATTCGAATTTAGATATTTTTAGGTAAAACAAAAGAAAGAAAGAATAATAAAATAGCCTGCCGTTTTTGGGCATTGGAAGTTTACCTATTCGCTCAACCATACTTTTCCTTCAACGAGCGCTGATGTTCCGGGTAAACAAAATGTGACCTCAACCTGCTTTTGATAGTTTGAAACACGTGTGCGTTTTTTTTTTTGTCAAATTCTTTAAACATCCCGACCAACTTCTGTACCAAAGACGTATTTTGCCAGCTCTCTTGCTTACAACGTTCAGACATGGGCCTTTCCTCTAGTACAGTGTTTCCCAACCCGAGTCCGCGGTCTCAAATGAGTAGTCCGCGGAGCGTTTGAATGAGTCCGCAACGAGCCAGAAATTTGTGCGAGCCGCAAACGATTTTGCGGAACTTAACTATCAGCCAGTTTACGTTGGAATTTACATAAAACATAAAAAGCAAGTTTATTCTCATAACATTAATCAAGTCAATGATTACTGGTTACTGAGTCTAGGGCTGGGCATATATTCGAATATTCAACTATTAGAATAGCAATTTAATATTCGAAAATTTGGTAACAGGTGACATGACAGGTCACTTGTGCGCGTCGCTCAATCAAACGATTGGATTTTACAACTCACTCACGAATTTTTGACGAAAACACACAAGTCGGCACACGCGTCGATAGATGGTGGCAACCCGAATTTTCCAAATTGAAAAGCGGCAATACAAAACACTAAAAATAAAACGGAGAACACAATAAGTTTCGTTTTATGATGGTCCGCGGTCGATTAAAAACGCTTTTTTAGACATTGCAAAACGCAAAATTTCGGGTTTACGTTTACCAGGGCATCTTCCCTTAGGATTGTTTGCTTCACTGTCCCAACATTGATTCGCCGTACAGTACTGGTGTTGTACGAACAGCTCAGATTTGTGGAATTCACAAAAATAGGAATCAAAACAAAATATAATCGGGCCCTTTACCACGCATTTTTGTGTCCACCACGGATTGTCATGATATTTTCTGTGTAGTATTGCTTTTATTTCGCCAACACAATCGCAGATTAAAAGGATCACAATTAAATTAACAATAAAGCAAGGCGATGAATATTAATTTTTTATTTACTAATATATTTTAAATATATTTTTATTAAAATACTGAATCAAGTTGCACTTTTTGGAAATTTATAACAGATAGTGAAATTTTTCTAACGACGATAACAAATTTGCAAGATCGCAAAAATATGTAACAAAACTAAATACGAGAATATCGGTCAGAGACCGAAGACTTATCGATCGAAAGTTAGGGGATCCCAAAACAGCGCTCTTACTCCATAGTGACACCCTGTGTCCCATCACTAATTAATTAATAACTCGCTAATTATACGACTTAATTTGCCCAAAAGCGACAGGCTTCTGGTCCGAGATATGATGAATGCACATGCAAAATCTGGAGCAGATTCAATCGCGTGCATCTAACAGACAGACAAATACCTATCAACATACTTACGAATTAAAATCGATAAGTAATAATCGGGCAATATAGTCTCACATTATTATGTTCACAGATTGCCGATTGGCATTTTAAAGAAGAAATGCTTTCACCTTTTTGTAAGTCGACGCAACCGCGAGTTACCATGAACAAAATTTAATTAATATAGAAAGGCATTGGATTGAATATTGTGCGACAGAAAGCCAATTATACACTAGAAAAGTCGGCTCTTTTTAACGAACGCGTAATTGTGGCGAATTTCCGATTTTGAAATTCGTTACAATTCTGTTGTATTTGATTTTATTGCTTCTTCGCACAGAGTACGGTTGCAATAAACGAACTTTGAGTCCGCAAAGGTTTTCGCGGGTGAGAAAATAGTCCGCGATCAAAAAAGGTTGGGAGACGCTGCTCTAGTACTTGAACATGCTGATTGGTAATGCTCGTGTATATGCTGCTGATCGCGAAAGCGGGACTTTTGACTGACCGGTCGGGATACAATTATGATCACGTACAAGCACAATTTCATTGCGATATTATATTTTTCCACTCATTTATTGACATTAACTCAAAATGAACTGAAGGAAAATTCAGCAAGCTAGAAACGATCAGATTGAAATGGAGAATGAAGATATTTAATCTTTATATATATATACTGTAGAAGTGACGGGACTAGTCTAATTATGCGCCAAAACATTATTAATTAACACCGGGAAAACCTGTGATGCAAGAAATTTTTTTGAAGCTATCGATTCAACATTAACAATAAAGCTGGCTAAGCTACTCCGTCAACCATGCCTATCAATACTGGTGTTGGCGTGAGATATGCTATATTATACCAGTTCAATATGGATATTCGTCATTTTGTTACATAGCCTATATGTGAAATACATTCGTATTCTAACTTGATTATTTAGAATTAAAAACTGTACATAAAAAAGATGTTTTTATCCAGTATTTAGTCACTTGTCATAGGAATATTTTCTTTTATCCCAGGTTCGGGAGAAAGTTATCCATTTCTGAATTGTTGTTTGCTTCTGTTTCCTTCAGTTCTGGAACACCGAATCGAAAAAATTTTCTCACTTTGTATGGCAACAACTTTGAGTCGACTATTGGTATGAACAACTTTGGATCAAGCTGAGACGGATGAGTTCTTCCTGAAATTGAAAGATACATTCTATGAAAATCACTGATGAACATTATGTATTGTCAATCGTCTGTCAATCTTGCTGACGTTTTCTTCATTGCAGATAAGATAGTTGAGATTCTAGACATCAGTAGCATGGTCTCACTAGCAAAACATGATTTACCGAATTGTCTAGTACTCTAGTGATGATTTAGATATATTACTTACCTGTAGCAAAAGATACAATTAGCCCAACAATGATCGTCATCGAAGTCGCCAGAGCAATATAATTAGTAAACGAGATACTGTACATCATTTGATCAAATGTATACCTAAATTGAGAAAAAAAATGTAATTTAAATATATAGAGTAGTTTTGGAAAATTCAAAAAATGTTGAGCACTGTTCATAAACTTTGTTATGCCATTATGGCATATTGTGACCTCGTGCTTGCTTTCTCGTGTTTTGTCATCGGCCCATGCATTTATTAAACTTGATAGTTTGCACATTGTATTTGTCTATAAATAAAATTGTGCTAAATTATCTGATGAAAGTTATTATTAGTCAGGAAATCGTTGAATACTTAAAAAAAATAATAATATAGCAGGGATTCCTTTCGTATTATCTATTTCGCGCGAGCTGCGGTTTGGCCATATGCCAGTTTCGTCAGATGTCTTTTTTTGTGGTTTTGCAGCCAAAATGCCACTCATCAAATAATTTGTCTGTCAGATTTTTACTCAATCTATTAGAATTCCTTCATTTACTTCAACTGATGGCTACTCCAACGTGTGCTTCAACAAGAAGATCACGTTTTTAGTTGGAGGTTCGGTATCAAATTTTCAGTTGCTCCGAAACAATATGGAACCGATTGTTCACTTTTTTTATGACATTACCTCACAAGCCATGTAGCAACCTACATTTGATAGATAATAAGAGCGTAACTGACATGTTTTGTAAACAAAAGTAAATGATTACGACATGCCTGATTTTCTTTTTTTTTAGATTAAGAAATCCAAAATAATTCAGTTTGGTCGGTCCCTAATTATGAATACCTTCCCTGTCGGCAAAACTTTATTATCCAATATTTCAAAAGTAATTTTCATAACTAAGAGAAAGAAAAATCTTACTCGACAGTAACCGGCTCTGGGGTTGTAAAAATCGTAAGAACATCGTTCGTTGCAATAGTATAGCCTTCGGTGTCATTGAAACTGTCAATCATTGTAGAATTATCAATGACACACGCATTAATTGACCTTGGTGGCAATACAACTCGAGAGGGAATATTTAATAAAAATAGATTACCGAATGTCATCCATACCACAACCACCAAGCTGAACAAGCCTCCGGTCAAAGCGCCCTATAAATTATAAAATAAAAAACGTTAATACCGGAATATCCATATATTTCTCTTTTCAGTCAAATTGAAGTTGAAGATTTCGTATTGATAATTTTGGGCGTTAGTAAAAGTTGATGCTGCGACGAAGTAATTGATGGCGGTTCGAGATTCATTTGTTTTAAAATTTAGACAAATATTGACAAACTTAATTTACTTGAAAGACGTGAATATAAAGAAAAAAGTTGAAAACCTCAAGTTTCTGACGAATGTTAGAATTGTTGGTAACGATAGAATTCACCCATTAGAATTATATTGAATTTAAGTGATATAAAAATTGACAATTTCACGAAAAGTGGTCGTACCAACACCACGAAAGTTGCAGAATGAGTAATACCTCTACTGCTTAACAGCCTATAATCTATCTGTCTGTACTGTCCTATAGATAACATGGAACATTTATTGTAACTGTATATTAAATGTTCATTTATATATATCTTTATATATATATATATATATGAATACTCACAGCAGCATTTGTCCACGGAATAAAAAATCCAAGAAGAAATATCCCAAGCATTGGTCCATTCATTGCTCCCATTAGACTCAGAAAGAGTCTGACAACAGTAACTTTAAGTAGAGAATATGCGTATGCGACAATCAAAAGTATCAAACCGATTGCAGCCACTAAAAAATAATGGCTTGTTTAATGAGATATATATCCGCATGCGCCGTGCAATGTACTTACAGACATTGCAATAATGCATACAGACACTGCAACAACTTTCATACTTTAAAAGTTCTACTAGTATAAAAAAAATCGATTGATCCATGATATACAAATTTAGTTGAATATTATTAAAGTCCAGAACAGCGACAGAAAATAGAATTACCAATTTCAATTATCCTCTTGTGTATGTATCCTGTCGTTTAATTCATAATTGATGTAATAAAAATAAATGTCAAATTAACTCAAAATGTTCCTAACAATTTTATTTCGCAATATTGGGTGAAGACAGGCTCAATATGGGGCTTGAATATTTACTGCTCAATGTAAAACACGTATGTTTTAAGACGAATAGAAGTATACTTCATGCTAATTAGACATTAAATTTAATTATAAACATACCAATAAATTTTCCTACTAGGAGTTTTGTACGGTCTGTTATTTGTGGCCATTTGAAGGCAACAAAATCCTCGACGACGACAATAGAAAGAGAATTTATATTTGAAGACACCGTACTGTAAAGTATCAAACATATTTTAGGCATGATTGTAAACATTCACCCTACATGTGCCAATACACGTTAACATTGTCGAAGCAAGAGAGCAATGCGTGAATAACAGTTTGAGAAACAATGGCATATGGCAGAGTCTTTTTCTATATCATCTCTCTTACCTCAAGCTCGCACTGAATATCGCAGCTACAAATAGCCCTGCCAATCCCGGAAGATCATGTAATACTTCCAGGGTAATATACGGAATTCCTTGATCAATGGATGTGAGAAGTCCAGATTTGACGGGATCGCATCCTTCGAAGAAAGCATACATGATTGCACCATTTCCAATAGCTAGACCTACCATAAGCAATGTTGGAGGAAGGTATACCAACATAGAGCTGAAACAAAGTATATTTTAACGATAGTTATACCAAATAATGTTGAGATCATTCTGATTACTTTTGATTGCTGCACACAAATATGCAACGGAGCATCACAGCGACGTGAGCAGATGTGAGATTGACATATTATAAAGTAATACAGTAATCTTATAAAACGAACCAACGGTAATATACTAGCTAGAATGTTAAAAATGTCTATTCGGTTAGGTATTTATGCTAATGTTGCAAGTTATATTTTGCATGTAAGATCATAAAAGAATTCGGGAGAGAATAGCGAAGAGGGAGATGAATTCGGAACACCGGTTCGTTTTCAATGAAATAACTACGTAGTGTAAAATCTTGCAAGATTATATTAACATCCTATGTGAAGAGAACTCTAATTCTAAAATCAAATACTTTGATAACTTGGCCAGCGAACCAACGTAATATTATTTGCTTCCCATTTTAGTAACGTTAATATGCTACTTCACAGGTGGCGAAACCGCAGGCGTTCGAATAAGCTGGTACTCTGCCTTATGAATCACTTGGTTGTGTATATTTGAAGATTGTAAACAGCTAAATTAAAATTCGCTTTATTCGTCAATAGTCTATATATATGCCTTATTTATATAACGGACTTAAGTCTAATTACCGTTGTCAATATCTTCTCTAGTCAATTAAATCATATCAAATATATAGCTATTCATGAGCATGATGCTCGTGAATTGGTAATTAAGTTTAGCGAAACATACCATCGAGCTTGGGCTACGGAGCTGCAAGATTGAAATCTTTGAACCATAGGTTGGGTGAATCCGATGAAATAAGTGAATGTTAACCAACCACCGATATATATAGTGAGAGGAGATGCCCGAGAAGTAATGTCGAAGTCAGGTCTGTGAATAAACAACGTGAAATCGACGTTAAAACAAAATAAAATTGTTTCAGAGTGTAAAATGTATTATTAATATCTTCTGTGAAAAACCATTTATGAAAATGTTTGAAATATTGATTGATGATTCAGAAACGTGCTTGTTTCAACAAAAAGCACTAAAATAAAAGTTTTGTAAAAACAATTAGGCCTACCTAGTTACACTGTGACGCTCTCCTCTCGAGAGTGCTGAATTAAAAGCTGCGAAGCCACCGACTGCCATTAGTCCACGAATAAACAGTGAGATTGCTCCGATTAACATTACGACTGACTGAATAACATCAGTCCATATCACAGCTTTCATTCCTCCCTGAAAATATCATGGAAGCAATGACGGAATATATATATGTAGTATATGAAGGTGTGCACGTGACTTCCCACGTGGCGGAGCTGTGTCAAAACAGCAAAATTTTGTGTAATATAACGCGGGAGCTTAAAGAAATAAATTATAATATATAGTATAAAAAAAAACTTTAAAAATTATCTTCAGCTACTAAAAATTTCAAACCGACTGAGCTAGTATCAAAAAAATTTGTTTCAACAACAACAACATGGTAACACCCAGTGGCGGCGCGTCAATAGGTTTTTTCGATATAATAAAAAATATTCGAAAAATACCTCAATATCGGTTGCACAGACTGTCTACACTAGCCATATTCTCCCGACATGGTTCATTTTTCGCTCGCAAAGCCTTCGCCGAACGTCGACGGGGCGACGCCGATTTTGCCCCGGTTGCTCATTGTATATCGTATTCTCTCTTTTATCTTCCACTCGCCGCGTTCGTCTCGTTTGTTTTCTGTTTCTTTTACTAAATCATCGGGGCCGATCGGGGCTAGCCCCGAAATTATGACGACACAATGCCGACGTTTCTTACAACAATGTGTTGACATATTCACGCATTCCTTCTCGTTCGTTGGTTGCTTGAAGAGTTGATAGTTTCCTCGCCTTCGTTTTTGTCGCTTGTTTCGCTATTTGAATCAGTTAGAGACCTTTAGTCCATTTGCTTTCGATTTTCCACATTCCTTTTGAGCTCCTCACTTCTTTCCGGCTTCGCATTTCTTAGCCTTAGACCTCATAATGAATAAGGTTGATGCACTACTTCGCACTCCGTTTTCGCAGCTGCCGCTGGAACAAAAATTAGAGGTACAACGTCTTGGGCCTAATCAACCAAAAAATTGTTCACTGGAACAATCCCATGACGGAGGAAAGCGTCGGCGTACATTCTGCGCAGAAACTTGGTATAAAAAACACGAATGGTTGTGTTACAGCGAGGACAAAAATGCACTTTTTTGTTTTTATTGCCTACTTTTTGCTACCGCCCGTGACTCACGTTGGTGTAAATTTGGTTTTAGAGATCTTAAACATCTTTCCAAGCGTGCCAGCGTGCGTGCGTGCGTGATCATCAATCTTCTATGGAGCATCTGGACAATGCAGTAAAATACCGAACATTCGGAAAGGTTAATATTGCAGCACAGTTGGATGAAGGACGCGCAGTTTCTATTCATCGGCACAACCAAAACGTCGAGAAAAACCGCCATGTTCTCGGTCGATTGATGGATGTTTTGAAGTGAATTGGTTGTCACGAGCTGTCCCTCCGTGGGCTCTTCTAATAGAGGGGTATTTTTGGATATGGTGGAATACACCGCATCCCTAGATACAGTATTGAGAGATCATCTTGATGCCGCAACTGTTTCGAAAGGGACATCTAGGGATATCCAAAATGATTTGCTCGACTCAATGTATAAAATTTATTTACAACATTAGGCTCTGGAAATTGAGAATTGTCAATTCCTTTCGATTCAGTCTGACGAGACAACTCACGTGCGTTTCCCAACTGGCTGTGATTTTTCGGTTTGTGAAAGATGGTAAACCTACCGAGAGATTTCACAGCTTTGTACCAATCGTTGATCGCACAGCTTGCGGGATATCGGCTGTACTGAAAGAAGTGTTACAGCCTTACAACGCGAAGTCAAAATTGATAGCTCAAACTTATGACGGCGCGGCAGTCATGAGTGGGTCGAAACATGGTGTTCAAGTTTATATAAAAGAAGATTTTCGTCATGCGCATTTTTTACATTGTTATGCACACCAATTTAACCTCGTTATTAAAAATATGTGTCTTGATACCCCTCTCGTCCGTATATTTTTTGCAAATGTTTCGGGGTTTTCTTAATTTTTTTTCCGTTTCGCCGAAGCGCTCTGACCTCCTTCGCCAGATATGTAGCCGCCGTCTCCCAGCTTGTGCACCAACACGTTGGAACTTCCAATCACGCGTGGTGCAGGGCGTGTCCGAAATTAGGTCTGAGCTCATTGAGTGTTTCAATGGCATTCAGAGCTCTCCGGTTTGGGACGAACGCTCTGTGAGGGAGGCGGCAGGTCTAAAAAGCGTCTGCTAGAAGATGGTGAGTTTTCATTTTTTTCTCCACAATATTCTATCACGTGGATGTATTATACGGCGCATTGCAGTCAAGGCTAATGGATGGAGCGTCTGTGCAGTCGTGTATTTCAGACTTCTGCGATGCTGTATCTCGTATCCGGGAAACAATAAAATACGACGACACATGGAGTGCTTCTTTAACCCGCGGGCAAACAGCGCAGCGTTTGATTTTGTCTGCAAAGGAATGCTGTGACATTCTGGTGAATCAAATAGGCGATCGTCTGCGCACTGAACACCTTGCCGCGTTCTCTTTGATGAACACCAAAAATTTTTCAATATTTGCACGTCAATTTCCCATCCATTTGTTGGCTACTGTCTCCAAATTTTACCCCGTGATAAACGTGGGTAAATTGGAAAATGAATTGCGATGTATATACACCAATCAAACTTTTTTGAACATCACATCAACTTGCGCGCTCTATGGGTTCTTCATAGATAACACTCTAGTAACTACCTTTGCGGCGTCTGCAAAATTTCTGGACATCATTTTGACGACGCCTATTTCTTCCGCCGACGCAGAGCGAACATTCAGCACGCTGAAGCGTATTAAAACGTATCTCAGAAACACAATGAAGCAAGATAGATTAAATTCCATGGCTGTTTTATCCATTAACAGAGACGTTATTTCTGGGATGCATGACTTTAATCAGCGCGTTATTGAGCATTTTGCTTCCAAGAAACCGCGGCGTGTTGCATATATGTTCAAGCAGTAGAAGTCTAGCAGCATATATGTCTATGAGTGAGCGACGCATGTCCTTATCTTTGCATTAACTTTCCTTTCTTCATAGTAACGTTTTAAACCTTATTTTAGGTTTTGTCTGCTTTCCCGAAGTTTCTGTTAATATGTCATTGTATTTATCTGGGTAAATATTGCCTTTCCTTTTGAAAGAGGTTTCAAAATAAACTATGTCTATATTTATTAATCCCTTGACTTGAACCGATTTTAAAGACACTTTCTTATCGTTAAAAATTGTCGCTTTTGTCGATTGGTTGTTACCGATGGAATGGTTTTTATACTCATAAAATGATGGGAGAACTTACAGCGCTCATCCTGTCCCCGTAGATGGGGGTGACTTGGTCCCGCAGTAGCTTGCCCCGGTTGTCAAAATGACCACGCGCCGCCACTGGACTAACACCTATAATTAACGAAGTTTAACGAATTGGTCTATATGAGCCAACTGCGTGTCTAAGTATACTTCTGCTGTCTCTCCAGTAAACTGTCGCATAAAAAAGCAAATAAGTAATTGGATAAATTTTTGACATATTTTGCAAATCTAATACTTGTTCCAGTTATACTCACCAGTGCAGTGTAAAACGTACATATTACTGCGGTTAAAACAATACTCCAAACCAGTGAAATTGGAGCCACGGCACTGACTGTTAAAGCTGGAAGGTATACATTCAAGCCCATATAAAATACCTGAAATATGTAAAGTAAGCGAATAAATGTAAGAGTAAAGTAAAAAAAAAAGAATTCCATACTTAAAGTCAAATTTAAACAACAGAGCACTTACCATTGTGATACAAGCAATAATAGAACAAACTCTTCTTGTGGCCACGTTGAAACGAAGCTCCAAGTACTAAAGATCGATGAGAGGAATATAGAAGTTATATATATTATAGTACAGTATGCAGTTTAACACAATCTTACGGTAAGTATAGAATGTCAAAATCACCGTTTTGTTTAGGAAAACAATTTTTTCTGTCACGTTCTTTGAGGAAAATATGCGTAAATGGGGATCAAACCAATAAAAGAATTTTCTAAAGTTGCGAACAATAAAAACTTCTGAACGTCATAAATAAGTGACATGAAATATAACACATAACAACAAAAGCACAGTGCACGTGGAATGATAGGTCGTCTCGGCGGCTCCTAAATCAGATTTCTGCTACCTCTACTTATAAGGCACAAACAACATTATCAATGTAGAATGTTCAGTAACCATGGCACGGGCATTACAAATTATTAAAATTTATGAATACTTGAATTCATAATGAAAATGATATCAGTTGTGACAAATGCAATATTATGATTTCATACATTTAAGAAATGACCAACGAAAGCTAATTAAATCCAAATAATATTGATGACAAAACTAATTGAATGTAAATATGCCGGTGATTTTCATTTCTAGTTTTGTTGTTCAAAATCTATAGTTGAAGTGAATCATCAAATATACGAACGGATATTGCTCACAAAGTGTAAACATACCTCAAATATTGATTGTAGCTGCAACCGGTGGTATATAGGAATAAGATACACTATGGCAGTCATTGCGGCAAAGATAATTCCAACGGCAATAAGTATATGGGCCGTTCCGACAAGGTACACCTCCGCCGGTATTCCAACCAATGAAAAAGATGACATGTATGTGACACACATCGACAGTCCCACAATGATCTAACATGGAGCATAAAAATATAAATATTCGGCATTGAATTTCTATACGTTGAAAAGTGTTTATCTGGGGTTAGCACGAATTAACTGCACATTTTTCATTTCACCTGTACTTGTAGGCCCTATTATAAATAATATACTATTAATACAGTTGGCTAACGGGTTATCGCGAATGCATCGGTTTGACTTTCACAAAATTTGGAATGCACATTTTCCATTTTACCTGTACTTGTATTATATATATATAATACTATCAATACAGTTGCCTAACAATAAATTCAAAGTTATTAAGATCATATCGGAATCGAGTTTCTATCATTTTGGGAGATGCACGGTGTCACCTATTGACTAAAATGAATGAGTGATTCGCTAGATGAAAAGACATGATTTAAAATAAGTAAGACTGCGTGGCAGTTGGAGTTCAAACTTCATTATCAATACAATTCATTTGGTAGAAAAATATAAATGCATCGAGTATTACTGAAGAATAAAAGAGAATAATGATCATACAGGATTCGATTTTCTTCCAGCAAAGTAGTAGTTGGCAGTTGTGTTGTTTTTTCTATCTCTGAACGCGAAGAAAACGCCAATGAAAGTGGATAGAGCAAGAAAAACTGAAAAACAAAAATATTATTAGTGTGTACGATTCCCTGCTGCCAAATGGAAATTTCTAGTCTTTTTTCTTGCAAAAATGTTATGAAAAAACATGCGTAATATCTGTTTGGCGTAAATTCATCAAAAGTTTGAAACTCACAAATTATTCATTGCTGAAGAAACTTGTTTTGCCGTTAAAGAGTTATTTCGACCAAAAGTGCAATATTTTGGTTTGAAAATTACATAATTATTAGCAATTCAAATAGCATTTTTTATAAGTAATTTCATGAAAAAATACATGCTAAGGTTATTCATGAATTCCTCCACATGGACTAATATGGTTGTGTCTAATAGTAAAGTTACTCACTTGCAAAAACTGTAAAATCCACCGCACCAAACCATTTCTTCGCATTATCAGTTGAATCCATAATGTTACGTGTTATTCGTCCAAGCTTTGATTTAAAAAATTATATATCTGTCGCCCTATAGAAATATATATATATATATGAAAGCACGTCTCATAAAACGTAATAAAATGCTGGCGGAAGAACCTCTTGATTGGCACGATGAACGTCTGTCTGCTGCACAGTTTTGTTTGGGTTATCCTCATCAATCACCTAAAGCTAGACACATCGAAGGTGATGAGTGCACTACAATAAACATGCGCAGGCAGTAACAGAGAGTTGCAATAAAATGTTGGTCCTTACAGATAATAAATGCGCGAGGTAGGCTACATCAGTACCGTACTGTACGTGCTGTCGAATTGGGATACTCAACATTATTTTAATGACAATATCTCAATATATATATGCTTCATCACAAAATCCACATCAGATAAATATCTAAAAGATACCATCATTATATGTACATATGTATATAATTATGATTTTTGCGTAATATATTGCTCTGGAATAGATTCTACTACGAGTCATCTGAAATATTCACAATTGCAAAAATTTAATCCGTCGTATTGACGACATAATCAGATATTTAATACTTCAATTACCAAAGTTTAATTTGGCAGCAACTTCTCTATCTTCGTATGTGATTAAATTTCTACTATATACATCAACCAGAGATCTACAATAATCTAAACTAAGAATAATGGCCCACTCTTTTCCTCATCAAGCATTCGTTTATTGAAATGTGTCCTCGAATGAAGGATAAACAGTATTCCCATTTGCGGCATTGATTCCATTCTAATATTGGGGACAAGTGGTAATTAAATGCCATCATTAATCGAACAAACTAGTTAACTACACCATGAAGGAACCGGGATTACTTTATTTTGAATTTCCTGTTGAGCAAGGCAGCGGAAGTCCGGACTAAGGGCAATTGTTAATACTAATTGCTATTGGGTCCCATTTTTTTCACTTTGAAACCCACGGGTAGGCGGTAATTGTATTTCGACGATCCGCAACTGGTTTTATGCATAAACTTATTACAACTTAGTTGTTGTGAGCAGTGAACTCATCTGTCATGTAAGTGTACGCATTAATTCACAGATGCGCAAGTTACGGTGACTCTTTAAAACTGCGTTTTCATTGATTATAATTTGTGTTTGTCGTCGAAGCACGTTCATGTAATATTCTTGTCATGTATTTCAATTGATTTCTAGTCTAAGCTTAGTTACCGTCAGAGAGCACCAAACGATTCGGCTTGCAAATTTTAGGGTATAAAAACATTTGCAACCAATACACAGTCAACTCTATTATGCGATCAATCTGCGACTATAATATTCTGCGAAGAAGAGCTTATAACTGGATTGATTTTATTATTCGTTCACAATGCATGAAGTAGGTTGGTAAGCTCATCTTACGTGCTAATTGATTCAGAACTTTGAATGTTAAAATAAAATTCTGGCAAATAGTCAAATTTTACATAATAAACCGCAAAATCGAATCGCGAAGTTTATACTGAGGCGATGTTAATGAATAACATCTTTTATATATATAGACTACCGTGTTTGCCGTTAAACTTTTCATTTTTCTAATGTATTGCCTGGCAACGAACAGGCAGTCGGAACCTATATTTACAAATGTCTTGGAACTACGCCATACTTTAATTAATTTTGTGAATTTTCACGGACGCTCGTATTTACCGAGTTCATCGCTTAAAAATTCGTTTTTTCTTTTACGAGTCCTCTCAAATATGCACAAGTGCAAAAATTTAGTCCGTCGTAATGACGACATAATCAGGAAGCCCGTTTGATACTTCAAATATCAAAGTTTAATTTGGCAGCAACTTCTCTGTATTCGTATGTGTTTAAATTATTTATTAACTATAACGATATTAGTATTTAAAAATCTTAGGTTTCAAATTTTCGCACATTGTTCGTCATTTTGTGTATTTACCCATTTTTCACATGCGTCTTTAAACAATACCAATGCGTAAAAGATGATGTTTGTTCGTAGCCCTATTACTAGTTGCGAAATTAACTCGTCAGATTGTCGCAACACCGATTACTGCACCTTACACCATTAGCAACAGAAATGGAATGGATACTTTGTGTGTGAGAAACGGTGTTTTCAAATTTGGTATTTTTTGTTTACAGATTCGTTTGAATTATTACTTATTAGATATCATTTTTCGAGTTCGTTATTCAGTTCTGGTATTTAAAACGATCAATGGCGCGGTTGATGATTATCTAGTTTTATAGCAGGAGATTCGATGAACCCTTTGACGAACAACCATCGTGTTTCGTATTGAAATCTGATTTTTTTGTTTACGGCATATTTCTTTAACTAAAATTTGTGTTGAATTCAAGAAAGTTATAAAAAAACATTCGACTTATAAACATTAAAAGTAAAACAAACAATATAAAAATAACCAAAAAAGTTATATGAAGTACTGCATAAGAACAAGAGAGCGATGCTAAAATATATGGACACGAAAGCCAAAGTGAAGCCGACTTTAGCGTAGCATGAGGTAGGTCGCAGAACCCCCACAAATATTTTTTAATCTCTTTGAAGAGGTCATCACACAAAATATAGAAGTGAAAAACGGATCACATAGATCCCACGGAATATTTGGAAATAATTAAAAGTGATATCCTCCTAGCAAAAAGTACAATCTTCATCCACTGAAAATTTCAAAGTAATTGGTTCAGTAGTTGAGGAGAAAAGTAATTTTTTTCATGACAATAAGAAGATAAATACCAACAACAACATAATAACAAGACGATCCATGTTTACATTTCGTGTCCAATAACGAAAGCAGTCGGGTATGAAAGCTGAAGTTATCAATTAATCAAGTAAATAAATAAAGCAAGTCGCGTTGCGCTTACACGTTAGTTCTTTTTATTTTCTTTTCAAGTTGAATATTAACCAACCAGCTATAGCTTAAATATATAGTTACGATGAATCGCAGTGGAGATTGGCTCACTCTTACACCTCCAGGCGGTCATTTCCTTATGTTTTGCAAGGAATCGTTCATGCGTAAATAGTGGCGGCATTGGGTTATTTTTTAAGTAAAGGTGACAGTGAGGAATTCGTCAAGGTGATCCGATTAGTATGTTTATTTTCATAATTGCAATAGAACCACTTATAATATATATAAACACAGAAAATAATATTCGTGGAATTGTTGTACCAGGAAATAATGAATTGAAAAGTCTTGGATTTGCTGATGACGTGACTCTGGCATTAGGTAAAGAAAATTCCATAAAAGAAGCATTGAAAGTTATTGAAAGGCATCAAATAGCAACAGGTATGAAATTGAACAAATCTAAAACAAAATTAATGAGAATTGGAATTTGGAGACGAATAAACCCACAACAAGACATCAGTGAAGTTGAATCCATGGAAATATTAAATGTTACATTTGGGAATATAGATATGTGTCAAATTAATTGGATGAAATGTTTAGAGGAAGCAAAAAATGTTGTAAGAGAATTACAGGATATCAAGTTGACTTTAGAGGGCAAATGTATATTAGTAAAATTAAAGGTGTTGCCGCAGTTTCTATATTTATCGAAAGTATTTCCGATGCCAAATTCTATAGGAAAAAGAGTGAATGACATGGTGGAAAAATTTGTATTCAATGGAAGAAGCATACTGAGAATAGGGAATTTGTGCAAACCAAAAAATTTGGGGGGTTATGATATTATTAACATACCCATTTTTACAATGTCAGAATGTGCATGTACATAATTAGTGTCTTGGATTATTATAAAGCTAGAGAATGTGATTATAATGAGGATTACAATCATATTTGTATGTCCTTTGTTGAATACAATATTGGACAACAACTTAGTACATTTTGGGGGATTAGAACTAAAAATACATGTTTACATAGATTTTGTCCTCAAAGTGAGTATAGATTAATATTAGAATTTTTAAGAAAGCATAACATAAGTAGTACAGATATAAAAGAAGATATGCATAAAACTATTTATAAAAAAATTGTTATTTCTATGACTGGGGACAGATTAATTTTTCTACGCAATTGTAATTTAAATATTGCATGTGAGAATATTCATAATAATATTCTGGCAAACTATATGAAAACCTTTAATTTCAAGTTAATGTGGGATATTTTACCAGTAAAAACAAAACCTGGAATAAGAAATATAGCAGGAAATGATATGTGTGTGTTATGTGGAAAAGAACCAGAATTTGTTAGCCATCTATTTATGAATTGTGAATATTTTGATTATGTTTTTGATTTTATGGAAAATACTGTTAGGAAATTAAATAATGCCAGACTTTTGAAAAATTATGAAACTTGTGTTTTATTGGATTTAAGCTATTTGTTACATTCCAACATTACAAGACGAGATTTAGATATTATTGTTTATTTAATTTCAATCACTAGATATAAAATATGGATACAAAGAAATTCTGTTATATTCGAAGGTAATCCCCCTAATCAGCACCTAGTTATCAAACAAATAAAAACTGCAATCACTTACAGACTCAACATTGAAAAAAATAGAAAATCACCAAATTTTGTCAGAGAATTTGAAATACTAAGGAATTGTATTTGAACTATAAATCTAGTGTGTATAAATTTAGTATGTATTAGAATGAACATGTCTAATATATTTAATTTTTTACGTTTATTGTACATAATCTAACTCAATATACTAAAAATTGATGAATTGTATGCCGATGCGATCAACACCTCAAACACTGATGGAATGGACATATAAAAAATGAATATTGGATTATTTATCTTATGATTGCTCGAATGGTTATATACTTTTTGTTATAATTTATTATATTATCCCAAAAAAAAAAAAAAAAAATTTTAGTTTAGGATATGTATGTATGTATGTCTATTAATTCACTTTCATCTGGACAAAAATTTTATAAATAATTGAATTTCATATTGGCACTGGAATTCTATTTGGCAAAAAAAAAAAATGTATGTTTATTCGTCTCGTAGTAATTATAAATACTGAAGACGGGATGGATGCACAAGACCATACGGTACCCGTACCGGTACCGGTACTGGCCTAAAACACCAACGTGCGGCATCTACCACTTTTGATTATAATAAGGTAAATCAAATATGTATAATATGGTCCTTTATACAGACAGAGACAGTTGTGCAAGGAGGGTGGGTGGGAGTGGTAACAGAGATAAGGGTGGAGTATACAAAACTGTTTGTACAAAGGAGTTTGTATAACAAAACAACATTTATATCCTAAATAAAGACACAACACAACATGAAACACACTGCATGTAAATATAGTAATTAGTTACTATATGGTAACTAAGTACAATACCATTGAGTGATGGTACCGTACCACATAGACTACTATAAAACGGGGGAATGGTCAAGTTTAAAGGGTGTGTACCGGTACATATATCTGTATATGGTATGCACACTTCAGGGGTGATAGTGTTATAAGTAGTCTATGGCGGGTCTCGTGTAGTTTCGTACCTAACGTACTTCTAGTGGGCGTAGCATAACAATTTTGTGATATGTCAATCCTAACCCCCATCTGATTACGCCATCCAAAAATTAAATCACTACGACATCACAATCACGGCATATAGCTTGCCAAATATACGCACGATCGACCGAAACGGCTTTGGCGCCGACGATAAAAAACTGACTGACGTTATTGGTCGAGAGAACTAACTGTTCGATTTCGGGTGCTCATTTGCGCGTCTTGGATGGCAGTTCGTATAGTTTGAAGGGCTCTATTAAGTCACTGTGACGTCGTAATGACGTAATTTTTGGATGGTGTAGTCAGGTGGGGGTTAGGATTGATACGTGAAATAATTTTCATGCTACGCCCACTAGAAGTATGTTAGGTAAGAAACTACATGAGACCCGTCTATGGCTGTTCTGGCAGAAATGTGACCCTACAAGTTTTGGTGGAATGTGATGTATGTATCAAATTAATCACCCTTCTAAGGTTTTTTTTGAATTCTGGATTCAGCCAAAAGCGATGAAATTTTGAAAATAAATTAATGCGAAGTTAAACATTTGCGACATATGAATGTATCGATGGGGCATTATATTAATTTGAATCTTGTTTTTCACTGATTTGCGGCGTATGATTACATCGATGCGGCATGATATTAAATTATTTTGCTAATTATATTCTTGTTTTTCGCCGATCTATTTTTGTATAACTTACGCATTTTGCGGCATATGAATCTCTCTTTGCGTCATTAGATTGTATTATTGCTTTATAAACTTATTCATCTAATGCTGCATCGAGGCATTAAATTTACTGTTTATCGATTGTAGGTGTACGAAAGAACATAAAATATGATATATGGTGTTATCAAAATGTAATTTTTATTCTCTCTGATCCATTTATTATCGTTAACACGCCATCCTATTTACATTGAAAATTAGAGAAACACGCCAAGCCAAGGTTTGCGTCGAGGAACGGCCGATGCGTGCCTGCGTGCATCGATTGAAATTCAGTGATGGCACATACCGCCGATCGTTTTTTGCTCATTTCTCTCAATCGCTTCGGTAAAATTTTTTTTCCTTTGGTGGATCTGATTATTTTTTTCCGGGGAATTCAATGGTGATGGTCTAAGCTTGCGCTTATTTTTAGTTCAATACGCAACTTCGTTTTACTGTATCTTTACCGATATTGAGGGAATTAGCCGCCAGACGTCCCTCGAGGAAGGAGCTTCGATTTCTATTTAAAATAGGATTCTCTGAAACCCGACAAAGTCTCATATAGTGTGCCGTACTGATTGGGGTATCGGGTTCTTTAGTCGTTTTCGATTAGTTCAATTTAAAAATATTGTATCCGTTCCAATACTTTCAACATTAATATCCGATTTCCACGAACGACCACTATTCCAACAGGTGCAGTGGTCTCATTTTTGTGCGCTCTGTTTCATCATCCACAACTAGATTCATAAAAGGATTGAAACCTCGCAATGTATCCGTAACAGATCGTTCACCATTTAACTTTAATAAGTCCAATCTTTTATCCATAAACTTCTTCAATTCCGGTGGATGGACTCTGCTCATGTTGATATTACACGATACAAATACCGAAACATACAGCGCGTAGCATTCTCTAGTCTTTTCAAGCAGACATGTCCGCACCCGACAAGAGTCTGAATGGAATAATATGGTGAAAGCAGAAAAGCCAACGAGACTTACCGTACTGACTCCCTGACCTGCAGACTCCAGTCTGTACAGTGTTATGGCAGTATGGTGCTGCATTTCAATATTCCAGTATTCTATTATGGCATTATGATATTGCCAAACTGCCAAATGATCTGTCTGTCTTGCATCATATTAATAATATTTAATTTTTGTCTGGAAATTATTTCAATACTGTAATAACTGAATCATATATAACTTTTGAACATGGGAACGTCACTATTTTCAACATAATTAACGACTGAACGATTGGATATAAAGTGTGAAACTATTGAATCAGCAAATGGAACTGGGGAATACTGGAGTAGGCATTGATTATGGTAATCAGTTTAGTCTTGGGATTTTGACTTGATTTTGACATATCTCAATATCTTCGACAACTTTGGAGCTAGAAAGTTTGGAAGCGTATGAAATACTCGTCATTCATATTGTATAAACTCAAGATTCTTCATTCATTCATTAATTTGTTTATGTTCAATCTTGAATAATGGCTGCTATTGGAGAAATTCTGAGTAGCATTGTAGCAGATTATGAAAATATTTCAAGGTATTTATGAATGTTATATTTTCTCGAAAATTCAGAATTTGGTTAGGAGATAGGTATCATGTATAGCTGTAAAGGTTAAATGTAGTGAATAATGGTTTGCTGGACAGCTACACTGCATTGGATTGTATGAAATATCTCAACATGATAACTTGATAAATACTGATACAGAAAAAGAATAAAAACCTTACCTGCCATGTAGTAGCGACGTCTTTCCAAATGATCTATTCCTGTTTTTTATTTTGATTTTTTTCAATATTCATCTATCAAATTCACAAAATGATGGCATGAAAAATTTGCTTACTAATATCCATTCCATATCCTGATATCGATACAAAATTTGAATCTTGTCAAAATTAGATTTGCCCATATCTGCCATATCAAAAATGCAATATTTAAACGCAGTGCGAAGCCATCAAAGATAACATCTCATTCGAAGTAGCCAATTGTGAAACATTCATTGTCCTTAATTAGGCTTTCTGAATTCAGGAAGTTTTTTTCTACTTTTCTTTGTACATATTTATTCATCGAATTATTGTCGTCAACAGTTTGCCTCCAGAACAACTTGTAACAAAATGTGTGAAGATTCGTGAAAGTTTGAAGATGATTATTCATCATCATTTGACAGATGTTAATTCAATTTTTAAAGAACTTGAAAAAGCAAAGGGAAAAACTTCACAAGTAAATTATTAGTATGCTTTAAATATTATGTATACAGTCTAATACATGTCGTTGTCATTTTCAGGGACCTTAAATAAATTTTAATGAAGTACATCCGAAACGAATAGGCCCAACTGTTATTTTCCTTATAGCCAAAGCCAACATGGACTGACAATAGGACGATAAGTTGTCGTATGACTGAGGTGTGTAATAATAGTGGATAGTGAGTTAATAATTATAACAAAAGCAGAGCTTAGAAACACAACAAAGTTTAGATTTTAGTACGATAGCCCAGTTATTTTTTACTGCTGTATTTGTTTTTTGTTTGTTCATTTTTTGATCCAAACCTGCTTTGTCTAGTTTGTTTTTCTATTTGTATTTCTGCATTGTTGGTTGATCAAGGTGAGTGAAGGAGATTTTTTTGTTTTATACTTCTTCACAAGTTAGCTTGCTGACCAGAATTTTTATCTATTTGTATCTATTCATCTTCTTTCCTATTTGTATGTGAAGTTGTAAGAGGTATTTCTATGTATTGAAGTAACTGATATTAGTTCTGGCCTCTGGGTTACTCAATTAATCTTAATTCATTTTTTTAGACTGAAATGGTACTCAACTTTCTGCATCATTTGATCAGTCAATTTCCACATCCTGTATTTGCACCTTCATCTGCTCAATTCCACATGTTTTCAGAGAATGAGAGAAAAATGAATTTCTCAAACTACAAAGGCAATTAATTTTTTTTAAGTTAGCTCTTTTGATTTTACCTTTGCTATGCTTTTTCTTCATAATATGTAATCAACAGCAGTGGTTATTAGTTTCTTAGGTTACAATCTATGCTTTAAGCCCCATGCCCACTAACCCGTCGTAATACATTGAATGGGTAATGCTGAATCGGGGGATTACAGTCATTCATAAATATTGTACCTAACTCCTTACATAGTCAGTGGTTTCTTGTACAGAGTCTAGTTCAGAGCAATCATTTGAAAATATCTTATAAAACAAAATTATCCTGTTCCATATATCATTATTTTTATATCATCCTCACTATATCTCTTTATTCAGATGCATTTTTTATTGCTTGTCATTCGGTTGTATTTATTTCAGATTTTGTGTTTTGGCTTTGTAATTCCCTTCTACGCTTGCTGTCGACATCAGATCTGAAGAAAATTCATAATGACATCAGTAAGATGCTGATTGCATTATTTGAACTGATCAAGACAAAAAATATACCTATGTTCAGATTAATAATCACTGAAGTCATTCAACTTAGCGCCGGTAACATTTTACTGCTTTTTCATAGGTGCATTGATTTGTGTATGAATTCTATGCAGCAAGTGTAAATGTACTGCTTGCTCGTCTACGCCAACTCTGGGTATAATTTTACGATTTATGTCTATTTCCATCTCATGCAACATATAGTGACACTTTATCTATAAACTTTATTATTATATGAATTGGACTGGTAAGGATAAGTGGAATGAGGTTTCTCACTCATGTTTATTAAAAGTTTTCCTATTTTAGGATTAAAAGTCGATAATTCTTCTAATGAGGTGTTTGTATCTTGCAGAGTTTCACCTAATCCTGTTATATCAGTACCAGTAACAATTTTTCAATTTTTGGAATATTTTGTTCAGCAGATCTGAATACAAAGTTGACTTTAAACTTACTTCAATGGTCAATTAATATTTTATTTATTTTTAGAACTTGACCAAATCTATGAAGATAACTTGAACCAGGAAGATAACTTTGAAAATTTACAGCAAAGCCTAAAAAAGTTTTCGTATTAATAACAGTGATAAAAATGCTTGTTTATCAATCAACTCATTTGATTTTCTTTGCACACTGAGGAAGAGTTGCAGTGGTCTGATACAAGTAATATTTCCCTATTTTAAATTTTTTCTGGGAATTCGTTCTTAGATTCCTCTACCAGGTCTTTATTATCAAACTGCATTACACTGTTATAACTTCTAAGATCAAAATTTATTTTAAAATTATTGAAAAATTGAAAAAGTTTTTCACCTAACAAAAGATAGTTGCTGAACTCAATAAGGAATGCTTCATTCACTTTTTAGATTTCACTCTGTTGTTCTGACTAAAACGATACTTTATCCTATTTCTATTTTATCTTATTGGCCATTTTCTCCGAATTACGATTGTGTTTATAAGTATATCTTTATCAAATTGGCAGCGTCACTGTTCTCCAGATACCTGTTTTTTGAAGTTTTTTTCTCATTATGTTCATATCAAATTTATTATATGAATTCATATAGATTTAAAAATGGATAATTGTTTATAAGCCGATGTTTTTTATAACACAAATATCAAATGATGACAAAGATAATTTTTGTCATTTTTCAACTAAAATTTATATATTTTAGTCAATCAAGACATTACTTCATCATTTTTAAAGTTTTCTTCTCTCTACTGCAGCCCTTCATCTCAGATATTTGTCAATTTGCTGAAGATCAATTGGATGTTGTTTGGTGCATTTCATTATTTCAACTGGAACATGGTGATTTCATGCTCAAATCATCATCACTTCAGCTACTAACTTCACTTCTTCAACATTCAGGAATTCCTAAAAACCAGGTAACAATGTTCCATTGTGCATGAATAAACCACCATATAGTGATATCTCATGCTTTTCAAATTAGACTGTATCAAATGTTCAATATAATGAATTGTATTTTAGAAACCAAGCACTTGACAATCTGTTATTGATTTGATAAGTTTGATTTGTTCTTCCTTTATTTAAAACTATGTTTCCTGTTTTGCTATTCTTTCCTTCATCTGTATAGTTCATTCCATTGTAAATAACCATATTGGCGATAACTGGCTCTTTATCTGTTTACATCTACAGAAATACAGAAATTTTGCAGTGCAGTAATTTTAATGAGAATTTTCTATACTTTTTGTGCAATTTTCCTTCTATTCTTGTGTGTTTGTCACTAAGAATTGATTAGAACTCCATCTTTTTATTTTTCAGATTCTGCAGTATTTTGTATTCTGTTTCGTTGCATCCTTTGAGTTGGGAGTTTCTTTGTTGAAAGAAGATGACATTTCTTTAAAATCAGAAGAGGATTGGGAATCATTTTTAAACAGTTTCTCTCAATTTATGGACGAATTATTTTCTTTGCAAGGATTCACTGTCGACAGTTCTTCATTCAAGACTGAAGAGAGGGAGAAAAATATTCACACAACCAGTGAATGTGTCAACAAAATGACTGTAAATTATTATATCCCTCAAACTTATATTTTGACTATTTGTGAAGTACTCATTGGTGAAATGCAAACATTAAAATCCACAAAGATTGACGATACTGACGTAGCGAAGAAATTCGTGGCATCTATGATATCTTGTTTGCGGCATATAGTTGTTTCCACAAGACGTGACCTTGACGCAAGCCCTTCCTTGATAGCGATGTCACGAATGAGAGATATAAACCGTTTATGCAACTTGGTTTTAGATAATGATCAATTTCGAGACAGCTCCATGTTAATATCTGAATGTATAGTGTGTGAATTATCATACTATTTAGTCAATAAAATTGATGGCGACGTGAACACATCATCGGAGTTTCCAATCCTGGATAGCATTGTTACAATTTTTACACAGAAACAACAAAGAATTATGAATCTCTGTAAAGATAACTCTAATGATGTCACAAAATTAATTCTCCCAATGGATGGTTATTGTTCATATTTAAATGTTTTTGTTAGTGTCATGTTGTCTGTTAAACAGCATGAGGATTCTACAGATGTCCTTTTTATCAGTTGGATGACCACTTTCCTCAACAAAATACTTCAAAGAAATGAAGTTTCAATGTTAGTCAAGGTTTTTCTTGATTGTATGAACGCTTCTTTCATCAAGTCAACTTCTACATCTTCAAAACCTTTGATTGAATTTTATAGACTTTCTTTAAAAATTATTCAGTATTACTGTTTATTACTGCATTCTGCAACTATGAACTGTTCGGATATTGAACGGTCTTCCATTGAGGTGTTTTCCAAAGCGTTGGCATTACCATTTACTACATTGTCATCTTTGCCTTGGATTGATTCATTGAAATTAGAAGATCTCAATTCAGATTTGGTGGATACTGGTTTACTGCATTCTACTTTGATACCAGTATCTCAAGGACTGAAAAAAGCTGGTATTAACATTTCAAATACTGCCGATTTGAATGCCGAATCAAAAGATGTTATTTGTGAATGTCTGAAGGTTTTAGCTATTGCTTTCGAACCAAAATATCAACGTTGGCGTTCCTCTATCCTTTTTAGATGGTCAATTGGAAAATGTATAGAGATTTCAAATACGTCACTTTCTATGTTGCCATTTTTCATTCAAAATTCACTACGTGGAACTGGAGCTTTTAAAGGAATATTAAGTCATGTAAAAACTGCCAGCAAGGAACTAGAAACTAAGTTTTCTCACACTGACTTACTTGTATTATCGAGTTTACTTTACAATATTATTAAACTTAGTCAAGGGAATTGCAGAATTTTGGTTGAAAATGAGCAAGATGGTAAAAATTTGTGCTCGTCGTGTTATCGATATCAAACAAAATTGTGTTCGTATTTTTTGGAATTGGTGCAGTACTCTGAAGAAGTAAATATGTCCAATGTTCTTGATCTTGTAGGCTCAATTGTAACTTCATTGCAAAATTGTTTACTTCATCATTCTGTGAATAACATGCCAGAAGATCATCAACAGTGTTATTCCGTACTTCAAAATATGTACTTGAAAGCAGCTGGGGAATATTTTGCTTCTTTGCAACAACAATCTGTAACTCAAGATATGAAAGGCATTTTAACACAATGGATATATGATTTGAAATTTTACAACGACGCCGATATGAATTCTATGTTTGGCAAAATAATTGGAAAAGATAATTTGAGTTGGACAATAACTATCATGGCCATCATTGTGGAATTATTGATGTAATAAGTTTTTGGAATTTGGTTTTATTTTTGTTTGGATAGAATCTAATTTTTATAGTTTATTTATTCCAGAAATTAGAGAAATTTTTCACTTTTGGAGTTTAACAGTCGAAAAACTTCCCCAAACATGTCAAGCTTTAATTTTGGGTCTCATGTAGTTTCGTACCTAACATACTCCTCGTGGGCGTAGCACGACAATTTTTTCACATATCAATCCTAACCCCCACCTGACTACACCATCCAAAAATTACGTCATTATGATGTCACAGTGACATAATAGAGCCCTTCAAACTATACGAACTGCCATCCAAGACGCGCAAACGAGCACCCGAAATCGAACGGTTATTTCTCTCGTCGCAACGAATCCAATAGGAGATAGATTTATAACAATCGTCAGTTCTTTATCGTCAGCGCCAATGCCATTTCGGGCGATTGTACGTATAATTAGCAAGCTCTATGACGTAGTTGTGATGTCGTAGTGATGTAATTTTTGGATGGCGTAGTCAGATGGGGGTTAGGATTGACATATCAAAAGATTGTTATGCTACTACCCAATAGAAGTATGTTAGATACGAAACTACACGAGACCCTTAATTTCACTCTAGGACGTTGTTGGCAAAAACTCATGCCTTTTGTAATTTTTTGATTCATAATTTTTTTGAACCAAATTTGAAGATTTTTAAACCAGAACAAAGAAAAAACCTTATCAGTAGGCTCCATAACCCATTTGCTTTCATGCGAGAAAGGGCAAGTGCATACTCATGAATATATGTACATTTGGAGTTTTGATCCCAATTTTTGTTTATAGGAATTCACACAGGAAGAAAGATGTTAAGGCTCGACTTCATGGTATTAAGTTAATTGGTGTTATACTCAAATTATCGATGAAGGATTCAAGTCTTGAATTAACTTGTTCCGATATATTTACTTGGTCTGTCACTCAACTTTGCACGCAACTGTCATCTTCACTCCTTGTTGTGCAATCGAATGCATATTTAGAACTCAGTAATATATCATCTTCAAACTGTATCCAAAAACATAGGTGAGCTAGTTTTCATGAATGATAACTATGTTGAACTAAAAATTGACTAAGAGGGGACTAATTAAATAGGGAATGACTGAAACCAACTAACTTTCCATCTCTGGAATGATATGTTCCAATATGATATATCAAATATTGTCTATTTTTACAAATTCCGAAATTGATTGGAAAGTTTTTTGTCTCATTGTGATAATTTTATTTAGTTTTTGAAAGTTTTTATTTAGGTTATTTTAAATTATTCACAGAATCAAGAGTTCAGAATACTTATCTAATATTACCATTCCGAATTCGTTGATTATTATAGGAGTAAATAGAATACGGTACATGCAGACCCGTTGTATGGACTTCTCGCCATATGGCAGACACTAGTCCCTTTCTGGTTCCGATTTCCGGTAAATATTTCTATCAACTACATAATACAAAAATCTTGTACTGAATCTACTGCGTATGTGCTGCAGACATGATAGAGCATTACAACCGATGTTTTATCCTCTGTTGAATACTGAATATTCATAACTCAAGCCATTAATTTCACAGCTTGGAAATTTGTACTTGCATTGCTAAAAGTCTTGTTGATAATGATCCATGTACTGGCAAACGTGCAGTTGTTGAAATCTTGGAAGATTTTGCAAATATATTTTCATCTTCTGCTGATGAATTTTTACGACATCATATGTCAGCCATCTTGCCTGTTGTCATCTCATCAGATAAATGTGAAAAACTTCTTAAAACGGTATGAATAGATTATTGTTTTCAACTCGATTTATCCGGTAGTTTGACTGCTTAAATAAGTATTACGCTGCCTGAGATTTTGATAGCTAGGTAAAAGAAATGTGAATGAATAAATGCAGCAGATTACTTGGTGAAGTTCCAAGCTTGCTATTAAATACTTAAAAGTTGAAAGTCATGTAAGAGTGGAGTTGTGAGCTGAACATTATCAATTTTGTCCAGGGTCGCAACAAATTTAGTACATTTATCTTATGCGCGCTACAGAAAAGATCAATAATAAAACATATTAGCAGAAACAAAATTGTTTAGCATCTAATTCTGGCCAATATTTTATTATTATATATAAGATGCTAATGGTCTGTTACGTCTTACTCTTCTCTCACTGATTGTGGGTGTAGTGCTAGGCACATGATTATTTCTTTCTCAATAAATACTCTAACTTCATTTTGTTTGGGGATATTATCATTACAGTCAAATTCAATATATGAATCCCATATTAAACATGACTTTGATTCAAGATTCAAGTGTATTATGCATCTTAAAATCTTTGTGATACAGATGATGTTTTTAATTCAGTTTGAAATTATTCATTCTCTCTTTTTTCATGTCACAGTTTAGTGAAACTACCGGGACAAGTAAAGCAGATATCCTAATGCAAAATTTTAAACACATTGTATGTCATGCTGTTGTCACTGGCAACAATCTACAAAATTTATTCGAATTTCTTGAGAAAGAAACAAGAATCAAGAAAGAATCATTGCTATTGTAAGAAAACTATTTTTATTAATAGCTGACTTATATTTTAATTGCCAGTAGATTTTGAATAATCCTAAATATAACAGTCCAAATTTAGTCATTTAATCATCAGAATAGAGGATCCACTCTGCTAAAAATTCTTATTACATTCTTATTTGTCTGATTTGTATTCAAACCTAAACTCCAATTCCAGCTGACTCGCAATGGCCAATAATATATTTTTTGCCATAGACTGTTTTCATTGTCTCTCATATAATACAGACCTAAGCCCTAAAATCTTGTTTTTCAATATGGGATATCAAAACATTAAATTTAATTCAAGAGTATTGCTGCACACTAACACAAATGTATTTCTGTAACGTTTCGTCTGGCCAAGGTCAGACTTCTTCAGACAAGCATTTTGCAACTGTGGCAAGAAATGCAATGGCATGCACATAAATAATGGTATCAAACATTAAAGTTTTTAATTTCCTATTTCATTATATATCAACATCGGGATAGGTTTTCAGAAGCATATTTGAAATTGAATTTAAACCATATGCTAGGAACCAGGTGTAGCATTTTGGCGAATGTCGCATACATTATGTCAAATTTTTTATAGCAGCAAATGTGCTGTCACCAGTAAAGCTAAGCCTGTATTGATATAACACCCAAGCTTACTTGTGCAGCCCACTTATTGTATTTAGAGATCTGATAAAGTTTTTCAGTTTTGATATAATGACTCTTGAATCATTATTTTTGTATTGCTATAAACAGGCTGAATTTTGGAGGTCTTTTGCATCATTTGGTGTCACATATCAGTGTAAATGTTGATGGTGTTCACAGTGCACTCACTGTTATATCTGATGTTAAAAATTCATTATCTAAAAAGGTTGGTAAGAGTTGCAATTGCAATACAATTTGATGATGATAACTATTCACAATTTCACTGTTAATGAAGCTATTTGAATAGTATTTATATTGATTTTTGATAGCATTATTCTTTTACCTTCTTATTGTTGATTTAAATTTGCTCCTTCATAATCAAGTGCTCCGATGGTTTAGCAATTAGGATAGTTTGACGCAAAAACTTTAAGCCATGGAATCTTCTTTTTCAGGCTTGGTATAATGTTGAAAACAAATTTATTTGTCAATTGAGCATTTCATGGAATAATTGATCAAAAATATTTGTTTCATAAATATTAGGTAATGCGCTAGTTGTTGTACTGACTATAAATATTGTCTATTAACCTATAGCAATTAGCAATTCTCCCAAATATTGTTGCAGTGTAAACATCGAAATAAAGTTATTTATTTATTGTTTTTAGGCATCAAAAAGTGCTTCAGGATTATCTGAATTACTTCAGCCACATTTCCTGGGAATTTTGACCTTCTTCAATTGCCAGTTAAGATCATCCTCTGTGGCTGGGACTGAAAAGAAAAGGGTAACAATCATTTTATAAATTTATTCATTTTATATACAACAAAAGCTGGTCCAGAAGACTAGTGATATTTAATATTTGAATCTTTCTGTCACATTAATCTGAATGTCTATTTCAAAATACCCTTTTCTGGCTGGTCTATGCTCATTTGGCTTTAAGGCCTTTTCAGTGTGGTATATTTTTCTTCTTTGGATCATTATTTCTGTTATTGTCATATCTGTGAGGAAGAAAGGTATTCAATTTGATTTGGGACTGTTTTCATTTTATATTTCAGATAATTGAAAGCCTGACTTGTTTATTGAAATTAATGGATGTTCGTGAAGTTACTTCAGTTAGAGTGAAAATCATCAACACCCTATGTCTTGCCCAACAATTGTTCAAGCATTTGTAAGTTATTTGAACTGCTTACTTACTATTTATTTTGTAACTTACTTTGAAGTCAAACAGAAGTTGAATAGTGATTACGGTAGGTCCAGTTTGCAAATACAGATTACAAATACAAGTTACCATTAATCTATATCGTTTCAGTATCGTGTTACCCATTTAGATAAATAGATGAATACCCTCTACCTTTGAGTGAGTCTACTTTTATCGAATTATTTTGGAAAAATTATAAATGAATTTTCTTGCAGGAATTGGTATACAATTTGTTGCGAAGCTTGGAATACATTTGTCAGATGTATTGAACCTTCGTGTCTTGGATCATTATTGAGTCAGATTACTGTTACTTTGTTACCTCTACTGGAAACTTTGCCTAATCAGGTAAATACAGGATAGTTCAAAAAGCTCCGGTAATTTCTGCCCACCTGCCGCCCCTCCTAATTCCTCGCACCCTGTTTGATCTCTTTTGCCCCCCGGGGCGATATCGCTGATTTAAGGTATACCAATATATATGCGATGCAATACAAAAGACTTCGGATTCACAATTCTTAACGCAAACAATTTTATGGTCTGCTTGTAATATGCTCTGTTAGTAACAATGGTCTGTTAGTCTATGGCAGCGTTTCCCAACCTTTTTTGGTCGCGGACTATTTTCTCACTGGCGAAAACCTTTGCGGACTCAAGGTGCGTTTATTGCAACCGTACTCCGTGTGAAGAAGCAATAAAACCTAACACAACGGAATTTGAACAAATTTCAAAATCGGAAATTCTCCGCAATTACGCGTCCGTTAAAAGAGCCGACTTTTTTTGGTGTAATGGCCTTTTCTGTCGCACTATATTCAATCCATGACAACGACGAGAATTGAAAATGTCTTTCTATTTTAATTGGGTTCATGGTAACTCGCCTTGCCAGATTATATTTTGTTTTGATTCGTATTTTCGAATCGTTTTTCGTTTATTCAAATTCAATAAATCTGAGCTGTTCGTACAACGCTCACGGCGCTCCAGTACTGTACGTACCAATGTGGGGATCTGAAGGAAAATGCCCTGGTACATATACTACAGTATCATGCAAAATTTTGCGACTTGCAATTTCTGAAGAAGCGTTTTTAATCGGTCGCGTACAATCATAAAACAAAAGTTATGGGGCTCACCATTTTATTTTTAATTTAGAAAATTTAGGTTTCTACCATTGACACCTACTATAAAAAAAAATTATTTGTTCCTCGTTGTTCGAAATCGCGAGAAACACCACGCGTGTGCTCGTGTTTTCGTCGAAAATTCGCAAGTGAGTTGTGAAATTCAATCGTTTTGACCTTTCGCGTCACCTGTTACCAAATTTTCGAATAGTGGATTGCTATTCTAATAGTTGAATATTCGAATATATGCTCAGCCATACTCAGTAACTAGTAATAATTGACTTGATTAATGTTATGCGGATAAACTTGCGTTTTATGTTTTATGTGAATTTTAACGTAAATCGTAACTTGGCTGATAGTTAATTTTGGCAAAAACGTTTGCGACTCGCAGTGAATTTCTGGCTCGTTGCGGACTCATTCAAACGCTTCGCGGACTCATTTGAGACCGCGGACTCGGGTTGGGAAACACTGTTCTATGGTCTATTTTTCAGGGATAGACAAATCTAAATAATCTATTATTCTTAATACACTCTAAGATAATATTTTTGGAATGGAATTTTGAATATATTCTAAAATAGTTTGTGTTCCACAAAGCACATATAGAGAAATAATTTTATATTTAATACATTTGAATTGAGAAATGCAGGGAATTTAAAATAAAGAATGATCAGCCTGTTTTGTTTTATATTTTGTACCATTTTAGAAATTAAGTGAAGGCCTTTCAGGTCATACTGTGAAACTTTAGTCGTTATATGACACTGAGTTATTCCTGAAATCATCAAATCTATCTCAATATTCAATCAATTTTTGACATTTCTGGTTGATGCTCATGTGCTAACTAAATATCCAAACATGCGATCAACATTTATTTTCAGGTTTCTACTATCTTATCATATTTGGTGATAGACAAATCATCTAATACCAAAGATAATTTACATGAGTTGTATTTTCTTCCCAAACATTCTGCATTGGAGAATGTATACAGAAAAGTACAAGAAGAAATAAGCAGAAGACATCAGGGTGATATTGTAACCTATTTAGAGCAGGTACGTATGCTTAAAAAACAATTTCACAAGAACCAGATGTTAAAGCTAAATGGGAATATAATAGCTAAAATAATACGGCTGTTGAGTTTGAATGTGGCATCTTTTTTTAAATTACCCATGAGTGGCCTTTGGAGCTCCAGTGTTGTAGTCAGAATTTCAGAATTCATATAATGGTAATCAAAATGAAAGTGAAAATTTTCAACAGAAGCTCAAAAAACATGTAGCCTAGTTAACTAATCATTCTCAACAGATAATTAATGAAGACGACTTCTGAATGTTTTTTTGTCAATTTTTTTTTTTGGAAAGTTGAAAATAAAATTGCTGTGTTCACAGGTTGTGAATAAAATATAGCTACAATTCTACAATGTTAAATGTAACACAGTGGGAACAAATTGTTTCGATTGCGTGTATTGGATAACTTACTGTTACGGTAAATTACGTAGACTACCGTAAATCTCATTACTGTAGTACAATGTTTAATTTATTATTTGGTTTTATTCAATTTTTTTTCAAACTTCTACTACAGGCTATTCAGCTTATGTCACATGAAAGTGCAGAAGTCAGAATTCAAGCACTAACAAGACTGAAACAAACACTCAAAGAAAAACAAAAAGAAATACAACAACATCATTTGTCGAGTGGACGTGATGTTACTGATGTAACAATGTCACATCTTGTTTCAACACTACTATTTGGTTGTCGTGACAACAATAAACAAATTCGTCTTTTGTGTGGACAATGTTTGGGATTAATTGGTGCCATTGATCCAGATAGGTAAAATTTTTAAAAGGAACAATTTGAATTTTGAACACCTTCTTAGTACTTAAATATCATTCAGAATTGATTTAGAAATTGACGGTATTGATTTGACTGTTTAGAGTTCTACTTCAGTTAATTTCAGAGTCTTCTCAATTTTTGATTGTGTTCAAGATTCTATTTCTCTCTGTCTTTTTCACCTGTATTACAAATATCAAATATGGATTGTCAAAACCTATAATTATATATAATATAATTAACCAATTATATTTTCATATTTTTAGGCTTGTTCTCAGTCTACCTGGTACATCTACTGGTTTATCTGATTATTTTACGATCGATGATCCAAACTTTGCATTCCATTTAATTTCTGAACTTGTAAAGGCGTTTCTTGCTGCAAAACCAACCCATCAGGATATTTCTGCTTTTGCTATTCAGGAATTATTGAAGATTTATGATTGTAAAGATGGTCCTAAAGATACACATGGTAAGTGTAACCAACCTTGTCTATATAGCGAAAGTGATTTGCGGAATATAATTAATAATACAGCAATATTAGTCACCAGTTGTACGGACAGTTGAATCAAAATTTGGTGCAGGAGTAAGTCTCCTAAATTTGCTGTACTTCTACATCAGCTTAATATAAAGAACAACTTGACATATATGTACAACTTATTTGTTTTTTGATATCCTAACCAAATGCTTGTTCTTCTATAGGTCGTCGTTTATGGCGTAAATTTTCAGAAAATATTCAAGAAGTATTGGAACCCCACCATACTTCAAGGTATTTATGACAATATATGTTATATACAGCTACAGGGATAGTCTGACTTGGTAATTGCTTGTTTGAAATAACAAAATAATTTCGAGCATGTAAATGAACTTCTTCTAATTTTTATAAGGAATCATTTATTTTCACATTATATGATAATTTTGTAGTTTATATCAGTGGTGTGCAACCTCGAGTGCTGGAGAACTAGATACAAATAACTGGGTGAAACTGCGGGCCGCACTTTCATTTGACATAGGCTTTCTAGTAGTTGTAGGTACTAGGTACAAACATGTTGGTTATTGATATTATGACATGCTTTGTTTGCTTCGCACAAGCTAGCTGTGAGGACATTGTAACATCATGGCACAGGCACTGATCATAAATGGACTCGGGCTTTGCAACGAAAAGATATTGGAATTACTCGCTCTGCCCAGATTAAAACTGAATTGAAAACTTGTTCTGCGGGCCAGACGGCAGACACCATTTAAAATTTGCACTTCTCAGCGGGCTGCATAATTTTTTCTTGTGGGCCTCATTTGCAGGTTGCACAGTGCACACCCCTGGTTTATATGATCAGAGATTATTTTCGAAAATAACATAACTGTTACATTTAGCATTCATTGTATGCCAGAACCCTATTGTGGAGAAATTTTCAATTGAATGTACATACTTAATTTTTCAGATATTTGCTCAAGAAATCAGAGATTCCTCTTTCAAACTTGAAGCAACCAGTTTTATTCCGAAAACCAAATATGACTTTCAGAGATTGGGCTGGAAGCTTTTGTGCAGTTCTTATGCAAATGGTACTTAAATTAAATTCTTTATGAAGAAATTTTAAATATACTAAAAATTGTTTACAATTAGACGTGACGTGAGCCATGTTTGAGTTTATAATATGTAATCAGGATAGATTTTTGAATAGGAAATAAGTATAGTTTTCGGCTAATAAGTATATTATTTTTCGGCTAATGTTCCTGTATCATTGGATTTGTTTGTGACTTTGAGAATGCTCATAACTTCGAATAGTTTGGTATTCTAGTATTCTCTCTTCTGATTGATTTTGATTTTGTGAATTATAATAATATATTTTTTGTATCATAATTTATCATATATCATGATTTCGATGGAAAATTTCATACAAATAACAATCTAAATTTGTATCAAGATGTTTAGTAACTTTGATAGCAGCGAAGATAAAAATGGTTTCACAGCAATCAACTTTTTTTTATAAAAGACAATAACTTATCTTGTTATAACATTCAAATAGCTTGAGACTATTTTTGTTGCCAAACGCTACTAAGATATTGTTTAAGTACATGGAAGTCCTTTCCCTCGTTTATTTCCAATTTCAGATATTTAACATCTGTTTGACTAAGTACTAAGTAGTTTGTTGGAAGATGTTAGACTATGATCTAATGAAATCATTCAAATATGCTTTCTATTTCATGGATAAATGGTATTCTTGTTTTTTGTTGAATATCAAAAACCTTCTATTGTACAGGTCTATGAAAGCAGCGATATTACAACGGCAAGCAAGGTATTTCGCTCATGTTCTGCAGTTACAAGGAATGATGTCAATGTTGCTTTATTTTTACTTCCTCACACAACGTTACAATGTCTGTTACTCACTGATCATGCTGATTTCATTATTCAAGAAGTAGGTTTATTTTCTATATTGACTATCAAGCAGTTTACAGTAACGAAAATGGGTGAAAGTTATTGTGTGTTGTTCGCTGTGTCAAAGTTTAATATTATAAACTGTTGCTGGATCGAACTGTTTTTTGGTATATTGAATGCTTTTAGCAAGTCAACTGTATGGATTTTAATCATTTTCAAGGAAATTAATCACTGGATTCCTCTCTAAGTTTGAGATCTCTCAATACCTGTTGAAAATGAATAAAAAATGGTTGTGTCTATAGCAGGGGTGTGCAACATTTTTTTGTCGGTGTGCCATAAATAGCCAACTTCAGACATCTAGCCAGGCAACACGAAAATGTGTGATCACAAAAGCAAAAACAAATTGTATTTTTACCCATGTTGAGCGCCTATTTATACCTTAACTGTTGTATTAGGATTTTATGCTTGATGGGAAAAAATCTGAGTGTTAATAACAACATGTTGCACACCCCTGGTCTAGAAGTAGACAGAAACATCCTAGCCCTCAAACTGCACGTGTCATCAATGCTGTTTTATTGAATCAGTTGATAATTTGACGATTAACCATTGACTCGTGAGTCGCAAAGTGACCACTATAAGAAGACGCTGCGAGAAATGCACAGATTAATTGTATTGTTTTGTCATATATGATGTCACAGCCAATAGGACATAGGTGCATAACGGTATACAGGGCCAGGGGTGAACATGTGCGTTCAAGATTGAGAGTTTAAAAAATTTGAATTTGAGCGTTCGCAGGCCTGGCAGCTTACTCGTTAAATTTAATTAGAGCCTCCAAAGTCTGTGGTAGCGTAAAATAATTTGCTGTATCATCCTAAATGTTTTTGGGTAATTCATATGCATGTTTTTGTATACAAATTTCATAAAATTGAGTGCCATGAAGAGTCTAGTAGGCTCCGATAGAAGTGCTGCATGGATAAAGCCCGAAACTACCCAACACCAACGGAAGCTTATAAGATTTGCAAAAAAAGATGCACCAGTTTCTTTTTAATACAAACATTGATTAAATATATGTGACCCACACTTCTGTTTCGTGAAAAAAATATAATGTTTTACCCATTCATTGAAAAAGGTCCGTCATCCCTGATCTAGGCTGCAGGACCTTTTATAGAAGAGTAATGTGCATGTATTTCAACAACCCTGTTATTATGTTTGCAATTACAGATACTGGCAATTCTTGAACATACTGAGCAACTCATGGATCGAGTGGGTGTTGAATTTGAGATTGAGTCGAGTAACATGAGAACTGGTTCTGGATTAGACCAAATATCTTCTCAAGAAAATTCTGCGAATCTACTCAATGCACAGCATGCGAGAGGATCACATTTACTTCAACTTAGTGCGCAAGCAATTTTTTCTGCACTTGATCATATTACACGATGGTTAAGGCAAGCTGAAATTGGAGCTACGGATTCAAAGACGAAGGCTTCCAGGTTACAAAAATTAATATCCGTTTGTAAATGTACCCTTTTTATATTTTATTTGCATGTCTTCTACCAGTCATTGGGAAACTAAAATAATAATCTGTGATAGTTTGTGAAGTTGCAATTATTAATTATTTTGAATCAATATCTGTAGAATCAGAGATAGCCAAAACCTAATAATTTTCTATTTCTAACACATTCCGCAGAATGTCTAATATATTTTTAACTGGGTCATGCTTAACAGAAGACGTTGTATAGACTAATTAAGATTAAATTGAACTATATAAAAAAGTTTAGATAATTGATTGTTTTTGCTTATTGTACATTTCAAATGTGGGAGGTTTTTTTCCTTCACCCTGTACATGTTATTAAATGCAGCTTACATTTGTCTGAAATTGTTTTTAACTTTTTCAAATATGATTACTTTAGTTCTTCAAGAAGTGGACAGAATGCCGTGAATATCTCCTCGGTAAAAACATTTCTGAGTAAGATTCCACAACTGTCTCTGGCCGAAGCTTCATTCAGATGTCGAGTATACAGAAGAGCATTGTTACATTATGAAGCTCATTTGAGGGGAAATAGAGATAGTTCTTCTCATGGTGCAGGCTATACTGTGGTAGGTATTATTAAATCAAAAATTATACAAATTCTTATGTCAAGATTTTTGGATATCTCACTTATCCAATATTCTTTTTTTTATTTTCTTCAAAGGGGAACTTTGTTTCATTCCCTTTTTTAAACAAAGTTCAAACCTTCCCTCCTAATAGCTTACATGCTGCATGATGAGTGTCTAAAATGGGGTTCGAACCCAAGAAATATACAGCTTATGTTGTTATTCAGGATGAACAAGGGATCGATTTCCTTCAACAATTGTTTGTAGAAATGGATGAACCAGATGGTGTGGCTGGTATTGCTGCTGTCAGATTAGGAAAACCTACATTAAACATTCAAATCAAACAACTTGAAAGTACTGGAAAGTTACAGGTAAAGAGAGCAAAGCAATTAGCTGGGTAAGAAGGTGCCGTGTCTTAGAGAAATTTATTGGTGTACCTGGGTAACAAATTAACAGAAAATTTTTTGTGCTTTAATTAGGTCATTATTTCTAATATGGCTCTAGAGTCTAGCTAGAGGTAAGAAAAGGGTGCCGTTGTTCAATAACTGTGTTGGTTTTCCACGTCTCCATCCACCCTGAAATGCAATTTTTTATTTTGTGTATGTTTAGTGTGTATTTTGAGCATGGTGAAATAATAATCTACTGATTTCTGGCTACCGAGACATAATATAGTGGTGCAGAATTTGAAAGAATTAGCTGAAGCTAAAATTGAGTGTTTTTATAAATATAAATTTCATTTTTGAGATTCTAAATGGATTTATTTCGTTTTTCCCCAAAAAATTTAACATATATCATTGTGCGGATAGTCGATTTCACACAAAAACCTTAAAACTTTTCTTGAGTAATGTTAATTTTGTGTTCATAGAAATGGATTCCTTTAGAAAATTCTGTGATTGAGATTTGTATTGTAGGATGCCTGTACTTGTTATGAACATGCCATACAATTGAATCCAGAAGATATTCGCAGAAGAAAAGATTATGTTAAATGTTTGATGGATCTTGGACAACTTTCCACTGCAACCTGTGTCATAGATGGTACTTTGTCTAAACAGGGTTCTTGGAAGGTAAGACTATTGAATCATGAATCATGTCTCAACAGTGTTTAGAAAATTCCAAAAAATGTTACCTTTTACAAAAAATTGGTGGTTCCCAAATCCCAACCTTTGAATTCCGCCCTTTGCCTATTTCGGAACTTTTTATTGATCCCTCACTGTACATAAAAACTACTTTATTTATTCAATCTTTAATGGATCCTCAGGACCTCAGCTAGTGTTATGTCGCTCTTCTGCTTTTGTACAGTTCAAGTAGTTTGTAATGTGTGCATAACTATTATAGTAGTAATAAAGAACTGAATAATTGCAGTAATTCTACAGCAAAAACAAAGCCAAAGCAGAATTTCTTTTCAAGAACAATAAAATTCTTCTCTGGTTGGAAGATGTTGGTTTAGACCAGGGGTCGGCAACCTACGGCCTGCGGGCTGAATCCGGCCCGCGGAGCACTATAATCCGGCCCGCGACGCTTCACTAAATTATAGTAACAAAACATTCGTTTTGACGAATATATTTTTTGGTTTAAATTATATTTTGACCTAACAATTATATATTTCACAATTACTTGTTTAATGAGCATATAGTTTAATTATAATTAAGCAAATGGCAACAAAACGCAGAAAAGTTGATGCTAAGTGCAACGGGTTCAATGGCGCTGAAAATATTCAAATGGCATTTTATGAGATGCAATGAGGAAATAAATCTATATTCTATTCGAGAGATGTATCAGTGCTTGATTTTTATTATAAAAAGTACCATCCGTTCGGTTTTTCAACTTTCTAAAAATATGTGCGGCCTGCCGATGACTTGCAACCGTAATTTTTGCCCACGAGCGACAAAAGGTTGCCGACCCCTGGTTTAGACTTTTGGAATTTCAGTGGAATTTTGTCTAGGTGCAATATTCCACGGAAGAAATTTTCCATGGGTGGAACTGCGGAACTTCCCACAGGAATAATTTTCTGAGTTAAATTTTCGTGGGTGGATATTCGTAGTACAGTCCTAATATCACAATCTTTAAACTTGGGTTAAATTTATTTGATTCACAGTATGCTTCATCCGGTTTGTTATAGATATTTTAACTAGATAAATGCTACAGATATATTGTGATGTGATGTATTGAATAGATATTCAATTATACTTATAGAATTGAATTTTTGGGAAATTTATATCATAACTTATTTAGATATTCACTGACATGAATCTTCAGCTGAAGATTCAATAAATATTTTTAATGTTCCCTAATTTACTCAGATCAGAATCGTATGGCCATTATTCGCTTAAATAAGATTAAAATGTCAAATCAAAATCTTTTTTTCCTATTAACAGAATGAATTGAATTCATTTCGGATTGAAGCAGCATGGAGATTGGGTCGATGGGATGCATTAGAAGAATATTTGGATCTTCCATCAGAATCAAAAAACGATTTACTGAGTAGATCACATGATTGGAATACAAGACTTGGAGAACTCCTACTTGTCATTAAAGATAATAAATGGAATAAATTTCAAAATCTTGTCGATGTTAGTTGTATGAATTCTATAACCAAACAATATGCTTTATATTTCCTTTCAATTTTATGTTTTTTAAACTGATTAATAAGAAGTAAAATCAGGGATACTTCAAATAAATATTTGCTATCAACTGATTTCACTACAATAAGATCATTTTTGGCTATAAAATATATTTTCCAATAATGCGATTTTTGACCAAATTGTTTTGAACATCTTTTTGCAGGAGATTTATCTTGATCAGACAGGACCATTATCAGCTGCAAGTATGGAAAGCGGTTCTTATCAACGAGGGTGAGTAACTTACAACAACGCTCTGCAGTTTGCTCAATCCCGATCACTACTTTTTTAACTGATTGTGAAGTATGGAGCACTCTGATAACGTTTTTATTAGCTTGGTAATAAATGTCATGAAATCATATTGTAATGACTTTAATGGTTATTAGATAATTGGCTTAACTATATTAGCTTCGAAGATTTGGAATCTCGAGTTTTAAGCCATAATAATTAGGGGGTAGGTAAAGGGTCTGTAATGTTGAAGAGATCTATATAATTACTTACCTACCTGTAAAGTAGTTGCTTGCCCAGTGCCTTGTTTGAAGCACAGGTGTTAAACTCCCCAAAAGAAATAAATCAGCTGCTATAGTTTATGCTACTCTGCTTTTCAATCAATCTTCATGAGTTCTTTCTTTTACATGTTTAAATTTCATACCCAATAACATTCCCAATGGCTGTAAATATATTCCACACAGATACAAGTCCATACTTCGCCTGCACATGCTTACAGAATTGGAATCAATTGCAAGTAAAATCAACACCGAAGAGTCGATTAATATTAATTCTGTTTCAAACGAATGCTTCAATTCATGGCAGGAGAGAATACGTCCTCTACAAACTTCATTCAAACCCAGAGAACCTGTGCTTGCTTTACAAAGAACTATGTTAGAGCTACTGAATCTGTAAGAACATTCTCTTATTTGTATGGAAGAGAATTCTGATTAGTTTAAATTATAAAATAATTTAAGAATGTTTAAATTTCACATTTGTTTATAGCCTATAAATTATATGATTTTCCACCAAAATTTATTCAATAATTATTCTGCTAGGGATAACTTGAGGATGTATTTTCAAATATATCATTTTTATAATTTGTTTTATTTTGATAAATGATAAATTTATTTTGATAATTTTGACGATCAAAAAAATTTTGTTTTTAAGATTTGCACATTCCAGAATTGAGTACTGAATTGTGTTTAATAAAATATTTCTTTTCTAAATTGAGAAATCAATAAAGATTGAATTTTCAAAACTTTCCAAACATTAGGATAGTTAAAGCCTAGAATATTGCTCAAAAACTTATACCACTGCAATAATTTTTTTTATAGCAGCATTTTCTTTCATATTCTATGTTGACTTAATTTATTGGTTGATTTTCTAGTACTGCAGCCAGGCAAAATAAGAAACAATCGCAAAGTGAAATCAAGATGAAACAACTTGTCGGAAAATTATGGCTGGAAAGTGCAAAACAAGCTAGAAAAGCTGGATATTTACAAACGGCATACAATGCATTGATTAATGCACAAGATCTTGATTTACCAGAGTTTTGTATTGAACATGCAAAATGGCTCTGGAATAAGGTTTGTGTTACTTTATTGTTATCGTTAATAATAATGCGCTTATACTGTCTAAAAAATGGTATTTTTAAATTTTCTTTAGCATATCACCACAAAATATTTACTCAATTTTTTATCAATTTGCAATACCCTCTTCCCCCCATAGGTTCCAAGAATGAGTAAACCCATTCCTTCCACTGTACTTCTGCAGGATTTCCCCGTTCTACTCTCAGCATAATTTAGAATTGAAATTTTGGTATACAGTTTGAACTTTAATTAAAAAATAGTCACATCGATATAAAAAAGCCTATTTAGTTTTTAAAAGACGATATAAATACCATTATCAATTTAAACCTTTTTGCAATACTAGTTGAATTCACATTTCAACTCTTATTCACAATTTACTACAATATTTTCTCTGTTTTATGTGACACAATATGGATTACAGTACATATTTTGTAATATATAATTTCAGAGCAGCCTTTTTTTTCTATTGGCCATACCTTCTTCCAGAAGACTATTGAGTACTTCCTATAAATATCATTGATTTTACTGTTTTTTTCATATCAATTTCTTTCATTTTCATGTAAGGGTGAAAGTCACCAAGCTTTACTGACATTACAAAAAGGAGTTGCAGATCATTTTCCTGATGGAAATGAGAATCCGAATTTGTCTCGTGATGAAAGAATGTCAAAAGCAAAAGCAATGTTACTTGTAGCCAGATTAATGGAAGAATCTTCTAGCTTTGACAGCAATACAGTTTTGAAGCAATTTCGAGAGGTAGGCCTATGTAAATTTGATGATGCTATTATCTTTATTAATAATAATATTGTTTGTTACAATATAGATGTTTCATTTATTTTTGTTCGCTTTCAATACTCACACAAAAGGTTTACAATTTTTGCAATTATAAAAATTAATTTTCATTTGGATGTGCCATGCTTTGCGTAGTAAATTTGGTTATGATGTAGATTTTTCCAAATTATCAGCATTTGCAAAACAAGAATATCTAAATATTGAACTACAGATGGAGTTTATTCCTCTGTTTGCTATCGAAACACTGTAAATTGATTCATACAATGTATCCATAATCATGATGTTACTGTACCCCGAAGCCATTTATCGACTTATTAGCTTTTTCTGATTTTGAATCAAGTTTGGGTGTGCCACCATATTTAAAGGGCTTGGAAATTAATATTTAAAGGGATGTGTCTTAAAACCAAAACAGTGTTTTCAAATATAGTTCTTATTTCAAGGCCAGCCCTCTGTATGTTTCAAACTCTGAATGAAAGTTGAGAGCGACATTATAAATGTACATGGAGACGTTGAATGATTTTTTTTTACTTACGAATAACTAGTTTAAACTGTTTAAGTATTAATTAATAAAAATTCTAAAAATGTTCTGTGGATATGTATGCTGAATTGACATGCTGTTGGATGCATAAATTTAGTTTTCTTGTTGTTGAAGGTTGTGGCTTATATGAATGAATGGGAGGATTCACATTTCCATGCGGCTAAATATTATGATAAACTGATGACTGCATTTATGGGAGATAATAGAGCTTCAGGAAAAGCTAAGTATGTTTTGACTTCATATATCTAACAATTAAAACCTTATTTTGCTATTCCTGTTATCACCTCCAACGATCGTACATGCTCAGGAGCTGCTTGTTGCAATTTCAGTTATTTTGGGGTTGTTTTATCATATCTTTATCTTTTATCTAATGTTCATAATGTTAATGAAAATTCTATTTTATCAAACATGAATGAAAGCCAATGCAATTGTAATGATCGAAAATTTTTTTTTTATAGGAACTTGAAATAATTCGTTACAAGACATTGAATTAATTATTACAATAACTGAAATTTACAATTTCAGATAATCTTAAACTTTTTTTTGTGTATTCGGTTATTTTTACCAAAAATGACAAAATAAATTTGTACACAATATATGAAATCAAAATTAATTCAAAATAAATTCCTGGAAATCCAAAAATTATTTGGATACAAACAACCAGAGTCACCGAATAAAAGTGTGATTATCAAAAGAGATTGATGTTTATTTTTTAGTCATCTTTACTACATCATGCATCATTATGGACTTTCATTATGTTATGGAACTTCTCATATCTATGAATCACTTACTAAATTATTGACTGTTTGGTTGGATTATGAAGCAAATGTTGCAAAACTACAGAAAGCTAACAAACCATATGTGAGTTTTTTTTATTTTATTCGTTTTTCGAATAGAGATAACTCTTTCCATAAGATTTTGTGATATTATGATTATGGCTGTCAGTGAATTATTCAAATCGATTCAGACAAAAATTTCAAATTTCCGTCATCTTGTTTCGAGGTGAATCACTCAATTTTCACTGTGAATCCATATTTTCAAAATGCGATTTTGACATAAGACTTTCTAGTCATTGATGAAACATAATTCTTATTGTGTGTAACATTGACAACTCAGCCAAGTGACAGATTCTAAGTTTTCAGTAATTTATGTGCCTGAAGGACCTATTACAATAAAAATCCACATACAATTACACTGTTCAAATATCAAACTTAAATATCTTGTAAGTATTTGGGATTCAATTTGAAAAAAAAATATTCGATTTGATTCTGCGATTGTCAAATATTCAGAAATGCCGGGACCCAATTATAATATTGTTATGTTTAAGGAATGACTTTGCATTGTGATATGTTAGAATTTAGTTTCAATTTAGATCATAAATCATAATATTAAGGTTTAGCTACGAATTAATCACGAATTTCATCAAATCAAAATGCAAGGTTTTTTTAAAAATGATTAACTTGATGCCTAGAAAGTATTATATGCCTCGATTGAGTCACAACACAATATAGGATGCTCTTTTATTTACTTTTTCATATAGATGTTTCATCATTTTCAATTTTTTTAAAATGTTTGAAGTTCATGTTCTGACATTTTAGAGCAAGGATGATGCACAGAAGTTAATCAATGTTATTGCTGATCTAAGAAGTCGACTTCCAGCTTATATATTTCTTACTGCCTTCTCACAACTTGTGTCAAGAATTTGTCATCAGCACCTGTGAGTGTTTTAATAATTTTCGAAATGGTTTTTGTAAAACATCCAAGAATTGCTTTAAATTCTCGAATTCTCTCGCAATCGTAAGATTTATGTTTTACTATAATTTCAATAATTGTTTTTCGAATCGAAAGTCTAAAAAAGTTTAATATAGTACTTTGTGTGTATTCATTGCGGGCCCCCCTGTGTGATGCCCTGCTCTAGTCAAGACTATCCTTTTTTTAATAAGAGATCAGTAAATTCGAGAAATCTACCTTTGAATTTTTCAGACCAACTTTTGAAGAACTAAAGCAAGTGGTTGCCAAAGTCATATGTGCTTATCCACAACAAGCTTTGTGGACAATGATGGCAATATCCAAATCATCATTTCCACAACGAGCTCAGAGATGTAAAGAAATATTCGATGTTGCTGAAGCAAGAGACAGAAAACTTGGAAAATTATTGTCAGATGCTACGAGGTAAATTAAGTCTTCCAAAAACTCATTTCCATATTCGTCTTTCTTTTACTAATACTGTTGTTTTAAAACTGTATTCATCAAAAGCCGATTGACAAAAGTAAAGAAATTCGATAAAATTCAATTGAAGCTAGTACCTCATTCCCAAAAGGTTTTGTTTTTTCAAATAATAATAGGACTCAAAATTGAAGTATTGGTGTAGTTTTCTATTGTGTAAATCAATCTACTACTACAATTCGATTATCCAAGTATGGGATTCGATAGAGTGTGCCAATGAAACAAAGTCTATCTATTTCCCATTCAATAAAAACTATTTCTAGCTGTTCTCCAGGGCTGTTGCCTGTGGGGGAAATTTACACCTTCGATTTACACCACGACTCCCAGACTTCAGTGAAAATATGCCAAACTTTGATGCCAAAGCCCTGCTATTTTCATTGCTGAAAGTGACACTGTTTAATATATTTTTCAAGATTAACAGAAAAGCTACTTGAATTGTGCAATAAACCTACTTCTGCCATTCAATCACTCAGTATTTCAACTCATTTCAAACCTTTGAAAAAACTTGTTGAGGAAACCTCTTTCAGTGAGGTTTGTATTATTTATATTGTATCATTTAACCTTCTTAGTTAATAGCAGATGGGAGAAATATTCTATATGGGGTGAATTTAGTATTTCGTTAATTGTGAATAATATTACTAGAATTTATATACTGGAATGTATAGTAGTTGTAGTGGCATCTATATACTAGTAAGTGGTGTTTTAGTGTATTTTAGGTTGAGTAAAAAATTTGATAGTGACTATAATTTGGATTAAATATTCGAATGATCGTTTAAATCGGTAAATTTTCTTGAATTAAACATTTAAACCTACTGTTGTTTGCTTGACTCAAATGAAGCAAGTGAGGCTGACAAGTGACAAACTTGGTTGGTATTCTTGCATTAGTGATTGTCTCTGTTTCCCTGAGTTTTTAGGTTGTTCACTCTTGGTTACTCTTATGTAAGTGTCTGAAATCTCCATCTCTATTCTGAAAAAAATTAACCAAAATAACTTTCACAACTATATTGTTCTTATACTCAGATCTTACTGCCATTACAACGTTTCATGACTGTCACACTACCACAAGGTGACACTGTGGGTACATCTGTTCAAGAGCAATCAACATCTGGACGATCTTCATCAAATGCCCCTACTCGAAGTCATGATCCCTTTCCTGAACATGCTGTCCATATTGTTGGGTTTGAAGACATTGTAAGTGTTTTAAATTGTACTCGTATGCCATTTGCCAGGCATTACTAAACATATGGATACCATTAGAACAGCTTAACAGACTGTAAACAATACCATAGCACGGAAACAGTAATGTATGGGGTGGGGATAGAACTAGAGTAATCATGAGCATCCTGTGTATCTAGCAATTACAACTATTAAAAAACAATTGCATTTTAATATTATAATCTACTGTGTATTTTATATTAATTTTTCACTCTTTCAACAATTTACCACGTGTATAGGTTCATTTAGGTTAGAACTGCTAGTAGTAGATTGAAAATTCTTTACATGCTTGGTGTGGTTTATACGAATGTTGCCAGCTGATTTTGGCGCATTTTAAGCACCACAATCTTTATTTTTTTGAAAACTGTTTATAAAAGATTCAAAGAGTCTTGCTGCCACTGACACAAGTGTATTTCCATCCTTCGGAGGAACAATGCAAATAAGATGACTTAATTATATGGCACGTCACGGCCTCTCCTCCGGTTACCAATTCATGTTGAGTATGGGATTAGTTAGCCATTTATTTGTTTTAAGTACATGGACTTGATTGACATAATATTGTCATCTTTATTCATCCCACAATTTATCTGCATTATGCACATATGGATCCACCAGCGCAAAGGAAGGATTGGTAGTCACTAGTCAGTCTCGCATAACCCCGTCCCCAACCGATAGTTATTTATATGAACACCTTTATTCCCAGCTGCTTGTAATGATTTTAAAATATTCTAGATTGAAGTTCTCCCTTCTCTTCAACGGCCAAAGAAAGTGAGCATTCGTGCAAGCGACGGCCGTTCATATTTATTCCTGTGTAAACCCAAAGATGATCTGAGAAAGGATGCAAGACTTATGGAGTTTAATACAATAGTTAATAAATGTTTGAAACTCGATTCAGAAACAAGAAAAAGACAACTTAAAATTAGAACTTATGTAAGTAGTTTTTTTCCATTGAAGGTCATTACTATTCAGATAATTTAGTTTGAATGTAAACTTGCAGACCCTGGGGTCCAGCAGAATCCTTGTTAAAACTACTGAACTACTTCAAAATCTATAATTAGTTGTAGTATTATTAGAGTTTCATCAATGTTAAATACGTTCTCAATGTGTTTTGTTTAATATTTTTGCTGATTTTATTTGAATTACTCCAACCCTTATCTCAAGAATATATATATTTTTAGGCCTTATTTCTTTAGTATCTAATTTTCCCAAAATAAACCTCAGGCTGTTATTCCTCTCAATGAAGAATGTGGATTAATTGAATGGGTTCCACATACCAGAGGTTTCCGTCATATTTTGATAGCGAGATACAAACAAATGGGAACTCATTGTACCAACAGAGAACTTGTTACCTATATTGTACAGAAAACAGCTCCATTACAGTAGGCAGTCACTAGATTGTGTGTGTCTTCGATTGGTGAAGATATTTCAAATGCATGTGGTGTCACAACTTTGCTCAAAAATAGTTTTATTTGATAAGGTTTACGAAAGAACAAATTTTGAATATTATTGTTGTAATTTTATTTACATCATCCTGAACAAGGACTTGATTTGAGCAGTTCACACCCGGGAATATAGTTGCAAAATATCCGAGTTGCCAGCAATCTTCCATCTGGCTGTAGTGAGGTTTTGAGCTGGCAGTGGCTACTGGACTTACAAGACTCGAACCTGCGCTCTCTAATATATACGGGCGATATATGCTAGATACCAGTAAAGTAAGACAAACAACCTGTATTTAAAATAAATCAGTATTGATGAAGGCAAAAATTGAATAAATCATTTTCTTATGTAAATTCAAGTCAAATTTTTGTTTTCGTTCACAGGCTGTGGTACCATTAAACGAAGAATGTGGTTTAATAGAGTGGGTGCCTAATACCCATGGACTTCGGAATATTTTGTTAAAAATATATCGATCTAGGGACATGTACACTTCTGGAAAAATTTTGAAATCACTGCAATTGCCTTATTCTGCACCTTTGGAGTGAGTGTGTTGCACAAGTTTGTGTTTTATATTCAAGCACTGTTTTAACTTTGATTAATATTTTTCTGAGGAGTTGATTTTGGATGGTTATTTTGTTTATCATCCTGAATATATTGCATCAATTTTCAAACCTTACTTTATATAGTATTTAGCAAATTGGAAACGATCATTTTTCTAAAATTTTCTCTAAAATTTCAATATTTTCTAAATTTTTGCAATTTTAACAACAATTGTTTAGACTTTTTTTCTCAAAATGATTTCACCAGCAACTTCGTAATTGCCAGGGCAATGTTTTGTAATAGTTTACTCATCTGCGACATCTTTGTCATTAATCAAGTTTACTTTACAATCTTTTGAAGCTAAATTGAAACACAGAATAGCTGAGATATATTTTTAAAGTCACTTTACCATAAAAACTTTATCATGTACATGGCCATATGTAGAAAGTCAACATCTGAATACCTGGTTTTCTAATGTAAGACAGCCATTTTTACGACAAAACTATGATTTTAATATTGTGATTTTCCAAAAGACATAAATTGAATTATGTTTGGACACAAATGTACCTTTGAATCATTTTGTTGAATTTCCAAAAATGAAAGAAGTTACCAGATGGGTATTACTTTTCATTTTATCTTCAAAATTTATGATGTACGTTTGGTGCACATCTTCATGTGACATTTGGTACAATTACTTTTACATTTGGAATATTTTCTGATATTGCTGAAGTCATTTGTCGTTGTGACTATATACTTGGACATTGCTCTTATGTTTAAATTGTGCATTAGTGCTATTCCAAGTGACACTACAGGACAATTCCAGAAATTTTGCATGTTGTTGGATGCAATATATTTTTACATTTTCAACTACATGTTTTGATTCATTGTCCAATCAGTTGCTTTATTGAATATGTAAAAAATTGCACAAAAGTTACACCCAAGACTTACTTAGTAGATAAAAAAAATATAGTAAAATATAGCGTGACACTACAGGACGGCAAATCCACCATGCACTAACAGTACGTTGTGTTGTGCTGTAAATTTATGCGATGGTACAGTAGGAGCCCATAATATTTTCTGGTGCAGTAGCTGAACTACCCCTCGATGTGTTGCTCAGGTTACTTAATGTAACACTGTAAATCCATGCCAATAATGTGCATATTGTATGTGACACTACAGGACATTTTTCCACTTCGGAATAGCGGCATCTATCATGTCTTAAAATTCTGGTAATAAATCGTTAAATGGGTGAAGAAATGTCCTACAGCACTGCAAACATTTGAACTTTATTAACATAAAACCAGTGTGTCAATTCCAAATGAAATAACTGTACCACACAATCAAACACTTTGTGTCAGGAATCATCACAAAATATGTCAATTATACCAAAATTTCTACATTTCAGGCTATTTTTTATAAACCATCAAAAACCTGGGCGAAATTTTAAATTGTTCGATGAAATGAATGCAGTCCAATAAAATTCCAATGTCTTTTGATATCAAAAATAAAAAAAATTACTTTCACTACACTTTTTAAAAAATTGATGGAATTCAACTTTTGCTTGGAATGGCCCATTATTGCTATAATGTAGTTAAATTTTTTTTTTAAATTCCAGGAAAAAGTTGGATGTATTCAAAAACAAACTTCTACCTCGTCATCCAGCTGTGTTTGGTGATTGGTTTCTAACAACCTTTCCTGATCCTACTTCCTGGTATAGTGCAAGACTGGCATATGCGAGATCAACTGCAGTTATGTCAATGGTGCGTATATAAATTGTGGGTACTGACTTAAAGAAACTTTTTTAACCCTTATCCAAGTACGGGTTGTCGCTGGACAATTTTGAGATTTGCCCATGGTTGGATGCGAGCCTCATGTAATTAATGATTTTGAAAAACAGGCTAATTTGAATTGATGTCTGGGTGGTTGTTATCTTCAACTATAGCTCACCTCATTAATCATATTAATCATATTCTGGATGATATGTAATTCAAGTTTCTGAATCTTTATATTTGTTGATGTTATTTGTGAATGAAAAAATAAATATCTCTTGTAGGTTGGATATATACTTGGTCTCGGAGATCGCCATGGTGAAAATATTTTGTTTGATTCAATTACTGGAGATGCTGTACATGTTGATTTCAATTGCCTATTCAACAAGGTATATGGATGTCCGAATCAATTACCAGCTCAGTTACCTATTTATATTTTGCTTCAGAGACAATTGTTAATTTTTAATTGTTTGATTTGAGCACTAGAAACTTTTCCTATATCAAAACATGCATTTAAGTTGCCACTCGTGCAAACACAAAACTTTTAAAATTGAACCAAGAAATTGGAGCTTACTTAAACAATCTGAAATATGTATACTATATACTGTATCTTCTAAATACAAAAAAAGGAACTATGTGAAAGTAAAGACTTTAACTTTCGAGTACGCTGCTTCAGCCCTTGTCGCCAACATCCATAGTATATCTTGTGTTTTTGTATGTAAAATTTCAGGGAATGTCACTGGATGTACCTGAAATTGTTCCATTTCGCTTAACGCATAACATGACAGATGCAATGGGCCCAATGAGACATGAAGGCTTCTTTAGATGTGCTTGTGAAACTGTTATGAGGTTGCTAAGACAACAAAGAGAACCATTGTTGAGGTGAGTCTTCCCCAGGCTCAGTAAATTGCTGAGAAATCCACACTTACTAAGATGATTAATATTAACAAATAATCTAAATACTGCACAACTTGAAAATTTATTGGCGCTAAAGCCTTTGCAATAACTAATTTATATACTAATTTTTGGTTGAATTTTATTTACTTTTCTTGTTGGTTAAAATTTCATGACTTAAATATTTCAACAGTGTTCTCAAAACTTTCATATATGATCCTCTTGTTGAATGGAGTAAACGTAGTCGCTCAGGTGTAACCAATGAATCTGGAGAAATATTAAATGAAAAAGCATTATCACACGTCAGCGATATAGATAAACGATTGCGAGGTATTGCAGCGAAAAACAAAGGATTACCACTGTCTGTAGAAGGACATGTACATTATTTGATTCAGGTCGGTAGTGTTTTTTTTCGCAATTGAAATTGTGCAAGTTGATATCTCGTACATATGTTTAGAAATATTTTATTCATTTCTAGGAAGCAACTGATGAAGAGAAGTTGTGTCAAATGTATATCGGATGGGCACCTTATATGTAACAAGATGTCTTATTTCAAAATCTACAAACTTGGGCTATTTGGAATTCTCTACCTCATAATGTTTTTTTCACATTGTTGCAAACTGTTTCAAGTCTGTGCCAATCGAAGTTTTCTGGCCTCTAATGCATCATAGTAACTCTTTGTAATTTTTGTGGGCGTTGACAATCTAGTGGTGCCCCAGAGTCAATTCAACTTCTGAGTAAGTGGGAATGACCTAGTAAATTATCATGCAAAATAATCTTGTGGGTTCGGTACTCCGTCAATATTTGATTTAGTGTCAATAATACAAGAATATATGTTATGGATTTATTTTGCAATTTATTTATAGTAGAGAAGGTGGACAAGATTGCTTAATCATACAACGAAGTCTGATTTAGATGTAAAAACAAATTATCGTTTGTTTGTAAACACATGGATGTAGTTGGATACAGAAACGCCTTAACTGAATAGCGTTAAATTACTGTTCTATTTCTGAGTCCAGTATGGAAATCGTGAGAGTTTATCAACATTTTTTGCTTAAATTCTTTTGCCATAAACTGTTGTCGGTTGTACTCACAAAGCTTTGGTGGAGTATATCCTATTTACTTATCAGTGTTGGCCTAAATTGTATGAAGAATCATAATTTGAGAAAAAGCTTTTTTTTGCAAATATGAGGATGAGATGAACTTGATAAAAATATTTATGTGTTTCAATTTCTTTAGTCTCAATGATAAAATTGTACTTTGAAGTTTTTTTCTTTTGTTCCGCAACACTTTCTTGTTTGGTACACCAAGTGCTTTATTATTAAAACTTGAAATCTTGCCAAACCTTGTTGATATATATTAGAATATGGCTCAGCAGTTTGGCGCAATGTGGTTATGGTTCGCGTAACTGCTAGTCTGTCACGGCCTCCTGTACCAACAAGTCCATGCATCAGAAACAAATGACTAGCCAGCGGTGGTGCTGGTATTTCCGGTCCTCTCTTGCTTTGTTTTTATGGCACGGCTTTTCAGACATTCTGTCTGCTTTTTGTTAACTATATCTTATAATTGATATGCTGTCTTATGTATTTGCCAATCTTCAAAATTTGAGCGACATATAATTTGGCGGAGCTGGAGGAACTACCCAAACCGGACAAATCCAGGATGTATGTATGTTTATTCGTCTCGTAAAAGCAATATTAAAGAGTAAGTAATTAGAAATACTGAAGACAGGATGTATGCACAAGACCATATTGGCCTAAAACGCAAATGTGCGGCATACACCCCTTTTGATACATATAAATTATAATAGGGTAAATCAAATATGTACATTGTACAATATGGTCCTTTATACAGGCAGTTGCGTTTTTTCCAACGCTTGAGTTAATGAATTGTTCAGGACTCTGGTACCCTTATTGACATAAATTTTCGAGGATCGCGTATGCTCTCACCGGAACGAGCATGATCTGATTCTAACTTATGACTAAAATATGTGAGAAATATTAGCCAGTTGAGCATAAAAAGGGATTACCATAATTTTGATATTTTCTATGTCGATGCATAATACGCGCCTACTTATTAATTGATTTTATGTCTCGCTTTTTTCCACTCCCGACCCTATCATGTCTCGATGTTTGTGTGCGTGGGTGCCTTGTTAGTTTTACTACTTTTGGGTGAGCGAACACGTACAATTTCTTTTATCAATACCTTCCCACCTAAAATATGTACGCTTTAAACCTTTCTTGAGGCTTCGTTTGCTTTCCCGATTCTATAATCAGTTTTATTTTTTTTTGTTAATTTTATCGTCTATTGCTGATTATGGAGTCAAATAAATTTATACTTATTATGAAGACCAAACTCGAACATAAGCAATATATACGAGGCAATGCGGTGTTCCCAAACCCGACATGGACTGTTAGTCAGAGGGCAGGTGTGGTTTGCTATATGATTGGGCTTATCGGATTTCTTTTTCGCCGGGAAAAAGCTATCCCAGACTGAAGGGGCTCCGATTTGTTGATAAAGGTACTGGTGTTATTGCCACGCTGTTGGAAAGCGACGTCGAAATACCATTATTCTGCGACGTAACCTTGACATGTATAATACGCCACCTTCCTATTTTTTCCCCCTCCTAATCTAGACAAATCAAAGCAGATCATGTTTGTTACATCTTCAATGCGTACCTATGCCATGAAATGAAGCATTTCTGCTAATTCATCACATATTGTGTATAAATTATTTAAATTCTTTCAGTAACCTTTGGAATCTCTTCAGATTTTGAAATCCCGCTCCACATAAATAAATAAAAATGATTTACTCTAGCATTCCCCTCCCCAATTTTATTCTTCCATTTTGAGAATATAATAGTCATCTGAAACTGTGGATCTTAAACATAATAGCTTGAAGGGGGGGAGTTGACTTTGATGACCGTCTGGTCGTATCACTCCCTCCTGTCTATACCAAACAAATTTATTTCTTATTGTTATTTTTATTATTATTACGATGACGGTTATTTTTGGTTGACGAAAAAATAAATCTCTCTCTCTCTCTCTTCCTGAGATTCAGATCCAGCCACTCGGCGGCTGATAGTACGATAACGTGTTACGTGCGCCCGCAGATAAATAGATACTATGTTGAAAGGTTCCAGTGAATCCAAATCGAGACCTTATTGGCCGAATTCCAAGTAACTCGTGTGAGGCAGCACTTGAATACGTTACTGTTGGAAGATGGTAGTCTAAAAGTTGTTAATATTCATGAAAGAAGGCAGACTGACTTAAATTTGACAACAGAGAAATATATAAATATGTGGGTGCTCAAGTCGCGCGTTTGCTGAAACTATTTACAAGCGTGATGGAATAATGTGTCCTTGTGAACTAAATAAACATACCGCAAAGTTCTGGACCATTAGTTCCGGACAAGAAGCGATTTTTTACAGTAACATTAACAGCCTCGACGACAACTAGTTAGTCAAAAGACTTGTATGTCTACTTTGCGTCCAATACCCTCAGTTTAAAAAAAAAACAGTTTTCGTTGCAACAGTCGTCACTGAATGACGCTCTTGTTCCGAAATTTCAGGGATTTCCCCCTTTACGTGCCATACTGCCAGGTCTGCAACAGCTTTGCTTTATGGGGCTGGGATAATATTGACATATTTATTACGGGGGAGACGAAAGACGTTCTTGTTATACAGTACCATACAATTCCTACTTCCGTTTATGCACGAGACACAAAGCTAGGCTATAGAAATGACGATTTATGTCGTCATCTGTGCCGTTTTGATTTCGTTGCTGAAATTGCTGTTTTTGTCTTCATAGTGAGTATTTCTGTTACAATGCCAATATTTTCTGATCTACAATACTGGTACCGTATCTGTTTCTATATTTTCACGATTTTTTTGAGTCAACTCATCACAGTATCTTTGAGAATTTGAATAGAATAGAAAATTAGTGGAGTAAGATGGTTACCAGTTCCGGGTTATTGCTTTTCTTCATTGGAAACATTTACTGACGCTAAGCATAATTTATTTACATATATCAGTATATTGTATACATATTATATAATTCATATACATATAGTTTCATGAAAAATAGCTGATATATTTTTTGTAATTTCAGCAGGTCAACAGATTTTGAAGTTCACCGCAACTGGCTTGCAATCACAAATAATCCTTCGCATCATAAATGGTATTATGAAAATACATCAGAATGGACATTGGATTACCCACCGTTTTTTGCATGGTTTGAATGGAGTTTATCACAGGTCAGCTTTATTTAGGTTTTTTGAATATTTCTTAATTTAGGCAATAATTGCTATCATATAAAAACAACAATTTAATAATTGGAAATTGTTTTCACCTGTATAAATCTCCATAACACATTTTTCAATTTCTGATTTGAATATTTTTTTTTAGGCTGCGAAATATTTTGATGAACAAATGTTAGTTATTACCAATCTCAAATATGATTCTGATGCAACAATATTGTTTCAGAAATTATCGGTAATATTTGCTGACTTTCTGTTAATCTATGCAACATACAGGTAAGATAAACTTTATTTTTGTAAGTGGACCTGTTTTCACTTGATAACAAAGAACTAACCAAATGATGAGGGTTCAACTTACCCTGTGAATACAGGCACAACATTTGTTTCAGATATTATTCCTATATCGAGTAGACTCATCTTACCAAATGAGTGTAAAATAATCCAATTATTTTTGATAGTAGTTTTAACAAACGAATTTTTTGGTTTTAAAGAATACAAATTATTTATGAAATTAAAAATCACTTTATGTGAATACGAGGAATCTCATTCGAATGAGAATAGGTAATTTAATTAGATATAACAAAAAGTCTTTATCGAATCAATAATTTTATATACTGCTATCAATTCTGGGTTGAAGCAGCCAGATAACTAAGTAGTAAAAAGTTAAACATTTTACTCCCTGTTCATGAACAGTGTATCCACAATTTTGATGGCAATTGCACACAAAATTTCCAGCAGGTTTTGTTCTCAAATATGGTTCATTATTTCTAGGTGCTCAACCGTCCTTCCAACATCTAAAGAACATTCAGGGAAAACACTTCAAGCAAAATATGAACCTAAAATACTTTCAATTCTTATTATTTTTAATGCAGGATTGTTGCTGGTTGATCGTATCCTTTATTTTATCAAGATTATTCTATATATAGGCACTTCGTAATACAATATAATACCAAATGCTATTGAACTTAAAATATCTTAGAAAACGGTCGAAAGGTAAATCTAGCAATATCCAATCCTCAAATTTTGTAAAATGGAGCAGATTAAATTTTATTGCATGTTGCTTTTAGTTTGGAATAATATTATATGCCAAAGCAGAATGTAATACCAATTTTGTTACCTCAATATACAGTAATTGATGAATAAGGAAAAGGGTAAAAATAGATAGCCATTGCGAAATAAAAAACAAGATTACTGGAGCTCAGAAACTTGATGCTTAGATCACTAACTGGACTTGCCTTGTTTTTCACTGCACTCCCAAACCTAAACAACATGAAAATGATTGGGTGTCAAGGGAATGAAACATTGCTATTTTAAAATAAACTGTACCGATGTAGTCCTTTCCGTCCAGTTAATTCTTCACATGAGCCCTGGCAATCCCCCGTGGTTATCAGGATGTTTATAAAATGTATATTACATAGGTTCTCTTCATATATTTGTATGTCTGAAAGATATCTGCATATTTACAATTTACAAATATTAATTCTAGAATAATGTACATTTCATTATATTATCTACTCACAATATTTGATTCCTCAACAATTCGTTTTTGAAATTAAATTAAAGATATTCATTTTCAATATAATGGGTTTTTGACCGGGATGTTATTTCTATCAATGTACAATATTTTGGATGGCAATATTCTATGGGGATCTTTCTGGTTTGCAACTTTACTCAATTTCAAACATATTTATTTGTATATGGCTCCTGCATATGGAATATACTTATTCAGAATATATTGCATGGATCCCAAGAAAAGTAAGATATTTTCATTGTAGTGAATTCACCAACCATGTAATATTTTTAAATTAATGTAACGTTATTATTTCACTTCTGTCCTAATCCATTGTTTTTAAATATTAACATTACATAAAATAGATCATTCACCCAGTGTATTAGTTCAGACATGGCAATAGCAAAAATAGTGTTGAAATATTTAACTAGTTTAAATTTTGTGTAGTATAAACATGAAAGGTGTGGTCTGATCAGTCAGTGGTTACCATGACCACGTCATGCCACTGAATATTTTTTGTATAGTCTTTTAGTACATATTCCTTTGCAACCATTGCTGGTAATCTGTGGTGGAGTAGTATTCATTCACATACTTCATGGTTGGCATAACAACCAATGGTCCCGAAGCGAGGTATGGCATGCTCGTATTTTTTGTATCAGAATAAAATCATTGTATAATGAAGTCAGAATTTGAAGACAAAACATGCAATTAAACTAGGTATACACTAATATGATTGAACTGTAGATACCATTAAATATTGCTTACTCGGCAACTTGAAACAATATAGTATTTTGAATCCAGTTGTTGCACTATAAATAATGCAGTGTGTTTTTTACTAAAATTATAGTATATACGAACCGGTATATACACTTAAATTTATTTCAATAAAATATGCGAACAAATTTTACAGGAGGAATTTCTTCTATTTTATCATTTCATCCATTAAGGTTATTGCAACTCGCAGCAACTGTTATTCTAGTATTTTCTGCATCGTTTGTACCTTTCAAGGTAGGTGATCAAAAATTATTTTACAAGGTTTTTAAGAAAAGCTGTTTCCTTGTGCAAAAGCATCAGTGATTTATGAATACTTTCAAAAAATATATTTTTTTTTCACGCTTTTTTTTATAATTTAAATGTCAAGTTCGAAGATTTAATTATTTGTTGAGAAATAAATATCATTAGTGAGACAGTAAGTACTGTTTTAGGAAAGTTTTACAGAATTCTGTTTGAAAACGTATTGAAAACATCCAACAGCATAGTTTTGTGCATTTCCTAATAGTCGAACTGGCTTTTGTCAGGATCATCTCCCACAAGTGATATCGAGGCTATTTCCATTCAAGAGAGGATTGACTCATGCATACTGGGCGCCTAATTTCTGGGCATTATATATCTTTCTTGACAAAATACTGAGTATCGCAGGTAAGGTCATATTGTCGGTATGTGAAATTATGTTTCCCTTTTTTTGAATTATCCTCTTCTTAATTCCATACTTTATTTATACAGGAGTTAAATTCAAGTTTATACATCTTAGTCAGCTGAAAGCAACATCATTTTCAAAAGGCCTTGTAGAGGAAGCAGAGCATGCAATTCTTCCATCACCAACTCCTCTCATCACAGTTATAATCACTCTAGTTTTTATTATGGTAAGTACATTAGATAGATATTCACGCTCCATCGAATAATTGATTGAAAATGCATCCGATTGAAATTTTCAAGATGATTAGTGAACGCCTTATGTACAAGTGTACCCTCATTTACTACACTATTATTTATGAGTAAACTTCTATGCGGTAAAGTGTGATATATTATGTTATGAAGAGTTAATTAGTAGTCATACTAAAATTCTTTGATATAGATAGATAAACAATCCAAAATATCACAATCTACCTTTTCCAGCCTTGTTTGATTGATTTATGGTTCTGGCCGAAGGCATTAACGAGCAAGCATCTCGGGAATCAGTTTATCCGTAGTGTTGTTTTTACTTCATTGACGTCATTCATGTTTGGTTGGCATGTTCATGAGAAAGCAATACTAATGGCGATATTGCCATTAACTCTTCTATCAGTTTGTGGAACCAAGTATGTATGGACACATATCGTGAGTTGTATATATAATCAATTTTGTAATCCAAATTGTGTGAATAAATTTATGTCCAGAGGATGTTTCCATTATTATTATACGTAATCTTCGATGATGTATTTTTTTAGGAAAGATGCAGAAATTTTTGTCTTCCTACAAGCAGTTGGGCATTATTCATTGTTCCCATTATTGTTTATGCCATTTGGTAGGTATCACTGTTGTGTATCTTGAAATATCCTTATTTTCATCTCTATTGATGGTATTTTTGTTTTTCAGAAACTGTGACGAAAATTAGTATAGTTGTTATATATACAATGTTGTCATTTGAACTCTTACATAAGTTGAAGCAAAGGTACATGTCTCTTACTAATACCATCATTAGTAGTTAGCATCATTTCTTAGTACTAGGAGTTCATAGATTTAGATTCAAAGAGCATAAATTTGAACTCTTCATGTATAATTTAGTTACTTTGCATAATAACATTCTGTTTATTTTTTAGTAACTTGAAAGATAAAAGTAAATGGTGCCTCCCTTTATTGGGCAGATTTGAAACCCTGTACATATTTGGACTTGTTATCAATGAAGTGTATTGTAGCGCTTTGCACAGGTATATTATTTTGTGGTGCTCTAATTAACTTTACGCCAAACTACCTATTTATGGCAGATGCTCATTTATTTTGCTAATTGAGCAAATTTGGATACATATGTGTCTGAATGGCCATTCTATAAGATTTGTTTCATCAGTGGATATTTCAAAGAAATCAAAACATCCTGATTGGGTCACTAGCTTTTATGTATACCAAGTATGGAGTGTCATCATTTATCATTTATCATTTTGATAGTTTTAATTTTAGGAATAAGATCTTTCCATTTGTCACAAATAATCTTCTCAGCTGTTTTCATTATCAAAGCTACTGTGCTATAACTTAAATATTTTGTAATCACCTATTCAATGTATCTCAGATTCATGCCCTTCTCAGAAAAGTTTGAGTTTGTCCCACTCATGATGACATCGACGTTTTGTGCTGTTGGTGTAACCTGGTCATGGATTAAACTTGGCTACTCTATATTTGTTGATCGCTCTGGATATCCAATTGAATGAATGGAAAAACCTAAAAGGTTTTTGAAACTTGATTAATAACAGCAGATACACGTCATGCTGTAGATGCCTATTTCAGTTTTGGTGGTCTCATGCAAGGTCTATCTATATCCATATGGGATGATAACAACACCGACGACCGGCTCTTATTTTTAAGAAATACAATATAGTAGCAATTCCATCCAACGCCAATTTCAAAATAAATCTTTATATCGGAGCTTTTTTTATACTCCAAAAATACAATTGAATAATAATGTGTTTTCAATGCCACATTGCTCATTCAGCGTAGACAGATGTTTCTGATATTTAACTCTCTAATCTGATCCCCAATGCTTCAAAAAATGAATTAGAATACCAGTGTTAAATTTTTTTTCCGTTGAGGGATCATGTTTGTCTTAACTGCGAGCCATGCTCGTCCCTACCCCCGCGAGAACGGTACAAACTGAAACAGGATTCTGACCTGTTTTTAGCTACTTTTCAGCTAAACCGGCTCAACTAATTTGGCTATTTTCGCTGAAAACTTTGACTAAGTTTTCACGTTGACATCTTAATATTACATGGTAATCATATCGAAATATATCAATCGATTATTAGTGGATTTTCCTATCTGAAAATACAAACGACGACATTAATAATAGTATAATCATTATAATGGATCGGCTGTGAACGTGACTACTCGAAAAGATAGGGACGTGTATGGTTCATTCACCGCGAAATAATGCAATAGTTATTAGTTAGATATACAGTATTGTGGATTTGGAATTGGCAATGGAATCAAATGGGAAGCTAATGTATAGATTGGGGTACAGTTTTATGGTTAGAAGGCGAAGCACAAGCTGACACGGGAACATGCCATGAAGTAGAAGCTGTGACAAAGCTAGGACGAAGTTTTATTTAATGGGGAATGGGACTCATTGGATGCATTAAGCTGCACCGTTGACCCAACAAAGGCAAGTTATTAGGTTAGATCAATTAGATAGATAGTTTATTTCGAAAACTCCATAACGAACATAAATTAAAAAAGGAGAATTCAGGGGAGCAATCCAAAACCTATAAAAAAGTTAAAAACATGAGAAGTATCTCATGTGAAGCATTATATAAAACCGACATCCATTGTTTTTATTTGTATTTCCTATACAAAAATCAAGTGACAAATATCATGATTGTGATATCACACAATCTTGAATAGTGGTGTGATTCTCACCTTACCTCAGGCCAATGAACCTTTCCTCTCCCACACATTTTAAATTTATTCTAACGGTAGGGTTTAATTAAAATCATTTTTAAAATTTAAATTATTATCTTATTTACAGGCGATGTCTTATTTTCGGGGAAACACGGTAGTTTTGCGATGATTAGCCATTGCTTTGTTCTGTGTTATGTCATCAAAAAATTAAAGTTAAGTGGGTCACCATAAGCTGTGGTAATAAGTAGTAGGTCCCAACTCTAAAAAGTTCGGGAACCACTGCTATAAAGTATTGCCATGATCTTCTTTTGATCAGTGTCTCACATCCTAAATTGATTTAAAAGGTATTGCCCGATTTCATACCGTATCTTCATTTTATTGTGTTCTTTTGACTGGTTCACGTAATCGCTGGTCGGTTACTTACGGCTTCCGCCACCATCAAGTCCATGCTTCCAAAAACAAATACCTAATAAATCCCATACTCGACATGGAATGGTAACCGGACGAGTGGCCATGATTTGCCATACGGTTAAATAGTCTTATCGGCTTTCCTATTCCCCGGGATAAATATGTAAATCCAATCCAATACATAAGTACCTCAATATGATCAACATGGACTGGTACCGGTGCGGTAACCGGAGTGAAACTGTGATTGTCATATGAATAATCCGTTCTATCGGCTCTCATTTAATTAATTAAATATGAAAATTTCATCCTGTAGCTACCTTACCAGATCGTTATCGGACTGGGTGGACTTAGTGCCCTCCCGACCTACAGAGATATATAAATATATTTCCAGTGCATGGAGACATATATAAAGTTCAGTGGTTCCGACCCCACCAGTCATGTACAGTTTCGAGTCAAGTATATATTTTGTGGCGTCTGAAGCTGCCGCAAAACCATGGCGGGATTTCCAAACCATTGCGACTGACTTTTTAGCTGCCACGAACCGATGGCGAGATCATTGAGGTGACTCAATGGCGAGATGCCGGAACTACGGCAGCAAATTGAAACCAATGACTGGTAAAATTTTGCTGCCGTAACCAAGGCGTGTCGACTGTAATAACAGGGCTGCATCTGATGGTGACATCTGAAGGATACAGTTCGGATAGATTTGGGGTTAGGTTTCAGGTTTAAGTAGATATAATTTTGCATGATAAACTGAAATCTGGTACATGATTTTGTGAATATATTGGTATTACCTAGGCTTACCATACGTCCCGCTTTAGGCGGGACAATCCCACTTTTCAACGCTTTGTCCCGGCGCTTCGACCGGTCAGCCAAAAGTACCGCTTTGCCGTTCAGCCAGTCAGCATAATACACGAACATTATCAATCAGCATGTTCTCGATACTGTTGTTGCTGTGTAGGGTACCGGTAGCCTACTTAATGAAGGTAGATGTGTGGTTTTATTAGCGGATTTTGTCACGTATAAGTCCCGTACGCTAAAAGGGTGCACAAAGTTACGTAAATTCCTTTCTCTTTTTTCGAACTGAAACCGATATTCAGACATGGACCTTTCCCCGAGCATCGACTTCCTTGTTTACTTCGTGACTTTGGCCAATCAGCAAGATGCAAAGAGTGACGTAACAATGCTCCCTTTTGGCATCCGCTCAGACATTTTTCTCACTCAGATAGATTTTAAAGTTTAGTCGTAAACATCACCTCGTTTTCACGTTTTTGAACTTTATTTGTTAGTTTTCAGATGTGTTCCGGAAACTTAAATATGAATCAGATAATTCAATGATCACTCTGTCTTCCTAGGAGTTTCAATTTAATTGCAGTAATGAAAAATTAATGTAGAAATAGCTGTGATAGACTAGGCTAAAATTCTTTACCGGTACTTTCAAAAAACAGATTATTGTATGCGATGAATTATAATGATGGTTTGAAGCACATACCCCATTTCACAGGCGCCAACTCGCAAAAGCACTTTTAAAATAGCCCCGAAAATTTTGCAATGATAAAGTATAGAAACAAATACGATAAAACCATGGTAGGAGACGCCGCGGTTCGTTCGCGGCAGAAGCTGCCATGAAGTGGTAAGAAGTAAGAACTAGAGATGTACCGATGTATCGGTATCGGCAATATCGGCCATTTTTTCGGTATCGGCCATGTATCGGTATCGGTTAGATTAAGGCCGATATTTCCGATATATTTACCTTTTTGATATGGTCCAGAATGTATTAAAAGATAAGTTGGAATACTACTTTTTAATTTATTTTTTGTCTGAAGAGATCGTGATCTATGAGCCATACATGTCCCTACCCCCGCGAGAGAATAGGATTCACGTATTTTTAGCTATTTTCGCTGTCAAATTTTTATATTGACATGCTTTATATTACATAGTAATTATAAAGAAATATATCAACACGGCACATAACAAAAAGCAATTAGGCGCCCAGTTTTAAATCATACAGTGGAATTGGGGTCCTTATTAACGGCACATGGACTTTTGGCACGGGTATAAATTCTGACTGTTTGTCGTCAAGAACGAGTGTCATTTAGTCCGACGACATCGATAAACTAAATTCCGACACAATTATCCCTCTACGCAGATATTAATTTTGTTTAACTACACAATTTCTTTATAGATATATTGACATGACCGCCTAGCCCCAGAGGGCCTAGACTGTCTCAAAATATATGATGGCAATTGTATAATAATATAAAATAGTAAAGTAAAAAAACATCCTCGACGGTTATATGTAGGCCTTCTTTTGGTCGGTGCTGATTGATATTCTTTCATGTTGGCTTTGACTTATTGCGTCGACGATTACGATTAGCCACGAAATAAAATATTTGAAAAATGCTTTTAATTTGAACGTAGGACGGCGGCTCTAGAATGTGTGGGTGATATTCGATATTTTTTTAAACACGAATAACGATATTCGAAGGTCGCGATATTAACATTAAATTCAAATTGAACATCCCGGCTTATGAGTTTTCTAATTGAACACCGAGATTACTAGCGTTACTGTACAGTGTATCTTAATCAGTTAAAGCAAACACCAAGCATTAATTTCATATTATGTGATTTTTTTTTTTCGATCTGAAATAATGTGTACTATGAACAACGCTCAAAGACCATTGTTTTAACCCGTCTGCCCTACACAGCACACCTAATTAAGTAATATTTACATAGTATCGGTATCGGAATATCGGTAATATCGGCCTTTCTGTAGTATCGGCATATCGGTATCGGATTTTTTAGCTGGTATCGGATCGGTATCGGTATCGGCGACAAAAGTGGTATCGGTACATCTCTAGTAAGAACTAGAGATGTACCGATGTATCGGTATCGGGTATCGGTATCGGCAATATCGGCCATTTTTTCGGTATCGGCCATGTATCGGTATCGGTTAGATTAAGGCCGATATTACCGATATATTTACCTTTTTGATATGGTCCAGAATGTTTTAAAAGATAAGTTGGAATACTACTTTTTAATTTATTTCTGTCTGGAGAGATCGTGAGCTATGAGCCATACATGTCCCCACCCCTGCGAGAGAATAGGATTCACGTGTTTTTAGCTATTTATCAGCTAAACTAGCTCAACTAATTTGGCTATTTTCGCTGTCAAATTTTTATATTGACATTTTTAATATTACATAGTTTTTATGAAGAAATATATCAACACAGCACATAACAAAAAGCAACTAGGCGCCCAGTTTTAAATCATACAGTGGAATTGGGGTCCTTCCTTATTAACGGCACATGGACTTTTGGCACGGGTATAAATTCTGACTGTTTGTCGTCAAGTACAAGTGTCATTTAGTCCGTCGACATCGATAAACTAAATTCCGACACAATTATCCCACTACACAGGTATTAATTTTATTTCTGCTTAACTACACGATTTCTTTATAGATATATTGACTTGACCGCCTAGCCCTAGACTGTCTCAAAAAATAGGATAGCAATTGTAAAATATTATAAAATAGTGAAGTAAAAAAACATCCTCAACGGTTATCGGTGGGCCTTCTTTTTGTCGTTGCTGATTGATATTCTTTCATGTTGGCTTTGACTTATTGCGTCGACGATTACGATTAGCCACTAAATTAAATATTTGTTAAATGCTTTTAATTTGAACGTAGGACGGCGGCGCTAGAATGTGTGGGTGATATTCGATATTCTTTTAAACACGAATAACGATATTTGAAGCTCGCGATATTGACATTAAATTCAAATTGGACATCCCGGCTTATGAGTTTTCTAATTGAACACCGAGATTACTAGCGTTACTGTACAATGTATCTTAATCAGTTACAGCATATTGATACCAAACATTAATTTCATATTATGTGATATATATATCTTTTTTTTCAATCTGAAATAATGTGTACTATGAACAACGCTTAAAGACCATTGTTTTAACCCGTCTGCCCTACACAGCATACCTAATTAAGTAATAATTACATAGTATCGGTATCGGTAATATCGGCCTTTTTGTAGTATCGGCGCATCGGTATCGGTATCGGCGTTTTTACCTGGTATCGGATCGGTATCGGTATCGGCGACAAAAGTGGTATCGGTACATCTCTAGTAAGAACTGCGACTCCCACCACTAGAAGGCATTGAGGGCAGGCACAATAAGAATAAACGCATCGCGTTCAGACGTTGGATCCGATTACCGTACATATTTATCTAACTTGCCTAAAACAAAGTGACTATAAACTATTATAGTCACTTTGGCCTCAAAGACCTACCAGCACAGAATGTGTTTTAGATCTGTATATGAATATGATCATACAGACAGAATCTTCAAGGGTGGGTCAGGCCGGTGTTTTCAAACCTACGGCTACAGAGCTACGTATCGGCAAGGTTGTTTTTTTAACAACAGTTTGAAAGTAGATTTTGTTTATTTTATATTTAAATTGAAGCCACTTGAGTAAAGTCACATCACAATTTCAAACATTTGCCCATGACAAACAAGCGTTCTAATTCTAACTAAGTCAGTAGGCCTACCGACCGGTACGGTACCGGTACAGCAATCTTACCTTAAAGAGATTTCTTGTTGAATATTTACTGTTTTTTGGTATTGATAATTCGGGTCTGGTATAGTTTAGTACCACATCCACTTCTAGTTGGCCTGGCTCAACAATTTTTGTTGCATATGTCAATCCTAACCCCCACCTGACTACGTCACCGAAAAATTACGTCATTCCGACGTCACAGTGCTGCAGTGGTGTAATAAGGCTCACCGATGTATGCGGAGGGTCGTCCAAAACGCGCAGACGATAACCCGAATTCGAGCAAGCTATTTCTCTCGTTTTCTCGTTGCAACGATCGCGACAGAAGAGAGATCGCCGGCTTTAGCAAGTTCTTATCGGTGGCGCAGATGCCATTTCGGGCGATCGTAATTATACTCTGGCAATCCCTATGACGTGATGGTGACGTCGTAGTGACGTAAGTTTTGGATGGCATAGTCAGGTGAGGGCTACGCCCACTGGAAGTACTTGTGGTACTAAACTATACTAGACCCGATAATTCAAGTAGCCTATACCACTATAAATAAACTATAAAAATATTTTTAGGTCGTGCGATTTTACGAAATTTATTCCCAAAAAAGTTGGGGTCACTTGAAAAAAACGTTAGGAACATACCGTACCGTAACCACTGGCAGACTGGGTTAGGCAATCTCCGCATCTAGTGAAGTAAACGCCGTGACAGCTTAAATAACGGCTAACACAATGTGAGATGAAAAAAGTTTGTATGACGCAGAAAGAAATTCGTGAAGCACTCGTTTAGTTCATATCAACCCTACTCGATTTTCAACTAAACAGTATGTCCCATGCCGTTTAGGGGATTGTGTTTACGCAAAACGGATTTTTATTTGAATGAAAATTTGGGTTGTATTTTTAAATCACATTTTTGTTTGGCGTTATTTAGGCATTTACAGCTTTCATTTTCACACCGCATTTTTGTTTGGCATTATTTAAGCAGTTACGGCGTTTACTTCGCGAGACTCCAATCTCCTACTACATTAAACTGCAGAACTGCACAATTATTTACTAGGCTACATATTATTTTTATTTACGGTAATCATTGCTCTATACTTAGCTAACTGGATTTCTACCTCGTTTAGAACTAACTTCCAGATTGTGCTCTGCAATCGGCTGCTGGGCTGCATCATGAAAACTTTGAACTTGTTGATATTTTTCTTTTTATATTTTTATTATTCAACTGCTTCCAAGGCAACTGAGCATCAAATTTAGTATATAATTTGAACCATTTTGTGTCACTTTGTGGTCAGAAATAGTCTGTGAATGATGTTATTACAGTATTAAGTACTTCACTTGTTGAAATAAACAACCAAACAGTACAATGCCTGAATGTAGACATTTTATTATCCACCAATAATACATAAATAAAATGATTTGAACTCACCCTTATTCTGTTATTATATCCCTATATACAGCATGCAATTATAGTGGTATAGAAAGTTTAAATAAAAACATTATTGATATAGATAGAGTATTTGCGAAATATTCATAGTACATACTGACATAGGAGGCCATCATGTCCTCGGAAGGCAAAGATCGCAAAGTCGCATACTTCTATGATATGGACGTATCACATTTTCACTATGGACCTGGTCATCCCATGAAGCCTCACAGGCTTGCCCTTACACATAGTCTTGTTCTGCATTATGGACTGCAAAATAAAATGCAAATGTATAAACCATATCGTGCAACTCAACATGATATGTGTCGATTCCATTCAGAGGAGTATATCAATTTTCTGCAGAGGGTCACACCGATGAACTTACAAGGTTTCACCAAAAACTTACAAATGTTCAATGTTGGTGATGATTGTCCAGTTTTTCCTGGACTATATGATTTTTGCTCAATGTATACTGGTGCATCTTTACAGGCAGCAACTATGCTGAACAATAACAAATGTGACATAGCGATAAATTGGTCTGGTGGGCTTCATCATGCGAAAAAATATGAAGCATCAGGTTTCTGCTATGTCAATGATATAGTAATCGCAATTCTTGAACTTTTAAAGTATCATCCCCGTGTATTATATCTTGATATTGATGTTCATCATGGTGATGGTGTTCAGGAGGCATTTTATCTAACTGATCGAGTCATGACTGTTTCATTCCACAAATATGGAAATTATTTCTTTCCTGGAACGGGTGATATGTATGAATGTGGTGCAGAAAGTGGGCGGTATTATTCTCTGAATGTTCCTTTGAAAGATGGCATCAATGACCAAACATACCATCAATTGTTTAAGCCAATTATGCGTGCTGTGATGGAGTCATATCGCCCAACTTGTATTGTGATGCAATGCGGAGCAGACTCTCTTGGATGTGATAGATTAGGATGTTTCAATTTAACGATAGACGGACATGGAGAAAGTGTGAAATTTATGAAAGAGTTTGGAGTTCCACTTATGTTCCTTGGTGGTGGAGGATATACTGTAAGAAATGTTGCAAGATGCTGGACATATGAAACCTCAATCATAACAGGTCAAGAAATAAGTGATGAATTACCATACAATGAATATTTTGAATTTTTTGGGCCTGATTATGTCCTGCGCCCAGATACAAGTCAAAGGGTTGAGAATCAAAATACCAAACAATATCTTGACATTCTCAAACAGACTGTTATGGAAAACTTGAGAACGATTGCTCATGCTCCCAGTGTTCAAATGCATGAAGTTCCTCCTGATCTTTTAACATTTGAAAACTATGAAGAAAACAATGATTTCGATGTTCGAGATCCTATTTCTCAACAAGAGCAAAGGATTGAAGCCGATAATGAATTTTTTGATGGGGATCAGGATAATGATAAGGAAAGTGATGTTAGTATATGATTCAAATTCTGTCTGTCCTGTTATGTCAGATTCCTGATGTTATACCTTTGACCATTTGCTGTGACTGCCATTGGATTGGAATGTCCAATAGAAATATTCATATTTTAAGTCGGGACCAAAAAGACTATGCCGTTTTCAATTGAAATGAATGAAGCAATAATAGACACAGACTGTTTGCCAGGATACAGCAACAAATACTTTTGTCAATTTGCTCAATGGTCTGCATCTCTAAATGGTGATGAACAATGAATACTCAAATTTCGAATGACTGCAATTTTATTGAAACAGTATTTATCTTTTTTGTTGCAGCCCTATTAGTATTTCAATATAGATTTTGATTTCCATGCTACTTTGCCACCGATATAGCACTTTCTACTTTGTATATTCTTTCTAGTCACTTGTATGTTTTTGGAATGACAGAATCATTGCTATTGAAGTGATTATGATTTGACTGAATTTTTTTTTTCATATCGAACCCTTTGATTGATTTATTTGAAAATAACTAAATTCAAATGTTCAAATGTTTTGTTTGTTGCTACTAGCTAGTTGTATTAGCATGTAGTATTGATCTTCATTTTAATTTTTATGATATGTTGTGGTTGTATGTGAGGTTGCTATTAGTACAATGTGCAACATACGCAGGTTTTTGTTCTGCTGAAGGTCACATATTTTGCTAATCATTTTTTACGTTTTTAATATTGTAACTCTGGAATACTAATGAATTCTATTGCCTATTGGTGAATAATATTGTTTTAATATCTATATTTAAGATAACAGATATCTTGGAATAATGATAACGCCATTGTTTGAAATCACACAAGATGATATATTCCTGTATATCATGATTAAAGCTCCTTATTCCAAAGTATCAGAAGCAGATATATACATAGAGGATGGAAGCTTTAGATTCCATGCAAAGCCATACTTTTTACGGCTCAGTTTTTCTGCCTCACTCACTGAAGATGACAGAGCAAGCTGTGTTTATGATGTTGAAAATGGAGAGTATAAACTAAAAATAGCTAAAACTGATCCTGGAACACATTTTGAAGATCTTGATATGTTGACCAAATTATTGACACCAGCAGGAGAGAGACAGGTAAAATATTTGTGCACGATCGACTTTTGAGAAAAAATGGATTCAAAGTGCGCGCTATGGTTCATAAAATACAATAAATATTTACAGTATCTACTTCCAAATATGTCCAGGATTTCTAGCTCGGCAAGAGATGAGGTTTTACATTTGATGAAGATTTATCATTCTTGTCTGGAATAAGCAATTATTATATTTTAAGTTATCATATATCAGAATTTTAGTAAATTTCAGATAAATACATTGGCGGTTAAAATTCACAAAAATACAACTAAAACAAATCATTTCACATTGATATTTTGGACAGCGCTTGTTTCAAATTTAATAATTGAATCTTCAACTAAATGTCTGTCTTTTTCTGATAGTAATTATTGCTTCATTTATCTTCTCACTAGTGAAAAGCTGTCTATACATTGTGCTATTATGTTCCTACTGTTTAATTAAATTAAAACTTTAAAATTCTCAGGTGAAGAAACCATTGATTGAAGTTATTGAGAATGACGATAATGACGGAATCGGTGAAGATGATGAGCAGTTTGATTGGAGTTATCCTCAATTTCTTCCCAACAATGAACCAACAGAATCTTTGATCGGATGTGGATATGGATTTGCCAATTCGAAGTCTGGTGTATTTTCAAAACTTCAAGAAGACATTCACGATGTGATACAAATCCGAAATATAGAACAATCGTCTATAGAAAGCAGAAGTTCTGAAAGAGTTGAATATGAAAATGATAAATTTAATCCGGAACATTATTTAGCTGATTTATTCGAAGAAACAAATATTGAAGAATTGATCAATTTGACTCCACCTTGGAAAACTGCTAAAGCTGATGGAATCAATTTTAGTGAGAAAGATAAATTTATTTTGAAGAATTTTCCGAATATAGAATATCTTCTTGATAAAGCCCAAACGCAATCTGTTTATATGGGTCTTGTAGACATTTTATTCAGTTATGCTTACAATTGGAGATGTACGGAAGGTGATTACAGTGTGGAGTCACCTTGGAATATAAGGACTGTAAGCACCACTTTATCATGGTGTGCTACTGATTCGCTTATTCACAAAACTTTAATAAACTCGTACAGACGATGCTTGATATTTCCTCTGTATAGAAATTGGAAATTGACAAAGGCATGTCATAAGGATGTTGCAAAAATTTTGTTGAACGGCAAGAAGTTTATTTTAAAATGCTTGTTGCAAATTCATGACTTATTCGCAAATAGCGATCCATATTATGTGCTCAATGATATCTATATAAGAGATTATTGCATTTGGATACAAAAGTCTGGACCAGATGTTATACAATCTTTATCCAAAGCTGTTAAAGAAGTGAAAATCAAGAAAAAAGAAGTTGAACTTGATCTTGTGGAGTTGGAAAAAGCCGCACATTTAATGTTGGAGGAACAAGAATCCGAGGAATCAGAACATTCATTATCGGTAAAAGATTCTACAGATGAAATATCATGTAAAATTGAAGAATTGAAAATATGATTGGATAAAAGAAAGTCATGTCTGTGCTAAAGTGTCTGTGAATAGTGTGAACACTATGGAAACAAATTTGCTTCAGAACAGGCAGAGTCTCGAAGTTGGAATCACAATTTATTGATGATTGTGGACCCCAGTGGCCACCTCCTCTTTTGGAAATTCGATGGCCCTTCGAAACCCTACTGAACACAGTTCAATGTCCGCGTGGTATACCTTCATATCCATTCTAACGCTACTGATTTTTTTCTCGGATTATGATATTTCTTCCTGGATATTTTATTGCAGATGTCGGATATTTCTAACTGTGATAGAGCGGGCAGTATATCACAACTCGGTGGGCGCGTGCCGTGTGCTAGCCACCGCACCCCTGATTACCCCGCCTAAGAAAATATAATCCTATCAAGGTCATAGCTGGCTCCAAATTTGAGATGGGGTGGCGAGACTGTTTTCTGCGACATACTTGCCAATAGATTCTACTGTTTGTGAAGTCTATAGCCCTCGTGGTAAGCACTTGCAATAGTGCACGAGAAATCCTCCTGCGTTCTCAAAGTGTCATGAATTGTGTTATGTTTGAATTCAGTATATACCTTTGGCGATTAATATTTGTGCTGCATGCAGGATTTCTAGATTGTGTGATTAATACATGTTCTGCACGAAATGAGAAGTGCTCATGATATATATCAGCGGTGGCCAACCTGCTTTCGACCGCGATCCACTAAATATTCAAAATTGTTCACGATCGACTGACCGGTAATAAGGTCATACACAAAAACGAATGAGTACTGAATATATGCAGATAACTGCACACACGCATACAAAAAATTCAACCGCGTCTCTGTGTGCGAATTCTTAACGAAATCGCCAAAAAAATTGCATTTTTATGTTCCATTCAATTTGATTATGTAATTGTACCCGCGGTAAATGTTTCATCGTTATTTAAGATTTATTCAAATCAAACAATTCAAATCTGAGGCCTGCCTAATTTTTAATCATAAAAGTGTTAATATTTGCTCAAAAAACCTTGCCAAGTATGGATACTTTTATATCTTAACAGCGAAAAATAAATATACTCAAACCATAAATGTTACATTTACATGTCTACTTTAAACTTCTACAATTTTCTCCAAATTCGATTCTTCGCTCGTTTGGAATTAGGAATAGTTGGTCTTTCGGATCGACAGCGGCAAAACTCGCATTTGTTACTTAATAATATGCTATATGGGGCTCCCTAAGATTCGTATACTAGATGTGTATACCATGTGATGTGTATACCATGTTGTGCACATGTAGGCTACAGTACTGTATTTCTCCCGTTCTAAAACACACAACAGGCGCTGCATGAAACTGGTTCAAGGCAATTTTTGGGGCATGTTAATAAATTCATTCAACATCAGACGCGATTGACTACTCGAGACGTAGCGATCGACATGTTGGCCACCCCTGATATTTATTATAAAGTAATGATAATAATGAAAAATCACACTATTTCCAACTAATAATACAGGCAGGGGCGAATCGATGGCTCCAATAACGATCTATTCCACAACCCCATTGCTCGCTAGCCAGGGAATTTCAATTTGTATCTTTGGTATTGCATATTTGGCGTTGCCTGCCATTCAAGGAAATTGTTTCACTGGTACCTCATTCCCCGCGGCAAAACAGTAATGATGAAACTTTCAAAAATTCTTTTCTTCCCGGAAGATTCCCGGCCTTACGTTTAGCGACGAAGAAGCATGTGAATAAATATGGTTGAGCAATTTCTGCGACAGCATAAGCTGTCGATAAAAAATTGAAGCAAACAAGCAATTAATGCTGGCATATGGGTAAAGTATAAGTTCGTTATTACCGCTGGAGAAGCAGTCTCCTAAATGTTGTTCAAATCATTGCTACATCGATAGGCACTTGACGTTAAAACTATGCCAGAAAGGAGGTCGAAAAAGTGATTTGGATATTGTTCTCAGCGATATCATAAAAAGTGTTAGTTTTGTTTAACCTTTTAAGAAACTGAATGTTTTCAAAACAATCAGATGAATTGGGGCTATTATGTCATGCTGAAGTAGGCTGGTTATCAAGAAAAAATGTTTTGAAACGAGTGTTCCATGTGTGAAAAGAGCCGCCTTGCAAAATTGTCTTGTCCAACTGCAGTATTCAAGATTACAAATCAGGTAAAACAATCGATGCAAGGTAAAATGTGATATTATTGGAGCTAATAGCAAGATGTAAGCTTACAAAATGAAATTGGAAGTGGTGGCAGAATAATGTAGCAAAATGCGATTTTGCAGATTTCGAATGTATGGGCCATTCCAGACTTGTGTCTCGAATAGTATCCTTGAAAATTGTGATGTAGGGTCACAACTAAGTGTTTTATTTTAGTTTTATCAATTTAGACTTAAGTATTATACAAAAAAATTTATTGGAATATCAAATTTACCGTTCACCTTTTTTATGTGTCGTGCAACCTTATTATATTTGCTCATCAGTAATTATTAACTGACATTGCAAATCAGCCCGCAGAGTCGCACTTTTAAAAATACCCACATGTTCCCTAGGAGTCGCCAAAATCCAGGTACTGTGATTTTCAGTTCTGGATGCCTTTCCTATACTGTTGTGCGGAATGTATGATGAGAAAGCATATTGTAGTGTTTAGAACTTTAGAACAGCCATTATGGAATGCTTGTACCAATGTAACAACATTTTTGGAGAGCCATGGTCTGTCTATAGGTCCCTCCGGTGGTGTCATATCTTGTACAGGTGTATGGCGGGGTAGCTATATTAATTGATTTTATACTTTTACAGTTTCTAGTTTAAAATATGAGTAGCAACAGATTGGTGGTTCTGTAGTAATTCACATGACTCCAAGTTATGGCCTTGACTGCAGCAGAAAGAAAACGTAGATCAAGATCAAAGCGAAAACTAGAAAACCCAGCAAGTGAACGAGAGCAGAAAAGAATACATATGCAGCGTTATCGCCAAAATAAAAAGAGGAAATTTAATTTGCTGTCTCCATTAGAACAAGCTATACAAAGAAACATAGAAAGGAAAAGGGAGCGTGACAGAAAACGTAAACAGAGAAGAGCGAAAAGTGCTGAAAAACAACTAAAAATATCTTTTGAATCCCGTTGTGGCAGCAGAAGTGCTAAGTCCAAGGCCATATAAAGGGCCAAAAAAGCGTTGTCATCCACACCACGGAAACGTGGGAAGTCAAGCGGAACTATATGATTTAATTAAGACCCGTACGGTTGAAGTTACTGATGGCCAATCATTCAAAAGTGCATTTGACATACTCCAGTCACGAATCTCAATAATTTACAAATCAAAAATTGAAAAACACCTGGCATTACACAACAGTAAAGCAAAATTTGATTCTGCTAGGCCTCTTGTTAGGATTTCACATCACATTCAAATGGAAAATCACCAACCTTGGGTGTTTTTTTTAAAAGATCAGATGTTGGCGTTGGCTTAAAATTATTAACGAGTTAAATTGAGTATTGTAATTGTTTGAAATCTTTAGATGTGTTGATGAGAGTACTGTACAAGTCGATGTGTGAGTGCGTTGAAAAATTTTTTCAGGTTCACTGTTATTAATTCTGCTTTTTTGTTATTTGAATATAGAATGAGTAAGGTTTAAGTTATTGCAGCTGTCAGTGGGCTTATAAAAAAAAGTATACACTGTGGACGAATAAGTCGTACAATGAGCAGCCGGTTGGAGAATGATGTACGTATATTGTTATATGTTGCGGGCCTAAATATAGGACATGTCTTCACCTTTTTAACGACGCATTAGCAGTTTTTCAAGAGATGGTAGACGTCGCTGTTCAAGAGTGGAAAATGTCCGGTAGTATACTATATATTTTATATTTGCTAATTGAGGCTTGTGTGTAACTTTTATGCAGTTTTGTTCAACCCACATAAAGCAAATCATTGGACAATGATACAAAACATATTGCTGGCAATGTAAAAATATATTGCATCTCACAACCTGCAAAATTTCTGGAATTGTCCTGTGGAGTCACTTGGAATAGCCCATCTTGGTTTTCCTATTTTGGATTATTCGGTCAATCACAAGTAAAAGACAAGTTAAGACAGAAAAGAATAATATAATATAATAATAATATATATATAAATCTATAAGATACTGTAGAATTGTGATGATCAAGTTGGCAATAATATATCAAAGTGTGTATTCGTTGTTGGAAGAGAGGATCAGGCAATCGCAGAAATTCGCTGTGATAGAGATCAATATAAGGTCCTATTTGCCTTCATAGAACACAACGCCAAAATATTATTATATATTGGCTACAGTCTCTTCCATACCAGAACTTCTCTTTGATATATATAAAATAGGATGTACATTGATTAATGACACCTCTAAATTCCAATAATAAACAATGGGAATGAAACTATTATATATATATATTACAACGTGAAGTAAAAGAAGGCGTTTTCAAGCAGAAATAGATAACAAAAAAATTTGGCTGATACAGTGGGTTTGAGCAATAAAATACATTGACGCAAGAGAGATTTGTGGAAATTTTGCGGATGGCACTTTTTCTTCCTTTGTTTACCAGAGTATCTTGGTGGTGTCCGCCAATTCCGCAACCGTATTTACAGTTGTATAATTAAGTTTTGCCAGAACTTTCTCGCATATTTTCTGAATTCCTGAGACGGTACTAAATGACATCGAATTCCTCCACTTCTGTACGGTGGTCGAAGGATCTCTAATCGTTCCATAAGGATTTCGTAGTTGTTTCTCAAGTGTTATGAAACTCTTCAGCACAGCGTTCCTGTTCTGAAATTAAATAATGATTTCAAGCATAGTCAGGATTTTGGAGTTATTTTCGTTCGACATTATAAAATGATACATAAACTCAATGACCTATTTTATCGGGAAATGAATAATTTTGTTTTCTATCCAAGATACCAATAGAGGCAGGAAGAATCAAGTTGGGTACTTGTCGGTGACGATTTAGCAAAGTGAACAATTAGGATAATTTACCGATTCTCCCTCTTTTAACTTCTTTTCTATTTCGACTAGTTTCTTGTGCGGTTGAATTGTTGACATTTTTAGCCAACCTTCAACTTCTGCTGGTAATTCTAGTCCAAGGAATCTAAAAATATACCTATTTTGTAATCTATCTGTGATTTACGCCGGTTACAGGTGGGAATCCACAAATATGGGAGAAAAAAGTTAAAACAAGACGCTGCCAATAAAATACTTTAAGGATTTAAAATATAAATAAATCAGATAGTTTTTCTCTCTAATGTAAATATTTATAATTATAAATATGTAAAATTTTCCCATAAAGGGGATTGGCATAAAAGGCAACGTGCATTCATAAATGTCACTGCATTATATGTACCTTTCGTGCTTGGAACAACGAAGCCAAGAGTTCATTTAGAATGTACTTCAAAGGTCTACACATGTTCTTGAATATTGATCGGCGTTTCTAAGGCACCGTTTCAATTCTGAGATCAAGGTTACACTAGTAGTTCGTTGTATACATTTAACAACGCAGCAAAATAGTGAAGGGAGCAACCCACGGGAACAAGTTAATTAGGTTTTGGAGTAACGTTGGTGTTGAATAATCTAATAATATACTTCTGTTGGCAATTTTTTAGCAAAGATTGACATTTAGTTATTCTAATTTCATCAACATTCACTCCTCGGGTTGAGTGTAACTACATGATTATCGACGTTGCCTTAATGAGAAATACTTGTCAACACGCAGACCCCAAAACGTTGTTGTTGGGATATAAGCAGTAGTGGGATTCAGCCGGTTCTATAGAACCGTCCCACGGAATTTTATGAGATCAGCGAACCGGTTAGCATTACATGACTTTTTGTAACAGAACCGCCTGAAAATATGACATTTGTGTGATGGAACCGGCTGACAAAAAAATTGAATCCCACCACTGGTTATAAGGGATGGAAAGTCGCCATTATTTTAGTCACTGAGTTCGGATTCAATTATCCAGTTTATCAAAAACGAATAACAACGAGCTGAACCGAATAAGATAGGCACGGCGACATTAAATTGATGCAATATATGTAAAGAACCCATATGATCGCGTCATTTCTTAATGGATTCGACCGTCATTGGTAAACAAAGACTGAATTATGCACAAAAAACTATCACTGGTATATTATTGAAATTGTTTTTTTATACGAACTATCGTACGTGGGCACTCATACAATGTTTTTGAATGATTAATCACAGGCGTTTGTCTGTTCTGCACCAGGGCCTGAACTGACTCACAATGTTGGGTGCAAAAGTTCTTAGCTTGGTTTTTGAAATTTTTATCTTTTCATACCATTTCCAACAATATATATACTATAAACAAATGTGTGAATTCGACATCCACGCATCAAGTTGAGTTTCAGTAAAATTGAGTGTCTTGTTTCAAAAATTTCTATCTAATTTAAAACGTTCATGTCATAAAATACTGTGTTCATGTTATGTGACAAATGCATTCTCAAATCACTTCTAATTGTGGCCAACTTCAAAATTCTGAACGACATAAATAAGTATACAATTAAGAACACTGCGCCGCCTAAAATATTTTCCATTTGAAATTTTGAACACTTTAAGATTTCTATACTTACCCATAAATTTTACTCGCGGTAGATATCGGTTCCATTGAAGCATCTTCGTATCGAATTCTGAGATATTTCTCGTCTCTAATCAACAATGGTGGATCTGAATAGTTTTAAACTTGTTTATTTCAATTATTAGTTCCAAGTATTCAAATTCGAAAAATCCATTTTATCAATCAACTTCTGGTATCTATCAAATGAAAACAAAAATGTCAGAAGTTGGGTTTTTTAGAAATTACCATCAACGTTTTATATAATAGATAAAGAAGACGAAGACGTCATATTTTCTAGTTATATACAATATACATTGACATTATGAAAGTTTGACAAACACATATATATATTACGTTATTGTAATATATCGTTATTTTGCTTATTGGTCACGAGAATTAGCATCATGATCTTGTCATTAAGATTATCACATCGAATTTGATTATTGGATCAAATAATCACGACCGTGTATTCAGCTATATTGAGACATTGAATATTTTCGGTACAAAAAAGCATGATTATATAAATAGTCCATTTTGGAATAAGTTGTAGTAAAATAATGAACTATTTTGCATGGGAACTGGAACATTCTATTCACAACACGGATTCGAAACCACACATTGACATAAACTTTACTTATGCGAATTCAAATGAGTGCCAGAGACCTTTGTATCTCAATATAGTTTTAAGTCCGAGGCACTTTTATTCGTAATCGTCAGAATACCATTAGGTATTTCCGAAAAACGACTTTTGCATAACTTAAAATAGTAATCTACGTCCCTGAAGTATTCTTACATTTTATGAATACGACTCCACCAGCGCAAAAACATAAAGTGGAAAATTAGGTAGTTGGCCCCGCTGCCTCAATCGATAGCAGTAAGTACTTTCTTGAATATGAATTCTTGATTTAAGTGTATTATATAATATTACCCGTAGTGCCGTTGATGTATTCCAAGTTTCTATGAATTTTGGAACACAGTTCACCCGCTTTTTGCAAAGCATTCGACTCTTTCAATTCTAGTTTTAGTTTCGAGGAAATAATAGCTCGCGGGTCACGCAAAAGATGAATGACGTATACATCTTTCCCTCGATTTTTGAAGTCCTTGTAGATTTCTTCGATATCTTTCAGAGAACATATCCTGAGCACCTTGAAGGCAACAACTTCAGTCTGAGAACAAATCGTTGAAATTACGTCTGCTCGCAATGGAAATTCGCATTTTTGTGCAATCGATAAAAAGGTGGAACTTTTACAGAATTGTTTGTATCGAATACTCAAAGCGTCTGATCGGGATGCAAAACATGCATTGTTTATGACACACCCGGACACTGTATCGCTTGCTTTTGTGAAGTTTCTGGCCAATTTGAATGCACTTGCACTGTCTGAAAATTGACAGTTCATCATTTTCTTCAAAGTTTCGAGTCTTTCCTCGTTCAAAAAGTGACAGTGTGGTGTGTATGGGAACAAAGGCTCATAGAGGTAGAAAGCGTTTGTATTCTTATTGAACATTTCTCCCATGAAGGTAGAACCTGACCTTTGGTTGCCGTATAATATCACAATTTTCTGAGGTTTTTGAGCATTTGAAACAGACATTAGTTTTCTTATTTGGGACGTGACAGGGAAATATCGTTTCACGTCAATCTTCGTATACCCCATACCGTGGAATGCATAAAATACTATTGGTGTCATTAAACCCATTAGGAATATTCTCCGCCTCGCAAATCTGTTTACAGACATTTTATCGTTCTACAGTTCTGAAAAGCGGTATATACTTCAGTTAGAATTTCGATAACCAAGTGAAAATAAATTAAAACTAAGATTTAATATTAAATGCAGAACCACGCGTTATATGCTCACTTATACTTATTGGATATTCTTAGTAGTAGTCGTTCATTAATTTGTTGTATTCAGAGCAGTGTGCAAATGAGGTAAACATTTAACTAAAGTGTAAAACTGAAAGTATTTGCGGTTGCCGTATTTGGCGATACCAACCTACCATCATCAAAGATAAAAAGTTTAAATGAACGTTCTGTTCGCGTAATTCACAATAAAAAGCATCACATCATGCATGTGGTATCGTGAGCTGTCTATTGCTTGTCGTGCTCTTTACTCAGCGCATCCTGTGAATTTTGAAATACAACAGAATTTTTTATTAACTACCGTATATCCGATATCTAAAAAAACTTTTCTCCTATATATAGATGACTGTCAATTTCAAGAAAAAATATATGGATGGTCTATATATATACCAAAGACGTCTGTTTTCTTTATTTTGTTTAGTCCAAATGCGACATGAGTGGGGCAATATAATTTTGCCTTTCTGTCCAAGACTAAGATAAATAGAATGCTGTGATAGAAGCTCACTCATATAACTAACGTAAATGTAAAAGCAAAATATCAAATTTAGATACGAGACAGACGGGTACTCGTATGATAGTTTGCCACGATATTCACGGTAATGTTTTTGCTGCAATTGATCTACATAATCTCACAACCTGATTAATTAGTTCGAATTTTGCTCTAGACTTGGTTAAGTATTGCTGCAGTATGGCGACCGGACGATTTTCCTATAATATCGATGTCGTATGACAAAACTTTTCCTTGAACGTTCTACTGTGTAATCCGTATTCTAACTCCCAGGTATTTCAACCAAAATTCATCTTATATATCCGATGACCTCGCTAGGCTGAACTTGAATAAAAATATTGGCAATGTTCAACTTCTATTCCAACATCGAGACAACCTTCACCTCTTATAATAGTTTTTATAACCACCGTCCTCCCTTTCTCGACTGTTTTGGAATGATAATATATGATTTGGTTTAGTCCAACTCGAAAACAAATTCATTGGTTTGACACGAAGTGAACCTATACAACATTTCGCCAGTTTGTTGTTGTTTTTGTATAGATCTTTAAGAAATCACATTCCTTCGCGACCAATGAGCCAAGCAATTTCAAATTTTCAGTATCTAAAGATGAAAGAAGTCGCCAGATATCTAATGCTAAAATTGTTAATGTTTTTTATAATTTCAATGCACGCGTTAACATGACCTTCAGTGCAATTCTGTTACCATTTCATTAACATTCTGTACAATCTTTTTAACATTTGGCTGGATTATTGATGGCATTAGGGCGCCAATATTAGTCATTTGACCTTCATATATTTGAGAATTACAACTTTTTTGTATTCTTGCGCGGATTTCGGAACGGCAATTTGGTGAAAATGTGACAGCATTAAACATTTTATGTTGAAAATGAGAACTAATATGAAAATTTTGTTTTTATATCCACTACGAAACAGCACAAAGTTTTTTTGTGTACCTTATCAACTTATATAAACGACCTTAATCTCATACAAACAAAGTATTTTTGACCTCGCTTACGTTTTAAGAAGACGGGAGTTTGATTTTCACTAAGAAAACAAAGTGGACTAAAATTTATTGTAATAACCCTTGACAAAAACCACAAAATCTTCTTAATTTGTATTAGTCACTTTCTTTGAACTATAAAACACAATAGTGAAAAACCGTATACTTGCGTACTTGAGTAAACAGAATTCAACTCAAGGCAAAAATGGGCACATTGTTTAAATTCATCTCTTGAACCCTCGTTAGCCTTTGATATCGACTGAAAAACTAGACCCCACATATGATATAAGGAATCAAGGGCCCTCTCAAGTACTGAACTTACCTGGTAAACGATTATAGAAGCCTGGGATGTACACAGACTTCATCTTACATTGAACAATATAAAATTGCTCAATCGATTAAATCTTACGGAAGGCTGTTTTTACAGTCAAGGGTTCTGTTGTGCTATATTTATGGAATCGAATAAATTTTTGAGACGACATCGCACACTATTCACAAATTTGTATATTTACCGCGTTGTGCGTATCATAGAACCAATCTCTAGATGACTAACTTGAACTGTCTTATATTATAGCGTAGATACGCAGATTTAAAGTACCAATTTATTCCGATGTTCATTAAGTTTCATTACTATGAAATTCATTTAATTTCACTGCTGTTTGTGAAGTAAATGAATACGGTATCACCTGGTAAAAAGGTCATACGATGCCACGTTAAAACAGACAATTTCCATTAATCAAGGTAATAATATATTTTCATGACGCGCACGACTCGGCTATGCAAAACTATAAAATTTGTTCATACGGGAAGTTAAGATTCTGATTGGTACTCGTCTGTATACTTTCATTGACGGCTTTGATTGATCTACGAGTCTTTTACCGCTGTTTTACACCACTTTTCCATAATGGCTGATGGGACATTTTTGTAAATTCAAAAATACATTTTGTTCTGGAGATATGGACGCACAATGTCGGACGTAACCTCATTATCATTTTAGAACCAGATTCCTATTTAAGCTCTTAATTCAACATATATAGATAATCTTTGCTTAACTGTACATGGCTTTGATGTTGTCAGTGGATTATAACGTAAATATCGACTGATAAAAAAACAAAAGTCGGTATTTGATACCGCAATAAAATATTGATACATAATTAAAGATGATGGTTCTGACATTTAAATTTGTGACAAAATTTTCTAGTAAGATCACCACGTGAAATCTCAGTTGTGCACAATGAATGCCAAAAATTCCGCCATTACATTTTAATTTAAGTTTAATTAATAGTTTATATTAATCCAAACTTACTGCACTGGTACGAATAATGGAATTAGGTGTAAGAACCACGCTGCTCCGTCAGCTTTGCAATGTAAAAAAAACTGTACATTGCATGCGCTACTAAACTGCAAACGAGTATAAATGATTTATATTATTAGACTTCCAATCTCATGTGCAAAACATCTCGTAATTTAATTTTCGCTCCCCTTTCTGTAAAATCTATCTCACAGGACAGAACCGACCGAAAGTGAAATCTATTACCGTGTGTTATGATCTACTCGTCAATAACGTTCTGGCAAGTAATCAAAGAAAACGTTCGTGAAAGCTCTTCCTGTCATTTAATGGGCGCGAGGATTATATTGCTCAGCGCTCTATTCAATATACTGCCTCATCCTCGCATTGCGATGCTCTACGGCGACTTGCCAATTTACTGTCGCAAATAATGAAACTTGCCATACATTGGCCAGAAATGGAGTGTCTGAGAGTGATCGCTTTATTGTCGATGCAAGCTTGATTCAACTGTGATTGGAACTAGGGTAAAAGAGCAGCTAAAAGGAACTTCCGTTTGGCAGGCTGCTGTCACGTCTCTGGTTTTCACTATCTCTTAAGGGGATAGAATATTATCACTTTATTTTTGCTTACTATTAAAAGCGTTAAATGTTCTGTCATATTGTTTGACTAAGCATGATCGAAGATACGTGGTTATGAATTTATAAAACGTGTTATACGATACATCCCATACGCGCGGAAAATACCCATTGTATTCGAAAAATAAACTTTACGTCCGGAATTCAAACCAATGGACATAAAATAGATCGCAGCGGGTAAATTGCAAAAGGTTAAAGCAAAAAATATCTCATATTATGTGGTATTACTCCAGGCTGAATTCTTATACAAATGCTCCTTTTGATTTTATCCAATCATCTTCCAAAAACTCATTTTTAGTTTATTGAATTCTTCTTCTCTCACAACCTTTCATCATGATTTTACAGATTTATCGTACTGAGATAACTTATAAATTATGAAAATATTCCAAAGTGATTGTTGGAAAACGAACTGTGTTTATTTAGCAGTAAATACTGAAATGGTGCCATGCGCGTTGGTCACTCAGAGAGAGCGACAGCAACTTTCGCAATTTCCATTGAAAAGTCGGTAATGGACGAGTACACAAGAAGCAATGATAAATCGGTAAACTTTCTGTAAAATGTCGAGCGTTACAGGAAAATCATTTTAATGAAGTATATTACTTCTTTTATACAGAAGAACATAGACTGTCAAACTGGACCGTACTCATGCGAAAGTAGAGCATTTCGAGATTGAATGATTGCGAGAGTGTAGTTTTGCGAGAATGAGCTGTCGCAAGAAATAAATTAGTGATATAGCGATTGCTATTCGGTTATGACCTCTCCGCTATAGTCAAGCCGATGCACAGAATTGGTGATCCAACTATTTCCATATCCTATAGCTGAACTGGTTGGTTATATGATATCAAATCGGATTTCATGTCTCCTGAGATAGTTATAAATACCCCAAGTCTCAATCATAAAAATCTTGATGGTCATCTAAATACAAAACTCAAACACATAGGAATTTTCGTTTTTAGCAGAGACAATGGGACATGCACAATGCTGACATCATTGTTATTCGTATTCAAAGATAGAGAGAGATCCCAGTCACAGGAACCTTGGCACAAAGGCGCCATCCAAGTATGCCGAGATCTAAATAGTTTCATAATATTATTATTATCTATATTCTATACTATCATCATTTGTTCATTTTTGACGAATCTGTTAAAAATATGTCTTTGTTAAATTAACCATATCAAGTTTTGAATTGAACATCTTATATCTAAGCATTTCAAAAACATTTGCGCATTTTTCTTGAACAAGCTGAGCAACAGAATACGGCAGAGTTATTCTCCATTTTGTCAACACTTCTTTTGCGTCTCTTGTTGTTCCGAACGGGTTGTTCATTTGATGTAAAATCTCTTTGCTTCTAGTGTAGTTTCTTATTTCTTTCTGTGAGGTTATTCATAAAATTAATAAGAATAAATTTATACAAAATCTAAAAACAAATGATTCAGTTATATTTGATATATGTTTGATGTATGCGTGTATGAACGTAACGATATGATACAATTGGGAAATCGCGAGTCTTAGAAATCACAGAGAGTGAATTTGGACAAAGCCTATACAATTGATTTCCTCAACGTTTCTTCCAACATTCTCTTATTGAAAACATTACAAAGTTTTTCAAAACTAAATCTTTGGTCTTGAACCGGATCAAAAATGATCAATCATTATTTATGAATTTCCCCGTCCAACTATGTAATATTGATTGCATTTTGTTTGGTGCCTTCACCACCTGAACAAACACTAGGACCTAAATGAAAGCCGGTTTCAGCATCATACTAGACACCAATTCTATTACCTTTTCGAGAAGCGCCTTTTCGTCTTCTCTCCTAATCCTGTCCAAAATGCGATTCATACTTTGGTGGGATTTTGAAATGAATCTTTCAACTTCCTCGCTCTTCGGCTTCCCAATAAATCTGAGTATAAAAAGATAAATATGAAAACATATGATTAATAATATGAACATTATATGAAATATTTTTTTCAAATCTTTTCGTCAACGACATTGTGCTTGTTTTTATTATGCGCGGGAAACTCCTCTCCACACATACGTTTGAGATTCCAAACTCAAACCAGGGTATAGTAACATGATTGACTGTACTTCTCAATCTGACATTGGGGCTGTGATAAGTTGGACATACAATGCTGAATGAACTACATCAGAAGCCTCATTAAGTCCTTTTTATATTTCAGCGTACATCATTTGCAACTTTCTACGACATAATAATGAAAACATATCTGAACCTGTATATTTTTTCAGCAGTTTCGAATGGATTTACAGTGAAGTCTTCGTGCCTAATTCTCAGGTATCTTCCATCCGAAATTATATTTGAACCGGAATCTGTAATATATATCTAGTTAACAACGTCCGAAATAATATTATGATATGACAGTAAATGATTTTTTCATCTGAAATTTCAAGACAGAGTCAATGGAATAGGTATGACAATGATGACCTTTCATTTTTCATCTTACCTGCTTCTAGTCGACTGACATATTTCATATTTCTGTTGTATCTGTCACACAAAATATTTGTCTCCGCCGAAGCGTTATGAAGTCGGATTCCATCCACTTTCAAATTTACTCTTGATGCAACCACTGCTCTTGGATCTCGAACGAGATGAACAACAAAAAGTTTAACACCTTTATCTTGCAAAGTCTTATAAATTAATTCGATATTCTCGATGGTGCATAGGCGAATGATTTTATATGCTACTATGTCGCTTGTTTTACATATTTGCCCAAGTATTGTCGTATTTAGAGGATAACCACATGCTGGAGATTCTGGGTCAAACTTCAAGTTTCCATCTTGCGTCTGTTTATCCACGTTCTCGTCTTTCCCATACTCGCATATTTTTGCATAGTTTTTCAGCAACGGTTGATGGCTAGTTTCAAAACAAATGTTGTTTTTCATACATTCTGCATCCTTATCAGTAAATTTAGTTCTAGCAAATGCTTTCAAATACGCTTGTTTCAAGTTATCAAAATTGCATTGTAGAAAATCGTTCAACAAATCCACTCTTTCTATTTCCAAATATTTACATTGCTTGGTGAATGGAAATAATGGTTCGAAGAGATAAAACGCTTTAGGATTTTGGTTGAAGATTTCACCAACAAACGTTGATCCAGATCTCTGATTTGCAATTAAAAGAACAACAGTTTTTTTCTGCATCGGAGGAACGGTGTTTTTTATCCATGATATTTCCTGTCTCAATTCCTGCCGGATTATCAATTGTTGAGTCGGATTTACCGAGGAAGTTTTCATCATATTTCTCCACGTTAGACATATTGTAATAGCGGCGGCAAGGACATATATCACTCTGTGAGTTCTCCATATTTCCCAGTGGATGATTCTCTTTGCAGTACATTTCATACCCGTATAAAAATTCAAATATATACAACTTCTAATCTATAGCTATGATAACCTACTATTTGCTAAGCTTACATTAGTTCACTTGAAGCGCGTCTTTCTATTCAGTTATAACCAGTTGTGCTTCTTGATTTGCCTCGGGCATAAAAGTTTATCAATATTTCGATTGGCAACGTTTAGAGAGAGGCATTTGTATATATGATTTTTGGATGTGTTTTAACAGCGTTTCAATCATGTTTACTAAGATACCTGAACGATATTTTGAACACATTTTTTCTACGTTTACTGTGTAATCATTTCCAAGACGTACACTGTATAACAATATTGAATTTTAATTAACACAGGCCTGGTATGTATGGATTATTGGTAGGGATGGCATTTTCTAATATCTGATGATTTCAGAATCGAATATTGTTGTCGAATCCAATCTCATCTCGAATATTTGGAATATATTCAAATATATGTGACTTTTTCATTGTGATGGGTCACATAAATTACTGAAAACATTTAATCCATCACTCAGACAGTTTGACGAGCATTCACACACAACAAAAAATAAGTTTCATCAATACCTCACAAGAACTAAAATAGGCATAGGTCAAAAAACAATATGTCGGCAATACAAAATTTCCGTCTGAACCGATTCGAATAATATACTGTGGCGTCTTTCAATTTACTACTCTAAATTTCATATTATATATTTGCTTGGACAACGCAATAAGGGTGTATCATAAATGTCTTGTCCCACTTATTCTGCACTTATTCCACTTGACTCACACTTGATCGACAATTGACTCACAGTTACCACACTCGTCCCGACAAGTAGCATAAGTGTAATTAAAGTGCAAGTATATGACATTCTACAAAAGGGGCAAGTATCGCAAAGTGGAACATAAAAGAGACACGTGCGAAACAAGTAGGGCACAATAATGTTCTTCCAAACCAGTAGACTCCTATTTCAAAGTGACTGCAAATAATAAGTCTTGATTACAACGGTGCCAACAAAACATCACGAATATATAATGCATTTTTTTAAATAAAAATACTTGTGCAAGAATGAGGGGTGGCAACGCAACTACCGTGTTCCCCCGAAAATAAGACCTAGCCTGAATTTTAAAAATGATTTTAATATAAACCTTCTCCTTAAAATAAGACCTAGTCAATAACGCGAATTATTTCAATTTTTTGACATAGTCGATGGCAAGAAATCTCTCCCACATGTTTAAAATGATTGATAATATGTTATTTTGAATAAAAACGTGTTATTTATAAGTAAATTGATATCGGTTTTTCATATTTTGTATATTTGATATTATCGTTATTCTCTACTTTGTAGTTTTGTTTTTGATGAATGAAAATATAAGACATCCCCCGGAAGAGTGGATTTCCTGAGATGTTTTCATATATCTGATAATGAGTCACAATACGAGTTATGTAAGTTTAAAATCCCATATAAATCATACTGAAATGAAATACGTTCTTTCACGATATAAATACAATATTTTTAATTCAGTAATATTTAATATCAAAGTTAAGCATATAAGTGCGTGATTGTAACATTATATAATTAAATTTTTCCATTGGTTCTTTGCAATATTCTTGAATTGTTTGAACTTGTTCATATGTTAATAATTTTCGCCATTTCCTTGCAACTTTGCCGGGATCGCGTACAGTCTGAAACGCGTCTCTTTCTTTGCTGAATATGTCATTGTATTTCTCAAATCCGCCTTCGATCTGCAAAAGACAGACATTAATGTAGATTTGAAACTTTCAATCCAATCCAGCATTAACCATTACGAAAAATAAGCACGTGTTTTCGGCACCGAGAGAAAGAGGCACCACACAATATATCCGTTGACTAATTTCCAATGGTGCGTCAATGTTTTTTAATGAAACCAATTGAATTTGTCAGACGACACAGACCTCAATATTAGCCTGATTGAAATAAATTTCGCAAGTATTATCCTAAAACTCTCTATCAATATTTGTAAGTATTAGCGTTGTTTTCAAAAATATACTACAAATTAATAGGAACTTGGCCATCAATTAGTAATGAATACTGAAACTTACTTATTTCAAACTTACTCAATTTCAGATATCATAAACACTAGTTTCATTATTATTAATTATACATAGGGCACCAAAATCTCATGAGCCCGCGGCCTCCAAAATGCGTGATCATGCCCTATGATTTAAATTATTGTGACAAATTCGTTAATTCCTCATTTGTAGTATGTTATTTCAAATAAAATGCATTCGTCCAAAGGCAAGTATTCAGGCTAAATTTATACACCCCGAAAGGAGAGATGCACTGATGCATTTTGGCCTGTACCGTTGCATAAAAATGGACAATACTGACCCGCCATCAATATTCTCACTAAGTGGCATGACAAATACATATCAACGATTTTAGACTTATTTGTCCTCTTAAAGTTTTTGTCTATACAGTGGCAGAAGAAGTTGCTGCAAATTTGACATATAGTTTATCGTTTACAGCAGTGGTTCCCAAACTTTTTTGATCATCGCCCCCCTACAGTAGTTTATACAATTTCATCGCCCCCCTGCACTACAAAAAAATGTAATGTCAGAAACGAATATATTACAGACCAAAAAAGAAGACAATTCATAGTTTATAGTGTATTTTAATGAGATGGATGAGATTGGTGTTCTTCAGTGAGTTTTTTATTATATCTATTACCCCGTTTACTGATAAAAAGGCGATTTCGTTGTTTTGATAGCAATAGTAGAACGACTGGAAACCCCTTTTTCGCCATATAATAGGTCGGAAATGAAAGAATTTGGGGTTCTACCTTCTCAAAAACCGCCGATTACTGTTTCTTGTCTTATAGCATTTCACTCCATAAATTCACCCCATTTCACATTAAAATAATGAAAACAAAGTTAATTTTCCATAACTTATAATAATGATTTTCGTACATCTAATTCATTCCTACAGCCTGATGACCTGCACCAAAATATTTCGGTAAAATTCATCCCCGATTCCTCATCCTACCACGATCTCCAGTCCACAGAATTAATCGGCTATTTGTTTTTGAATTTATGGACTCGGATGTGGAAGAAGTCGTGACCGACTATAGGCTACGGCCCAGTTGTCAGCAAATTAAGCATACAATAAACAATGGGATAACCGTCACCTACAAGCGGGCTACCAGAAAATTGATTTTCGCCGATTGCTGTGATATTTTATAGTAGTATGCCCTTTTTATTTTCGTAAGTACGAGAGTGTGAATCAACAGATTGTTGAATGTTATGAATTAGAATGATAATTTGAAACAAATACCCCATTTTACAGGTACCAACTCGCAAAACACTCTTAAACTAAGCACCGAAAATTTTGAAATGGTAAAGTATAGAAAGAATTTTCCGCGGTAAAAGGTCGGGGAAAGGTCCATTCAGTGAATCGTTCCAGGCCAAATTATTTTACTCCGGCCGTATTTTGCCGAGCGATACGCAAACTACCGTACCTTACTGCGAAGACGAGTCCGGCAATCCTTTCGCGTGTGATAATCGCCCACGTTATTCAAGCCTGCGAATGCACACAAAGTACAGAATTAAGTGCACGATGCTCCACAAACAAAATCAGGTTTCGTGAAATCGCCCCCCTATCGCCCCCTTCGACTTTTTCGCCCCCCTCTGTATCGTTTTCGCCCACCGGGGGCCGATATCGCCCACTTTGGGAATCACTGGTTTACAGCACTCTTATTAACGTGTTATTTTTATGTACATTTCTTATACGAGACATTAACACATTTTTGGATGTGGAATATTCATTTTCAGATTCTGAAAATATGGTTTTAAAATGATATTCGATAACGTTTGCTCCAGCAGATTAAAGTAACCGTCTGTGTCTTGTCAGTTTCATGTAAAGTAAATGTCACAGCCTCAAACATTTTATCGCAATACCTTAACTATACTACTATACTGATTTAACAACATTGAGTATCATAATGCTATCTACTCAGGTATGCAAATTAGATTGTTTTACCTATAAATATTTTCAGCCTTCTGAATAGAATTTAATGCAAGAAATTCATATATATCTTATTCTTAAATATCGGTTGTCTCCCACAGCGCTTGCGCCATACGAATTTGAATGATGCTCTGAAACTTAAGATTACAATTAATTGCCCAGTAGTATGATAGGTAGACGCGATAGTAAGGTACGTTTATCATAACCGCCATCATCTTGCTGACATATTCGATATTCAGTTTGTAACGATCACAAAGTTCCTTTGTTCGTTGACCCAAATCGGTGTCTGAAATGTTGTCCAAACGTGCTGCAAGTCTCGACGACATCGGATCTCTAATCAAGTGTATTACAAATACATTGTAGCCCATAGTTTTTAGGGTATGAATAAACTTCATCCAGCATCTTCAAGGAACATATTCTTAATATCTTAAAAGCTCTGATATCGGATTCTCTACAAATTTGGCTGAGGTATTTTTCTTGTAACGGAAACCCGCAAAGTTTCGAATTTGCTTCAAAATTTTGCCCCCTCGTCATACCTCAGATATTATGAGCCAATCTAAAAAAAACATCGAGCGTGTAAAGGAAGCCTTTAAACATTTCTCCTACGCACAAAGCCAAGAGGAATTTGTGAACACGCTGCAACGAATTTCCGACGATAAAGCTTTTCGCAAGCGAGCCTGTTTCAGTGATGAGACAATTTTCCATTTCTCAGGAAAGTTAAACAAACAACGTAATACCGGAAAACCCCCATGCGAATAGACCACCACACCGGGGACTGCATGTTTGTGAGTTCTTCAATGAAACTTTTTCCGACCAATGGATTGGAAGGGGTGGGCCAATTACATGGCCATTACGTTCCACAGACATCACTATGTGCTTCACATCACTATGTGCTTTGTGCAACTAATGATGTCCATATAGGAGTGTATTAAATAGAGTAATGATATTTTTAATTAAGCGTTTAGAACTGTATTAAATTTGTCAATAAAAACTGATGAACATAAAACGACCCTCATTGGGATATCTCATCATTTCACTTTGTAATATTTTTTTCTAAATTGTGAAGAAACTTTATGGACACCCTGTACAGTTCTATTCCGTTTTGCATGAGTGGTTGATACTGATATCGTTGCAACAAAATCGCTTTAGTCATAAATAACGAGTATTTAGAATTGGGATTGGTCTCAGTTGGTCTTTTTTAACGTAATTCCGTAATTCCCCTAGCAGCTCGTTTTTTCCTGAAATTTTGCTGATTTTGAAATTTGAGTTCTCAAGTTGACTTGAGATTGATTGGCACTGATAGAAATTGCTGAGTCAGTGCAAAACAATCACGTATAATGACGGTAAGCTGGCAACAGCAATTTTTTTGGCTCAATATATTATAATGCATAAAATCCAATTTTTTACTTTGCCATTAATAGTGGATAGTACTTTGAAAACGGAAGAGTCGTAGGCCAAAGAATTAAGGCCTTTCTCCTAATAAGACACTGCGTATGTAAGCGGCCTACTAGAACAAGGCAAAAGTTATATGTGAATTATTGTATTCCATTAACAGTACTATAGTAAACAAGAGAGCTATGCTCAAATATAAGACACGTTGCGCCACATAGTGGCAAATTTTGATGGCATCATAGCACACAAAAACAATAAATAAAAGTAATATGTAAGCGGCCTACTAGAACAAGGCAAAAGTTATATGTGAATTATTGTATTCCATTAACAGTACTATAGTAAACAAGAAAGCTATGCTCAAATAAATAGACACGTTGCGCCACATAGTGGCAAATTTTGATGGCGTCAAAGCACACAAAAAACGATAAATAAAAGTAATAGCCTTCTAGCAAAAAATATAATCTTCATTAACTGAAACTTTTTAAGCGATTGGTCCAGTATTCGAAAAGAAAAGCGACTTTATAATGATGACGAAAAATAACAACAAGAATAACAGAAAAATATCGAAACGATCGTTATGTCCACTAAACGTGTCCAATAAAATATCATCTGCAGTTACTAGTTACAGTTGTAAAAGTCTATTTGCATAGGCGGCATCGGGGACGACAGATAGATTGTTATTTTAGTCGAACTTTAAGCTCAAAGGTTTGACCATCACATCTCTGAATTTTACTAAATAAAATTGCCTTGATCCAATTTAGAAACTGTATCACGACATGAAAAAATATTGTTATTCTAATAATTTTTTATATCGAGGTCAAGCATTTCAGATCTTGAATGTAACATTTTGTAGTTGAATTTTTCCATTGGTTCTTTGCAATATTCTTGAATAGTTTGAAGCTGTTCAAATGTTAATACCTTCCGCCATTTTGTAGCGACTTTCCCCGGATCACGTACTGTCTCAAACGGATCTTTTACTTTGTCGAATATCTCATTGTATTTTTCAAAACCGCCTTCCAGCTGGATGGGATGAATATTAACATTGTATTTCAATAACATATAAATTCGAAAACAACAAATTTGAGTACGACAAATTTTCACTTTCATTAGCTTTCCAAATGTAATCAGTATGATACATTTTCAGTATTTTAGTATATCGGTTCCACTCAATGGAAAGAATTTGAACGATACCGATGGAGCGATATTTATATCGTGATGTGATATTACTTATCATTACACTACTATTAATGAAGTCATTGACACAGTTTTATAGTTGTCTTTCTCCAACACGGCAATTCGATAATTCATTTTTGATCATAGAGATAATAATACAATTTTAGGTATTCTTTCACATGAGACATGCGTCGTTTATTCATGGTATTGAGTTCCAAAGGGAGCGATAATTTTTGTATTCACAAATCAATGATGTTTTGTAACATAGGCAACAGCTAAAATAAATATTGCCAATCTGATCAATGTGGAATGACGTTGAAAAAAAAAAACTATAGATCTCATACTTTATAAACCAATGATGAACTTTATTTTGTATCATATTTATCACCTTTTTATTTTCTACCATTCTGAATACTTTCTCTTTAACCTCTTCGATGAGTTTATCGAGAGTCAAAGCTGATTCTTTCAAATTCTTTTTTACTTCGGACGGTAGTGTTTTGCCGATAAATCTGAAAATATTGAACTATAGCTGATTAAGTTGCATGTACTTTATTGGTAAAAAGTTCAATGTAGCTATTGCTCTTGTTAAGAAACAGCATATACGGAAGATATACAACCAAAAAGGTGTCATATTTACGATGTATTTTCAGTGTAAAAAATAAATACCATTTGCGTTGTAAACAATTTTCAGCAATGTTACTAATATTTACAGTGACTTCTATTCGAATAGCAAATTTTGAATTGGTAAAAAGTATATGTTTTATTTTATAATTGGTTATAAAAACATGGACGCAGTCCATGTAAGTAGCTTATTTTACCTATAAATATATTCCGCTTGCTCAATAGTATTTAATGCAAGGTCTTCATATCTTATTCTTAAATATCGGTTGTCTGTCACAGCGCTTGTTCCAGGAGAAATCGAATGATGCGCTGAAAAATATATTTGATGCACTTGATTGCGTTTTCATACCCATTTCAAGACATTAGAGAAGTACATCATGATATAAACCAAGAGTGACCTTCCAGTCGAAGAGTTCGCGATACTGTGACACGCACGGTGAGGCTTTTTCCGGACAAATCGGCGACACGCCACCAGGAAGTACACTTTGTACAATGGGACATCATCAACGATGACCTATACGTTTTGCGGTTACCAACTCTCATTAGCTAGATATATGAGGTTTCCTAACATGGAATGCTTCTGGCTCTACGCAGAGTCAGACAAGGATAACCCTGATTAAGATTATATATATATATATTATATACAGTTCTAACTGGATTTAACAAATAGTTTTGATAGAGATTTGATAGATGTCATTGGATGTGATCATTAATTCGTAGCACGTTTAATTAAGTTGAAAGTGATTTTTAAAAGCCGCACGGTAGGAAATATTTGCACTGTGAAAAAATTCAATAATGAGATTAAAGTCCTGTATTTCGTTTAAATCAGAGTTATCCAACCTTTATGGCCGAAGGGCGACCGGTAGTTTACGAACGATTGCGCGGCCCACTAAACATGGTAGGTATGTTCTAGTCCTCACCACACCGGCTACAGGTTAATGAAAAAACAAACAAAACCCTCACACTAAAATTATAAGAACAATGAAAATACGAAGATACATTACAATTTTTCACAACGCATAGATATTTTATGGCTTGCTTTTATCCAACAGGCCAATATTCAGTGCAATGAACAATGTAGCAATGCAAAACGAATTTTACATATGACTGTTGGAAATGAGTGATCTCACGGGGATTTGACATGGTTTACGTGTGAAAAAAATGTGCTCGCACAAGTAAGTGTTGCCAAATAAGGAGGCCATGAAAACTGACTCTTCTAGTTTCACAGAAAATAGGCAGGAAAACAGATTGAAAGATGATAAAAAAAATCAAATATCAGCAATGACATCCTCAAGGAGACTTATAGCTCTCGATAGCTGGGTTTAAACGATGTGAAATAATATTTTAATCAACGGTTTCAATAGTGGCTCAGATTTGTGGAAGACATCGGGCTTCGAATAATACCGCGCTGGCTACTCGGAAATCGTCGGCCGGCCGTATGTGGCTCGCAGGCCACGGGTTAGAGTCTTAGACGACCCTGGTGTGAATTATATCAATATTTGATGCGGAGACAAGCTACCGCAGGCAATCAGTAGTTGTTTTCATGAGCATAACGATACCTTGCAATGTAATACGTGGCCTACATGTTTTGGCGCGAAATTGCGCGTTCCGTAACATTTCTACTGGATAAGCTTGGATAGTCCTTGTACCGTTTTTTTACTGCAAGCACCTTTTTGGCCAAGCCTTCCTGTTCATTCTTGAATTCTTAGTTAATACAGGGTTTTAGCTCGGAATTTTTTCGAAAAATAAAATAATAGAAAGGCAGCTTTTCAGATTGAAATAACTGAAATTCCTTCGCACTCTTATCACCCACTTTTCCTCTCCATCCCCTCTTTCTTTCCCACTTCCATTCTTCCGTCACCCTCCCACCCCAAAACTAATAAATGATCACCAATGGCTATATTGGGGGTGAATCGTGCAATCTTGTTCGCAAAAGGGGTAAATGATGCAAAAGAGGTTAAGAACCACTGGTTTAATAGTATATACTAGGAGTTAGTATTGGCAAACTTTATCATACCTGCTTCCATATTATCAACATATTCTATATTCATTTTGTATCGGTCACAAAGTTCTTTTGTTTGTTGACCTAAATCGTTGTCGGCAATTTCGTCCAGTTTAATTGCAAGTCTTGAAGACATTGTCGCCCTCGGATCTCGAACCAGATGTATTACAAATACATTGTAGCCTTTTGTTTCGAGGTAAGAATAAACTTCGTCTAGCATCCTCAAAGAACATATTCTTAATATTTTAAAAACTCTGATATCAGATTCTTCACAAATTTGACTGAGGTAGTTTTCTCGTAATGGAAACCCGCACGGTTCTGAATTATCGTTGATGTTTTGTCTCCGTGCCATTTCTTTACATCTAGTAGCATATTTATTCACCAATGGTACGTGGTGACTAATAAAGCAGAGTGTATTATACAAACATCCTTGATCTTTATAACCGGTAATGGCAAACGTTTTTTTGTATGTGTTTCTTATATTTCGAAAATTACACTCGACTAACTCTTTTAATAAAGTTTTCTTTCTTCGTTCAAGTTTTTGCAACTTGTTGTAAATGGCAGCAACGGTTCATACAAGTAAAATGCTTCCGTATTGTTGTTAAATATTTCTCCGAGAAAACTTGATCCAGATCGTTGGTTAGCGTATATAAAGACTATTGTTTCATTCTTTATATTGCCTTGCTGAAATCTTTTTCTGTTTGCTTTCCCTTCATTGTTATTCATCGCAGATCTTGACTTTTCTGCGGTGAATAATCCTGAGTTAATAAAAAGTACCACGATGAAAACTAATCCAACCAAACTCAGCAGTGATCTTGTCAACATGACAATTCTCATTTTCACAACAGGCAGCATATAAAAATAGTTGATGTTGACAGCTTCAAGATATCTGTACTGAACGATTTCATATAACGATCGGGAACGCTTGCGTATTGCCTCGGGCTAATTTTTGCTATCGGCATTCTAACTTTGTAAAACCTAACTAATTCTTATGTTACGCTCATGTTTTTGGTACAACTTTGGGTACTCCCGTAGTATGTGAACCAAGATGGCGGACACCGGAACGTAGTATGTGTACCAGATTAGGGTTAGGCCATAATTTTATTCCAATAATCCTTATTTTACGAATTCGGGGACTTTCCAAGTGACACGTAGTATTTGTACCTGAAATTATGACCTAACCCTAACCTGGTACACATACTACGTTCCGGTGTTTGCCATCTTGGTCACATACTACGGGAGTACCGAGCTTTGAATATCTCCATTTGGAGCGTATAAGTTAAAATAGTATATGACAAATAACAGAAGCACTAACAATAAATAAACGAGAATATCGGTTGGAAACCGAAGACTTATCGATCGATAGTTAGGGGATCCCCCAAAACAGAAACTGCAGTTTCGATTCATCCGCTCTTGTAACTTGCGCACTGCGCATCGCACACACACACTCGGCGGGTTTCAAAATTCTCTCGCTTTACAAAAATCTAGATCACTATATCAATAATTGATTGATAACTCGCTAATTATACGACATAATTCGCCCAAAATCAATAGGCTTCTGGTCCGAGATAAGATGAATGCACATGCAAAATCTGGAGCAGATTCAATCTCGCTTTCGTGAGATATCGCGTGCATCTAACAGACACACAGACAGGCAGATAGACATACATACAGACAAATACCTATCAATATACTTACCGATCTTAAGATCGAGAAGTAATAAATAAGGGGTCGAATCTTTTCCCTTTTGACATTTTTGGAAGACTTAAAAGGCCTCTAATAACGTGCGCAATTGCATTTTGTTACAATCGCCTCATTTTTTCGTTAGCATGGCGTGTCTTTGAACCTTTTAACATCTTTACGCCGGTGTTTATTCTCCCTAAATCAAAAATTTCCCTCGGCATATATATACATGTATAGTTACACAATGACGACGTTATTCGCTTTTTTGTTCTCGTGGGGAATTATGAGTTCAATGTGAAAAACATGTTACCATATTTTAGTCATCGTTACGAAATGCTAAAGATAATAATTAATAAAGAGATAAATCCGCAACTCAAATTTCTTGATTGAAAAGCGGCATTCTAAAATAATAAAACTAAAACTTAAAATGGAAGATCACAGGTTTGGTTTCAGCAGACTCACCTCAGATTGAAAACGTATTTATAGACATTGTAAATCACAAAAATTGGTGTTATGTTAGGTTTTCATCGTAGTAACTGCGAAATCGAAACAGAGTCAATTGTGCGCGCGATGTACCTTTTCCCCCATTATGAAACTACCGACGGAGCCGCACGCAATCAATTGTGCGCGCTCCGCGATGTACCTTTTTTCATTCTGAAACTACCGACGGAGCCGAATGCAATAAAATAAATTTCAATTGTTCGTTAAATGCTCGCATCGGTCATGGATTAAATATTTTACGCAATAGAAATCTCGTTATCCGTTTTTTTTAATCGCGAAGAATGTTGCGCGGAAATTTCCGATTCCAATTTTGAACCACCACCCTCTTAAGAATCCTGGCTGCGCTCCTGCTTATAAATAATGTCATTTTTTAATTCCGCCTCTTTGCCATATTTCGAGGCTATTTTGTTGTCAGATTTTATCAAAGCTGTTATTGCTTCTTATTAGAACAGTTACAAAACTAGTCAGTATTTTGAAAAGTAATCCAATAGCTCGCGGAGCCCCTGGGTTTCTCTCGCGGAGCCCTGGGGCTCCGTACGGAGCATTTTGAGAACCTATGCACTGTTCTCAAAGTGCTCCGTACGGAGCCCCAGGGCTCCGCCGCGAGAGGAACCCAAGGGCTCCGCGAGCTATTCGATTACTTTTCAAAATACTGGCTAATTTTGTAACTGTTCAAAGAAGCAAGAACAGCTTTGATAAAATTTGACAATAATATAGCCTTGAAATATGGTAAAGATGCGGAATTAAAAATGACGTTATTTTTGAGCTGGAGCGCAGTCAGGATTCTTGAAAGGGTTCAAAATTGAAATCGGAAATTTCCGCGCAACATCATTAGCAATCGAAAAAAAAAACGGATAACAAGATTTCTGTTGCGTAAAATATTCATTGCATGACCGATGCGAGTATTTAAAGTGTCTTGTAGTAATAATTTAATTCTGCTCATCTTTACTCACGTTTCATTCGAAATTACTATTAGGATTGCTAAAAGGAAAGAATACTATTCTAAAATAACATAAAATACGTGATAAACTGTCAACTATGAATAAATTGGAGTTATATTTTTGCGATTTGTCAAACTTGATTTGTTCTTTCGCACTCGACATCATTTTTAAGCAAGATAAGATCGCCGTTTGAAAAATCACAAGATCTGGGCAAAATACGAATGATTGAAATTTATTTTATTGCATGCGGCTCCGTTGGGAGTTTCAGAATGAAAAAAGGTACACCGTGCGTACAATTGACTGTGTTTCAATTTCGCAGTTACTACAATAAATAACCAAAAAAAAAACTAACAAAACATCAAATTTTGTGATTTACAATGCCCATAAAAGCGTTTTTAATCTGACGTGAGTCTGCTGAAACCAAACTTATAGTGCGATTTTCCATTTCAAGTTTTAATATTTTAGAATGCCGTTTTTCAATCAAGAAATTTGAGCTGGGGATTTACCTCTTTAATAATTATTATTTTAAGCATTTCGTCGCAGATGACTATAATATGGTAACATGTTTTTCACATTGAACTCATAATTCCCCACGAGAACAAATAAGCAATTATCGTCGTCATTGTAGAACAATACATGTATATATATGCCGAGAGAAATTTTTGATTTAGGGAGAATAAACACCGACGTAAAGATGTTTAAAAACACGCCATGCTGACGAAAACAATCGGCGATTGTAACAAAATGCAATCGCGCACATTATTAGTGGTCTTTCAAGTCTTCCGAAAATGTCAAAAGGGAAAAGATTCGACCCCCCAATTTATTAATATGTTTGTCAAGTGTCAAATTTACAGCTTTAGTATATATATTTAATTTATTTTTAAAATTAACATTTATATATGACTTGTATTAACCCTATTAAAAAGGTTTAGCATTTGAATTAGGTAAAGTACTTTTAACTTACTCAGGAATATTAATCGGAAGGTAACAATTTTAATTTTATTTTGGGGCTCCGGAAATGATAGTCAACTTTTCAAGGGCTCCGCAACACCAAAAGTTTGAGAACCCCTGCACTAGGGTATTACGTATACCCGGTTGAAGAGCACTGGACTAGAACCTTGATTCTTCTTTTTATACACCAATGATGTCTCCAATCGCTATGGTCTCTTGTCTTGACCAAAGTATTCACTGATGACACAGGTCTTTTCACAACGCAGAATCTATGTTAACCCTGGATAGGGTTGCCAACCGTTTCATATTTAAAAGCGCAGTCTTTTAATTGAGTTCTGTCCTTGAATGAAGCTAGAAAGGATGCAAAACACCTAAAAGTAAATAAAATATTTAGTAATTACTGCAGTGTACAATAAACTAAACAATGCCATACCTAGTCGTTCGTAACATCGCTAATATGTACTGTCCTAGACTAGTTTCCTTTGCTGCTGGTAGGACGACGACTCAGAATTTGATTTAGTCCAGTTGAGTTTTTTTAAGTAACAAGTTAGAAGTGCAAGTTACCGTGGTGCTAAAATGACATAAACTAGGGAAAATGAAATTTAAATAGCAGATGTTTCATGCCCTTTTTCCTGATTTAAGAAATAAGTGAAAACATGGATACAAAACAGAAATTGTTTGAATATAATGTACACGAAATTCTTGCAAATACAGATTGCGTTGTAGTTCGAATGACGACTTTAAATCGCTTTTTAATTTAGCAACAACATATTTAGCAAAAAGTCTGATTTATAGGAAAAGTCAACATATGGAAAACTAGTTAATTTTCTTTCAAAATAACAGAAATTCGTGGAAATTTTGGCATTCGATCTTAATAGCGATACACACATCTCCTAAAACGTTTGTTAAAAATATGTTAATATCGTTGAAATAGTTTGATGTTTTCTTTCAGCCCCAAGAAAATCAGTGTATATGAAGCTAGACCAACAGTTGTTAAAGCCAGAACATACAGCTCATATCGATTTTTTCCCATTTTGACTGGGGTAGGCATTTAATTCAAAATTTATGGATGTGTCACCTTGTCCTATATTGCAATTTGTCAACACTAACATGGATGGCCAGAGTTTCTTAATGTCGCATAATAACCAGATCCGGGAAAAGGGTCTGTAAAATAGGAATACAGAGAAATATAAAAAGATATCAGCACAACACAAATACGGACATTAAATCCGTGACAGAGCTCCTCACTTGTTTAAAATGATTCACCATTGGTTTCATTTAAAAAAAAACTTCCTGCTATAAATTAAACACATATGCAGTAATTAGAATTAAAAAAATAATATCAAAATTTCTTAACTCCGCCACCTTCAAACTATAGGAATATTTACCCAAGAAATCAAATCACAGTAGAAAATTTAAAAATCGTCACGAATGAAATGATCAAATGATACACAAAATTATTCAACCAGAGTCGTAGCCTAATCCCCCAGGCTTGTAGGTCGCCTTCAAAAGCAGCCAGCAAAAATATAACTGACAGATTCTTTACTGTGTCCACGCGTTCGTCATCTCAGCATTGGACCTTTCCCCGAGCATCGACTTCCTTGTTTACTTCGTGACATTGGGCATCAGCATGATGCAAAAAGTGACGTAACAATGCTCCCTTTTCGCATCCACTCAGACACTTTTCTCACTCGGACAGATTTTCAAGCGTGGTCGTAAACATCAACTCGTTTTCGCGTTTTTGAACTCTATTGATTAGTTTTCAGTTGTGTCTCGGAAACTTAAATATAAATCAGATAATTCAATGATCATTATGTCTTCCTAGGAGTTT